AGACGAATCTTTTAAGTCTAATTGCTCCATAATTTGATAATATGATGTTACAATAAATATTTGCTAATGATGGATTAATTAGGCTTAATAAATTCGTCTCGTAGTTTACAGGCGAAATCTGTAATTTGTTTTGTTATTAGTCCACGTTTAATACTTTAAATATATATCCGTATATCTAATGTGACACGCTAAAACTTTATACCAATAGATAAACACCCCCGCTGTGCCTCTATGACCGGCCGAATATTATAGTTTTGCCTCCTGAAAATGCTTTCTTTCTCTCTCTTTTGGCGCGTACGTGTGCAAAAACGCTGGATCGATCATGGCTGCCTGGCTGGGGACGACGGGATCGACGTCATCGCGTGTGTCACATACACCGCCCTGTCGGCCTGCCCACACCGCACGTCTCTCCATCGATATATATCGAAAAAGCCGTGTCTAATAAGTCAACAAAGGACGCATACGGGAGCGTTTGTATGTAGAGTTGTGGTGTCACGTTCGGCATTTGCACTTAGTACGTGTCTAAAGCCTGCGCTAAAATGCACGAGCTTTCTTTGCTTTCTTTTGAACTTTTGTTGCATTATATTTCAACGAAGTTACGAGTACCTTGGTTTCTTTGTCCTAGCTACTCGTAGTACGTTGTAAAGATAATTAGCATAGTCTCTATTTGGAGTACGTTTTTGGACCATTACTACGCTGAATGCCTGCACAAATTTCTCGCAATTTGACAAGAGTACTCTGTCGTCAATTCACCGTTAGGATTTGGAGGGCCACACATCCTTGTCGCCCTCAGCCTAGATTCTGCCCATACACAAACAAGCAAACTGTTTAAGGTCGATATCTTGATGTGATCTGACTCTGACGCTGACGCTGACCCAATTTCACACGAAGACCAACCTAGCTCAAATCAACGGCAAGGTTGTGTTTAGATTTAAAGTTTGGATCTAAACTTCAGTCCTTTTCTATCACATCAATCTGTCATACACATACAATTTTTCAGTCATATCATCTTTAATTTCAATTAAAATTCAAACTTTGCACTGAACTAAATACAGTCCAAGTTGGTTCACAGCTGCACATAAAATCAAATCCCCCTTTTTAAAACAAGGGGAAAATTCGGGCGTGCCTTTCACACTCGCGTTTTCTAGCTACTCGTTGGCTACCGCAGCATAAAACGTTTCGTTGGCCTAAACCTCGTGTCGGTTTCTATTTTGCGAGCATAATAATTCTGTCAATTTGTATTCAAATTCGGGGAGATAGCTACTTTAAACTTGTAAGCCTCCTTAAGAAAGGGAGAAGTTTTATAGGATTTGAGCTAGATCACGTGAAAATCATATAAAATTTCACTGTTCAAAAGGAGCGGCTATAGTGATAACTTGCGTAAGATCAGCAATAGAGCCACCTGAACCTGCCTGGGCTCCGCCGCTGCCTTTTCCTCTATCGATAGCCGTTGACACATAAAAATTAGTCTATTATCGAAAAACGCTATTAGTTACCCAGGCCATTTGCTTCCCCGTTGGCTAGGTTGATGTCTCCCGTGGCCCTTTTGCTTACCTAGCAGAGATATAAACAACTGCAGTAAAAATGTCTAATCTAGTATAGAATAACAGAGTTGAACTGAGTTTTATATCAGCAATTCAGCATTGTTCGGGAGAAGATGTAGCTCCAAGCTTCAAATTTTCTAGATGAGGGAGGAATATAAGCTAGTCAAACCCTGACAGGGCATGCTCTTGACATTTCTAAGCCTGTGCAAATTTGCAATCAGCTGAGCTGTGCTGTACTCCGCAGGGGAAACCAAATGATTTGGTTCGCTTACATATCAAACATAAAAATGGGTCGCTTACATATCAAACATAAAAATGGATAAGTTCACTTGAGGTCCCTTAACTTGACATTAAGTTCGATTTTCGTCCTTAAACCGCAATACCAGATACAACGGATCTCTCAACTATCAAAACTGGTTCAATATACTCTCCCCTCCTATAAAAACCAATTTAATATCAGATGTGACACATCTACTATGAATCTAGACATGCATATGTCCAGATTTGTATTTTAGGGATAGATGGAGTAGGTCCCAAGATGGTTTGGACAGCGGTTTCAGTTGACATGGCATTTGCATGATTAATTTGACTTGGTCTTTATCTGACGTGGTATTAACGTTGCACATGAAATAAAATTTAACAATTTAAAAATTAAAACAAATTGTATGGACTCATATGTTAGTTGACCAATAAGATTAAAAAATAGTGAGAGCCACATGCCAATGGGCCCTAATTCTCCACCTCATCCTCTCTTCTTCTTTATATTCTCCCCTCTTGAAGAGGGCATCTTCCCTTCCGGAGGAGAGGATATAGATAAGAGAGAGGATCAGGTGGAGGACGTGAGGCTCACTGGCATCCCACTATTTTTAATTAAATTTACTGACTGTTATATGGACCCGTATATTTTGTTTTAATTTTTAAATTGTTAAATTTTGATTCATGTGCCACGTCAGATGAAGACCGAGTCAAATTAACCACATAGGCGTTTACGTCAGCTGAAACTACCGGCTAAACCGTTTTGGGACTTATATTACATCGGTTTTGATAGTTGAGGGACCCATTGTATATGGTATTGCGGGACAAGAATGAAAGTCGAACTCGCTTTCATATTAAGGGATCTAAAGTGAACTTATTCCTATCCTTTGCGATCCATATATGGATGGGCTTCAGGATTGCATCATAGCCGAGGTTAACTGGGCAAACATTTGGAAGAGGCCCACGAGGTCTCACCGAACAGCAGAAAGGATCAAAAGAAGCATCATTTTTCCTTTTTAGAGAACGATACTTCTACCTAGCCTCTATATCCAACTGGATATATGTAGCCATTTAAATTGAGAAATATCAAAAGAAGCATCATGCGATTGAGTTTTAAGCAGCAAATATATAGCTCCAAAGTTCCTCTCCAAAAACAAACATCATTAAGTACTGTCTAAAAGGGCAAACAGTAGAAATTTCTTTCTCTGCAAAGAATATCAGAACAGCAGAAAACATCAGAACAATGTTGGCAACCACCTACTAATGCTTTTTGGAGACAAGACAATTTATACAAGAGAAAATCCAACAAATGCAAGTAGTCGTAGATATACCGTTGCCACTCAAATTGCTTTCTGATATTTCTTCAGAATATGCAATAAACTCAACAGCCAGTCATTTAGGAGTACTGAAGTCCAGATCGTTCAATATACAGCATGGAATTTAGGACCCGAGCTCAAAGGCAAAAAGGATATACAAGGTCATTGCAGAAATGCAGACTATGATTTTCTGATCCTGTCCTGATTTTAGTTCACTCATGAATAGAGTGGAATATGTTCTGAGCATGCCAATAATAAAGCAATAATTCGGTTTCAAAAAGAAAAAAAAGGAGTAAGCAACAATTGGAGGCAACTATTCTAACATCAATACATCATCCATAACTTTATGTAATTTGTCACAACTCACAAATGCATAACCAACTATCCAAATGTAATTTACAAAACAAGCTTGCAAAAGTGGCAGCAGCAATATGAGGATATTTGTTAAGCTAAAGCAAGCTATTGCCTGTACAAAAAACGATCCATTAATCGAGCTGTATATATTCATACGCAGCAGTTAAGGATATGATAAAATAACAAGAGAAACTATCACAAGGCGGGTTAATTGGAAGACAGCATCTTGCTATCCACTTTTTTTTTTTAAGAAAAGGGGCAAATCTTGCTATCCAATATCAAGAGATACTTCTAGCACATAGAACAAAAACTAAACTCCCAAGAAATATATCAATCAGTGATTATATCCCTATAAAACAAGAACAAAGAGGCAACCTGTACCGGCTCATACGCATAAACAAAAAGTGAGATCTGGATGCAGAGGCTTATCGATCGATTCCTGCGTTGTATATTATCAAGAATCAGCACGGGCATCGATCGGAGCAGCACAAGGCAGGGAAGAGATCGATAAACCACTGCGCCCAGGCATCACCCAAACAAATCTATAAAGATCGATGAAGAGAGAGAGAAAAAAAAAGGCAGATGCAATACTGACCCACTGACAGATATGGACTGAGAGCAACAGAAACAGCAATGAAAACAAATAAATATACTACCCTATACAAGATTATGTGCTTGCCTACTGAGAAAGAAGTGAGAGATCTGGAATTCTGGATCTAACTAATGCACAAGGTTGCTTGTGATGGTGGCAAACCATAGCAACAACAAAGCAAGGAGAGGAGACGATTAGGAATCTTGTGTGTGTTCTTTGCAAAAGGGAGTGTGGTCTACAACACAAAACACTTGGTTCTCTCTGTCTCTTTACTCCCTTGATCTCTCTATAAGAGGAGAAGTTTCTTGGCCACTAGGAAGTGGAGAGGATAGCTCTGACATTTCGGTAAGCTGGTGGCTGGACACACAGTGGGGAGGTAAAGATGAGCTGAGCTCAGCTAGGCAACAGCATGTGTTGCTAGTGGCCACTAGCCATCTATCCCTGTCTACTGTTGTTAAAGAGAAAAGAGGGAGACAGTTCCATGTCTACCATTTGCTCAATGTTGGCAACAACCTGATGTGTAATGTAATCTGAAGGTTACCTTGGCATGATTGATCAGTTGATCTAAAGTGATAAGAAAATGTTTAGCCAATTATGGCATGAAAATATCAGTTGCCATACAGTATACTACTCAGTGATGGTACAAGTTACTGATTATAGATGATATTCGTTGAGCAAAGCAGACATAGGTCGATGAGCCACATGAGCCCATATCAACCTGAGACAGGATAAACTTATCGTGAGTTTAACAAAGTTTGGATCAGGTCAGGATAATATGCGTTGCGCAAGAGAAGAATAAAAATGTTTGCTTACACTTTGCCCAAGGTTGGTACTAATACTATACAAATTACATGTTGCACCATTTCAAAAATAATAATAATAAAAAGCTGTTGCACCTGTAGTTGCTAACAATGAAATGAACTCTTGGCACAGCAGGTCTTAACAGGACAGATCAAGTGCTACTGTATTATTTGCATCTTCGATACATGAAATCAAAGAGTACAGATGAAGCTTAGTGCATTTAGGTGTAACTCGGTCGAGTTACTGGGTCGAGGAAATTAGCATAAAAAATCACACAAGGCTACAGTCTTTCCAGCAAAATGGACTTAAATCTGAACCAAGTTCCATTAAAAATTAGACAGCCTTTTTGAGATGATCAAGATCAGATAGCTTGAAATTTGCATATGTACACACCGGGCTTCAATCATATGTAATCTGAATCTCAAAATAAATAGTTGTTATCATCACACTACAGTATACCCACATGTGGACCAATCTTTGAAAATCTATCCACCAACTCAAAAACTATACCAGCAACAAGCCTGCCTTCACATAGGAGAACAAAGCTGAGGAAAGCCACAGAACTATAGATCCCTCGTCTCAGTAATAACATCGTGGGGGCATGCTATTTTTTCACCATCTTTGCTGTTTTTCAAGATTCAAGAACATAACATGTCAAAGCACCAATAGGAAGAATTGCAGGTCAGCTAGCAAGCTTGAAGGCATCAATAAACAGGCCATATGTGAAACCCATCTTGAAGTTGTTGAGGAGAGCAAATGGGAAGGTAACCTTAGGCCGGCTGTAGTAGAACTTAGTTACGTATTCAGTAAGCAGGACACACACAACTGCTGCTATGACATCGTTCACACCCAACGCTCCGAAAGACAGAGATATTGTCTGCGCCACATAAAAGCCTCCCAGAAGTGAGATACCACCAAAAAGAGCTCTCCTTGACCGGCTTCTGAAATAGTTTCTAGAGAGTTCAGGGATGGTTCGGATTATATCAACTAGCCTTCGACGACCATCATTTCCCTGTACTGCACGAACTTTGATAAATTTGTAAGAGGATCTCCTTGGGTAGTTTTTGTAGCTTGGCGACAGTAGCCTTGCCTCTCCATATAGACCACTGTTGGCAAAACCAATAGAGATTGTCTTTGAAGCACATGCCATTGAAAAGTGCCAATCACTGCATGAACATAAAAATTTCAATAAAACACAGATATGCAATTAGGGATTCTGCTGTTGTGTGAGAGGCACAAGTTTGCAGATAAAAGTAGATAAGTCAAGAAAGAAAGAAAACAATAGAAAGAATGAACACAACGACTAACAGAAATATCAATGGATTATCTGAAGGAACAGACGATGAAAATAGTGACAATGCAAAAAATTGATAATTCTACAATATGCCTCAAAACCAAATTGAAGGGATGCATTAGCCTGCTAGGCATTCCAAATTCCGTTTGATGGGAAAATACTTTGCCATCAGACAGCCATCAAACATCCTGACATGGGAATAGCTTATTGTTTGCTACGGCAGTATACTATACACTATACAGTGGTTTATGGCATTCCAATGTACTCAAAACGTGATTGACTCCAAGCTGTTCAATGTAATTTAAATCCTCAAGCCTAAAGCATTAATGCAGTATGGTTGGTTCAAACCTGAACACACCATCGTCATTCACAGGTATGGTAAAAGGGCAAAGGCAATTACGAGGCACTAACAACTTTCCTAGCACGGCACCTACCATTGCACAGGGAAACACAGAGAATATGAAAACACTTAACTACTTCAGGCTATTTGTACGGTTGTACCACACAGAACTACCATCAGAGCAATAGTCTCCGATAAATTCAAAAAGCTGAATCTCACCAGAGCAACTCCTATTGGCAGTGTCGACTCCGCTGCGCAAATACGTCAAACAGGTAGCATGAGATGCTACGAGTAGTGGCGAATGTACGATTTTGCAGCCAGTTGTTCAGTTAAAAAAACGTTTCATACATGAAACGCACAACCATAACAAGTTTTTTCCCCCACAAATACTTCAAATTCTCAAACTCACATTTCTGAAATCTCAAACTCTACCATTGATTCAGTGACCAATTCAGCTTCAGATCAACAATAATTGGCAAGCGGACTGTGAGAACTGGAAAGGGATTCGTTTCAGAAATCCTTACCTCTTGCTGCCTTGCTGTGGTCTGTGGAGCGGTAGAGGTCAGCGGAGGCTGGTGAGCCGGGCTGATGGCGTCGTAGAGGGCCAACCCACGGTGTCCGTCGGCTGAGCCACCGCCGGCGCCTCCGCCCTACCGCTGCGCGGCCGCGCAGGCGAGGGGAGCGCCGCCGAGCCGCGCCGAGGAGGAGAGGGAGAGGGAGAGAGAGAGATGAGGGAAGTGTGGCGCTGTAGCTTCGGGTGGTGGGGCTCACTGGCTCAGCGAGAGAAACACTCCCTTCTCCCACTGGAGAGTGGGCCCCACTACCAGCTTACCGAGATATTTACGGGAGTGCCCCTCCCTAGGGTTTAATCCCCTCTCCCCTCAAAACCTCCATGGACGGAGCTCCAGGCCCCACCGCCACCGCCACCGCCCACGCCGCCGCTCCATGATCCGCCGCCGCGCGGCGGCGGTAGCGACACTACGCGCCTCCCTGCGCCGCACCTGCTCCCACGCCGCCGGCGACTCCGAGGACCCCCTGCTCGGCCTCGTCGAGCCACCCGCGCCGCCGCAACCGCCACCCCGGTCTCGCCTCGGCCCCAGAGACTTCGAGTTTCTTCGGGAGCCCGCCGCCGCCGCCGCGGCCGGTGCCCTCCCGCCACCGGAGGCCGTGCTGATCTCCAAGGCGATCCGGGCATTCGGCGCCGACTTCGACGGCAAGGCGGAGCGCGTCCTGCGGCGGTGCCGCGGGTTCCTGACCGACTCCGTCGTGGTGGCGGTGCTCGGGGCGGTGCGCGACGCCCCGGAGCTCTGCGCGAGGTTCTTCCTCTGGGCCGAGCGGCAGGTTGGGTACAGCCACACGGGCGCATGCTACGACGCCCTTGCGGATGCGTTGGGTTTCGACGGCCGCGCCAGGGATGCCGAGAGGCTGCTTAGGGAGATTGGGGAGGAGGACCGCGAGGTGCTCGGCAGATTGCTCAATGTGCTAGTGCGGCGGTGCTGCCGCGGAGGGATGTGGAACGAGGCGCTGGAGGAGCTCGGGAGGCTGAAGGACTTTGGGTACAGGCCGTCTAAGGTGACCTACAATGCACTGGTCCAGGTGCTCTCGAGCGCGGGGCAGGTGGACTTGGGGTTCCGGGTTCAGAAGGAGATGTCCGAGTCGGGGTTCTGCATGGACCGGTTCACCGTTGGGTGCTTTGCGCACGCTCTGTGCAAAGAGGGGCGGTGGGCTGATGCACTAGACATGATAGAGAGGGAGGATTTCAAGCTTGATACAGTATTATGCACACATATGATCAGCGGGCTGATGGAGGCATCGTATTTTGACGAGGCCATGTCATTCCTCCATAGGATGCGATGCAACTCATGTATTCCAAATGTGGTCACATATAGGACGTTGCTCTCAGGATTTTTGAAAAAGAAACAGCTTGGCTGGTGCAAGAGGATCATTAATATGATGATGACTGAGGGCTGCAATCCAAATCCATCCTTGTTTAATTCCCTTGTGCATAGTTATTGCAATGAAAAGGATTATGCGTATGCCTATAAACTTTTAAATAGGATGACTACTTGTGGTTGCCCTCCTGGTTATGTTGTGTACAATATTTTTATTGGAAGTATATGTGGTCAGGAGAAATTACCAAGCCCTGATTTGCTGGATTTAGCTGAGAAAATTTATGGAGAGATGCTGGCTGCTAATTGTGTTCTTAATAAGGTTAACGTTGCCAATTTTGCTCGATGCCTTTGTGGTGTCGGGAAGTTTGACAAGGCATTTCAGCTCATAAAGGAGATGATGAGGAAAGGTTTTGTCCCTGATACAAGTACATACTCTAAGGTGATCACTTTTCTCTGCCATGCTACTAAGGTAGAGAAAGCTTTCCTTCTGTTCCAAGAGATGAAGATGGTCGGTGTAACTCCTGATGTGTATACATACACAATTTTGATTGACAGCTTTTGTAAAGCTGGACTCATTGAACAAGCCCAGTGGTTGTTTGAGGAGATGAGGAGTGTGGGTTGCTCCCCAACTGTGGTGACATATACTGCACTTATTCATGCTTACCTCAAAGCTAAGCAGGTACCTCAGGCTAATGATATTTTTCACCGAATGGTTGATGCTGGCTGTCGTCCAAATGATGTTACTTATGGTGCATTGGTAGATGGTCTCTGTAAAGCAGGCAACATCAGTAAGGCTTTTGAAGTCTATGCCAAATTAATTGGAACTTCTGATAGCGCCGATTCTGATTTTTACTTTCCATGTGAGGACAGACACACACTTGCTCCAAATGTTGTGACATATGGTGCACTAGTAGATGGTTTATGCAAAGCTCACAAAGTGGACCATGCTCATGAATTACTAGATGCTATGTTATCTTCTGGTTGCGAGCCCAATCACATTGTGTACGATGCTCTTATTGATGGCTTTTGCAAAGCTGGAAAAATTGACAGTGCTCAGGAGGTATTTCTGCAGATGACAAAGTGTGGGTACCTTCCCAGTGTACATACGTACACCTCGTTGATTGACAGGATGTTCAAGGATGGAAGACTTGATCTTGCAATGAAAGTTCTCTCTCAGATGTTAAAGGATTCTTGTACTCCTAATGTTGTTACGTACACAGCTATGATTGATGGTCTTTGTAGGATAGGTGAAAGTGAGAAGGCACTAAAGCTTCTGTCATTGATGGAAGAGAAAGGATGCAGTCCGAATGTTGTAACTTACACTGCTCTAATAGATGGATTAGGCAAAGCTGGCAAGATTGATCTGAGTCTTGACCTTTTTACACAAATGAGCAGAAAAGGATGTTCTCCCAATTATGTTACGTACAGAGTTCTGATAAACCACTTGTGTGCTGCTGGCCTTTTGGATAAGGCTCGTTTACTGCTTGGTGAAATGAAGCAGACTTACTGGCCAAAGTACTTACAAGGATACCGTTGTGCAATTCAAGGTTTCAGCAAGAGCTTTATCGCTTCTCTGGGTATTCTGGAGGAGATGGAATCATATGGCACAGTACCAATTGCACCTGTTTATGGAATGCTGATCGATTGTTTCTCCAAAGCTGGCAGGCTGGAGATAGCTATGGAGTTGCACAAAGAGATGATGGAAGTTCCGTCATCTGTAAAAACTGACAATGACATGTACGCTTCATTGATCCAGGCACTTTGTTTAGCATCTCAAGTTGAGGAAGCATTTCGATTGTATAGTGAAATGACAAGGAGAGGCTTTGTACCTGAGTTAAGTGTCTTTGTTTGCCTCATAAAGGGATTAGTTGAAGTAAAAAAGTGGGACGAAGCCCTCCAGTTGTGCTATGGCATATGTCATGAGGTTGGTCTACTTCTTTCATATACCACTCAAATATTTCTATTTACCTTTGTTGTTATTGTTGTTGGTTATGGCAAGAATATAGAACCACAGGTTGACTTAGGGGATTCATTTAGTTCTTTCACAGTATCAGCATCAGCAAGTAATCTCAAGACTGCTGTAATATGTAGACACTCACCTATTAAATTTGACAGTGTTATTTTATGAAATATGCCTGTAAGCTATTCAACCATTTGTTGAGCAGCTCTAGACTGAAATATTACTTTGCATTATTATTTTTTACAAATAGAGAATTGCACTTGATTCAGTAATAGTGGTATACTGATCTGCTTAAATATCCTTCTTTGTATTGTATTTTGGGTAAGGGCAGCATTTTGTTGATGCAGCATATTTGTGCACAATTACACTCCTGATTTTGATACACCTTTATGAATCGTAGATCCTGACATAAGAGCATCAGTACAGTATTTTCTGCTAACGGCTTCCACAATTTGTTGTTAATATGACCATTTCACATTTTGAGCTTTATTACAATAGGTTTCTTCAGTTTCTTTTTTCCTTTGGGTGATTTGCATTGTACCACTACTTAATATTGGGTATTGGACCAGGGTGTGAACTGGCAGGGTAACAAATCTTTTCATGGAGGCTAGAGCTGTTTTGTCTTACTGCATCATAAATCATGCAAATGACAACACTTCCACCTAAGGAGTCATGTTCTTGTATCTCAAGATTGTTGCGAGATGTGGTGACTCAGAGACCTAAAGTGCAATTCATGATGACTCAAGAAAAATAACTCGGAGGCCATGGAATAACACTACAGAATGAACAATCCTGCATGAAAAGATGTACCATGTATGCATAAACCTTATTTTTTCAATATGGGCAGGCAATTTTTTAGGTTTATGAACTCCTTTGCCTTTGTAATTTCTGACCCTTTATTTTTCTTTCAATTTTATTTAGGGATAGCTGATTCATCTTCAGATGGGCAAAGCCACAAAGGAATCTCGCTATGGTTATCAAGTTCAACATTTGTATATAAGGCAACGATGGTTATACAAAAGGCATTTGACTGAAAATAATCTCAAAGTTTCATAGTTCCTTTATTCATCAAATTAACTGATATTTTCACCCTTCTATTTCCTTAAATTTCTTCTTCAGTGATAGAGTAATGGAGATATACTATCAGCCTTTTTGTTCGTTCTCAAATTTTTAATGATTATTTGAATGATATTTGAACTGATATTATCAACTGTAATTATCTCACAGTTAAATGTTTGACAACATTTTGTTGACCAGTTTGTACCGTCTGAGTCCTTGATCTCAGCATGTCACGGACTTCAGTCCTGTTTATAGAACCTCTATATTTATATCACAAAGAAAATGCCTATAAGGTGAGTTGTGTTAAGATCCTTCACCAGCTATGCCTGCCATCTTACTTCACTCTGGTAGCTTCATATTTGATCCAGAAGGTTTTTCATGCCTTGCTAAACATTAATCTGTGCCATCCAACTGATTTTTGGAAGTTAATTAATGCCCAGAATTTTTTTCCCCAATTTGCTACTATATAATTAGTTTTAGCATACTAGTACCATATTTTTACCATACCTAGAATCTACCTGCAGCTGCAATGCCTTCAACACTAGTAGTATATGACATGTTGCTATATTGGTTGCCTTTTAATTTAAAAGTTCTGTATGGCTGTTATTGAATATATATTGGATCAAACAAGTATTGTGGTTCATATTTCCTTTCATCCAGTTGTGCATTTATTATGGTGTCGAGGGCAAAATAGGAGAATGTGAAGATGCTTTCTTGAAGAAAAAAAGAAAACCATGCGTCTGTGCAGAATTCTAATCTTTCTGATTTCAATTTGCAGTTGAGACGGGGGATAGTAAGCATATGTAGCTGACTGGCTCACCATTGCATGGAATATACATCCTTTTGGGAAACTATGAAAATCAGTAGAGTTCAATTTCTTCATGGGTTTACTGCTAAATGTAAATTTTGCATTATGGATATGCTTTCTTGGTGCCTGCATAGATGCATTCTAGTAGAGTTCAATTTCTTCATGGGTTTACTGCTAAATGTAAATTTTGCGTTATGGATATGCTTTCTTGGTGCCTGCATAGATGCATTCTGATGCACTGTTGTAGTAGTTGATAATTTTGAGGAAATGGGTGGATTATACATCAAGTGGCTGTTGCATCATAGTCATAGATTCATAAAAATGTATTTATTGATCAACTTGTGAAGTTCACAAAGCACTATGTATGGTTCATGACCATTATCATGGTCGCATAAGATCTTTGGGCAGATCATGATGCAGACGTACTGAGCAGGCCAGTGCTGTGCGGACTAATCGTTTCTATATTAGTTCAGCAAATTTTTTTTAATCAAACATTGCTTCAGAAAGGTTATGCTTTCGGAGGCGCCAATTTGAGTCTTGCTACATGAGTCTTGAGCACGTTGCTGGGAATTATGCTGAGAATATATATGATATGCTGCCCCATAATGTCGACAGGGAGAAAATGAACGCTTAGCTGACAACGTATTGATACATACAGAAAAGAATGTCAGCATTCTGAACCTGAATGCATCCTTGTATAAAAATGCTTGAGCTGTCAATAAAAAGAACTCGTAATAAATAAAATGGGCCTGCATAATAGCAGAAAAACCCGGTGAAGAAAATCAGTAAAAACTGATACTTTTATGTAGTTGAATCGTGTTATCAGGATATTCAGAAGATTGAAGTTTCAAATAAATATTGCACGCATATGTCTAACATTGTGAAAAATATGAAATCGTTTCATTTATACACATTATTGTTACCAATCTAGTTCTTCCGGGGCATAGATTCTGCATCCTACAAAACTCCTGTCTTATTCGACGACGAGGCATAAGTTCTTCCACAGCCAAGCTGCTCCTCTCTTTTGACCTCGCAACTGTTTTTCTTGATGTGATCACTGATCCAGATACATCACCTTAAAAATATGTCAGCCGCAATACGAACGCGTAGCAGAATAACAAAAAGGCAAACAGATCATCGTAAATTTCGGCTTGTTTGTTCCGCAATCTGCTTGATATCAGGATATGTATCAACTATCAAGCCACCCGCGCTATTGGAGTTGACGAGTGTTAGGATAGATAGAACTTGATACAAAAAATTAGATTGGATGATATCATGGAGGCTTCAGATGAAGCTATGTAAACAAGCGATATATGCCTAGTTTTACCTGGGCCAACCGATATGCTGCTAGTCCATCATCAGATATACACACGGTAGGCCTGGCCTGATATCCATGGAATGTGTTATGTGGACAGGTCAACTGCAACAGTGCTGAAGAAGAAGAAGGGCATACACTCGATGAAGCAAGTGTCGTCGACGCATATATCTGATCTGAATTCCGAAAGCACACACTAGAGGTCGCTTTCTGATCCGAAGAGCCAGTCTTTTGCGTTGCTTTCTGATCTGAAAGACCCAAAAACCTTGGTGTTGCTTTCTGACCCAAAGCAAGCCAATGGCAGCGGGCAGGCGCTGAGGTTTTGTACTACACTTGCCCTCATCAACTGGGCTGATGGCGACGGTGGTCGAGAGCAGCAGCACGATCATGTTGCCGTTTCCGGCAGATTTTTCTGCCTTGTGGAATCTCCTTTGCAGCCTCTTTTCACAGAGAATCCGGCGCCGGCGACTCGGCGAGGACCACGGCCCCCCCTCTGCAAGTCCTATCGATCACGCGACGAATGGGATGCGCCCACGTGAAGGGGGGATGGTGCATTGTTCTCTGCCTTGTTCAATTGTTCTCCAGTCAAGATTATCAAGCCAGCGACAGTTCGGGGCATGGATTCCAACTCTCAACCTGACGTTCGCTTCGTCCACGTAACTGAGCTCTTTGCCTTTCCTGCTACCCTCCAGCCGCCTCCTAAAAGAAGCCATGACCACAAATGAAATATTTGGTGAGCAACCTGGGTAACTACCATTAGCATTTTTTTTTTGTTGGCAAGCCGTTTTGTACTAAACCATGCCCTACTGGGCTTGTTTGGGTCCTTTTGAACTCTTTTCTTTCCTCTTAATATAATGATGTGCAGTTCTTCTTTTGCGCGTTCGAGAAAAATAAATGTTAACTGAAATTACCTTCCTGGAGTTTATCTTGCAAAATGCTTAATAGGATGAGACATTTAGGTGCCAGCAGGAGTGGAGGACTGAGAAAACCAGTGGCTTGATTCCTCGATGCACAGCTCAAGGCCTGCGTTCTGCAAGTGGGAACATAACATCAGAAGGGGGAGGCGTGATTGACATAAAATCTTTGGTGCGAATTACAGGAATAAAATGGGATTCCGCGGGCCCCTGTTGGTCAAGAATAAATGTAGTAGGCCTTTGCCTTATCTATCTCTGCTTTCTGCGTCCGCTTTATGTAGAGTCCATCAGCTCCGCAGGCATATTCCTGTCATGATAAGAAGATTAGGACGTTGTATTACACAAATCATATTCTGTCAGAAAGCAAGGAAGACAGAGCGGCAGACATTTCAAAAGGCAAATGCACCCCCCTAGGAGTATTCGTAAGAAGCTGCATTCTGACCTATTTGTCAGAGATCATATTCCATCAGGAAAACTAGTAAAATAGAGATGTACAGAGTACAATAAACTTCTATAGAAAGTTTATTAGCAGAATATGCGTACTGTCAACAGCCCTTAAGTGAAATTCTGAGTTTCGTGTGAAAGTTTGAATCTTGAGAACAGCTGACAAGTGAGTTTAGATGTTCAGTTCCGCAATATGAGTGATTGTGTGTCAAGCAACTTATAAAATGATTCTAGAAGGCCTACTGCCCTTGGAATGTGACTTGGACTGGTGTTTTAGGTAGTAGCTTGAACTCGGGGGGGTGAGATCATAGAACTACAGAGACACAGAAAAGGGTAAATATTTTGGACAAAAAAAATAGCAGACTGATTTTATATTATAATTGACTGCACCACCTATTATGCATATTAAAATAAAAGAAAATTGGATTTTCAAATTTTGTTACAATAGAGCAGATATTGTGACAGTTCAAAACATGCCAAAATGTTTGTTCCGAAAGAAGGCTGTTTTAGTCTTTGAGCAAAATCTCGCTTGATAGATAAAGAACAGGACTAATATGTTTAGAACTTTAGATAGACATACTTGGAGAGCAGTGAATAACAGAATGTTGTAGATCAAATAAAGCCAATTTACCATCGTCATCATTATCTAAGAACCCACCCTAACCTATAATCTTTGAATGACGAAAACTTGATTCTGAATTCTAGATGTCGGCATGCACTGAAATAAACCACACAGCTGTACCACTAATTTGCTTATCAAGCATCTACTTGATAAAAGAACTGCTATAAAGGAAGACAGGAATTATTGATTTGGTAGAAGACAGTGAACAAGTGTCAAGAAAATCCTCTAGCACTTTTTTATTGTTGCAGTCCAATATTCCCAACCAATCATGCTCAAGAAACCTCTTTTGTAATTTATATTGAGAAATGATCCTCACTGCAATGCCATCAAATAGTAGGTACGCTCTAACTTCTTGTTGTCTACAGTATGGAGATAGAAGTATAGAACCTTGGCAAGTATTGCCCTACCAGGGGGCTGATGCTTACTTATCCCATTTGCCTACAACTCTTACTGAGGAAGAGTTACAGAAAGTTCTTGTTGAGAATGAGAAACATGAGGTGTCAATCTAAAAGACAAGTCCAAAGGCAATCTACTTTTCAGCAGGAGCGTATCATGTCTAGGGTTGCAGATATAGGGAATAAGTGAGAGTGGTCAGCAGATTTTATTCATCGATGTGGAATAGCAATGAACACTCCTTATTTTTATGTAGGCTATGAGAGTGGACATACCACAATATTTCCAGTGATGGCAACCAATATAATACAGTACACCTGCCTACGCCTTAAAGTTAAGATTCCAAGTCTTCAGGAGCTAACAACTCCTGATACCACGAATGCCTTCAGCACTTAGATTGTGAGTATATATAGGGCACATACCTGCACTCATCAGTTCACCCAAGTTCAACATTTCTGCTCAAGTTAGCTTCTTAGCACAGCCTCTTCTTGCTCAACTCCTGAAGATCATCAATCTTCACTAGCCATGTCAAGGGACCCACTTGTCGTAGGACATGTTGTTGGGGATATCTTAGACCCATTCAACAAATCAGCATCACTCAAGGTCCTATACAACAACAAGGAATTAACAAATGGGTCTGAGCTCAAACCGTCACAGGTAGCAAATGAACCAAGGATTGAAATTGCTGGCCGCGACATAAGGAACCTTTACACTCTGGTAAGTCCAAATCCTCATTACTGCATTGAACAATATTGAGTTCATAAGGAATACTATTTGGCATCTAGCCCAGGGGGAAAAAAGCATGTGCCTAATTACACGAGCCCCATCCAACTGTGTAGAGTGCTATACCTGTAGCATGTGCTATTAGTGTTCAGTACGTATAGAACACTGGAAGCAAATATTCTCAGCTTTCTGTAAGTTGTACAACTTCATCTGTGTGACTGGGTGGATTGAAAAAGACCTTTGCACCTCTATTTCTTTATTTCGTGTAAACAAAGATATTCTGTTTGCTTTTGATAGGTCAGCACATATACCTGCATATTTGAATGCTGCCTGTGGATCAAAATTATGCACGTCAGCCATGAAGTATAGGAATCTGAATCATTATGATTAGATGCATTAAAAAATTAACTGTACTTTGCTAGAATCATGAAGATGCATTAGTAGTGACACAACCATTGAAGCTAACAAAATAATAGTGTTATAGAAAGTTAATTTTCTAAAGCATCAAAGTTATGGAGAGCCTTGTATCTGGGTTGTGTCAATTAAGAAAGCAATGGCCATATAATCTTAGTGGAACACAAGTAACTGAGATGCACAGTTCATGGACCTTATACCCTCAAATTCAAAGTTTTTATCCTTTGCTTGGAATGATAATGTTTTATTTAACTAAAAAGTTATATTTTTCCCTAGAAGTAACACGCTAACTTGCTTTTAGGTGATGGTGGATCCTGACTCGCCAAGTCCAAGCAACCCAACAAAAAGAGAATACCTTCATTGGTAAAATCTGAAACATTTCAGAATTAATTGGTTTATACAATTCTACTTCTCCACTTGTGTGTGACGTGACAAATACAAAATCAAAAGCTATTCTTATGGTTATTTGCATGTGACAGGTTGGTGACAGACATTCCAGAATCGGCAAATGCTAGTTATGGTGGGTTATTCCTATTCTTTTCTTTTCTGAATTTAATGTTTTGATGGCATCAAGTCATCCAAGATTTTAAAGCAAATACATATCGTGCTGGTCCAGATGACAACATAATTAAAAATAAAAAACTAGCAAAGTGTATCATTTGTAGTTACATTTAATAAACACTAAAACTAAACTATAAGAGCATATAGTAAATCTGAAGGATAACGATACACCAATGTCATACCTGGATTTCAGATGATAAACAGCAGATCGTCCTGCCTTCGACATCAACCCATGGAAATAATTTCTTTTAACTATGATTGTCATAAACTTGTCTGATCTGACTGCACTGAGCTCAACATGAGCATCCCTATGCTATTTTTTTATTAACCTAAACTTGACCAATGGATGTCCATACTTCATGCATAGAACTTTTAAGTTTGAGAGGCTGAGAGCAATACTCATATGAACTGACTTTAACATGTTTTAACAATTTTTATTACAGGAAATGAAGTTGTCAGTTATGAAAGCCCAAAACCAACTGCAGGGATACATCGTTTTGTCTTTATATTATTTCGCCAATATGTACAACAGACTATTTATGCACCAGGATGGAGACCAAATTTCAATACAAGAGATTTTTCCGCACTGTATAATCTTGGACCTCCTGTGGCAGCAGTGTTCTTCAATTGCCAGAGGGAGAACGGATGTGGAGGCAGACGGTACATTAGATAAAAGTCAGGATCATTCATAGCCCTCTACAAGAAGAGGTGATATTCATGTGAGAAGATGAATGGGGTCAGGCACATCGCAACGTGCTGGTCAATGGTGGACCTTTTAATGTATCTTCATTTAAGAACTACTACCTTTGATACGTATCCAGGCACTAAACAAGGTGCTTTACGAATGAATTTAGCTTCAGATCTCATCTTGGAGAACACTTTATCTGGTTCTTCAGGAACGAAATCCTACTGATTCTGCACCCAACAACTGTTGTCCATGTCATGTTCAAAAGCGACTATCAAAGCAACAAATTGAGTGCATCATTGAAGAATGCAACTGATAACACGTCATGTTCTTTAAAAAAGAAAGCATCCTAGGCTTACTGAGAACTTTGCATAACTATTGGTGCAATAATGTGCATAGTGGAAACTCTAGCAGTCTCAATATTATGCCAATGGCTTATAACTGTCAGGTCTATTCCTCCATTTGCCAGTCTGATCACGATGCTGACTTGCGGATTTCACTGTTAGGCAGACCACTTGACTGCTAAGCTTTAGTACCAGAAAATCCTCACATTAGCTTAGGAATAATAAATAGTGTAAATGCAAACATAGTAACCAATCCAAGAATCGTTGATCATCATTTGTCCAAATGGAACACAAGCAGCAAGATGATCTCGGCAGAACACAATAACCATTTAAATCCTAAAGAACTAGAGACCATCCAGATGTATTTGCTTCATAAGTATGGAAAGCATTGCACGTACATCATCCATATACAGATGGTTCTGTTGCCCAACTAAGAATTCACAGGTCTTCCCATTCACCTCAATCACACTGGATCCTGGTTCCTTCTGCATGCCTTTCTCATTCATGAACCCTCTCGCCTTCCCTACATCTGCCCATCTATCACTCACTGCATACATGTTGGAGAGAAGGACATAAATCCCATTCCCAGAGGACTCCAACTCATGGATATGCATAAGAATCTGCTGCGAGAAATCCATTCGTCCATGAGCTTGGCATGCACTTAGTAGGGTTACCCATGTGAACACACCGGGTCTCATAGGCATGGCTTTAATTACATCATATGCTTCCTGGATGAGCCCAGCTCTTCCAAGAAGATCAACCATGCAACCATAATGATCTTCCCAAGGTGAGAGCTTGTAGGACTTTGTCATCAACTCAAACAACTGACGGCCTTCTTGCACTAAACCAGAGTGGCAACATGCACCAAGGACAGTTATAAAAGTGACCTCATTGGGGTGCAAACCTGATGCAACCATCCTGTCAAAGCAGTCAAGAGCCTCCCTGCCACGACCATGCAATGCAAACCCATTGATCAACGCATTCCAGGAAGATACATTCTTGAGGGGCATCTCTTGGAAGATGGAAACAGCGGTGTCCAAGCATCCACACTTGACGTACATATCAACAACTGAAGTCCCCACATGCACATCCCACTCGATGCCCTTCCGTTCTATGTACTCATGAACCCACCTACCAGACTCCAGTGCGCCCAAGCTTGCACAAGCTGAGAGGACAGTGGAAAGAACAACCTTGTCTGGCTTCACTCCCGATATCTGCATCGCATTGAACACCTCCAATGCTTCACTAGGACGCTTGCACTGCACCAAGCCACTTATCATAACCGTCCATGAAACAATGTCCCTCGCCAAAAGCATGTCAAATACCCTCCTTGCAAGATCCAGTTTCTCGCACTTGACATACATATCTAACAGAGCATTGCCAACAATTAGGTTCAGCTCCTTCTCCCGCCTGAAGTACCATCCATGCACGGCCTTCCCAGCCCGTGCCGTCCCCAGATTTCCACAAGCGACAAGCACGCTTGCCAGTGTTACCTCGTTCGGTGTAACGTCCATCTCAGCAAGGACCCCGAGAGCCTCCATGAACATACCTCCCCTGGTGAACGCAGACAACAGCGCGGTCCATGACACAACGTCCCGCTCTGCCATTTCGTCGAACACCTTCCTCGCGTCGCCACACTGGCCGCAGGCACCGTAGAACGTGACCAGCGCGTTCTGCACAGGGACGCGCCCCAGGAACCCGGCCTTCTCCGCGACCGCGTGCGCCTGGCAGCCCTCCCGGAGGCCGCCGCCCAGCCGCGCGCACGCCTTGAGCGCCGCGGGGAGCGTGTACCCGTCCGGCCGCGCGCCCGCGCCCGCGCCGGACGCGACGAGGAGGAGCGCGAAGGCGCGGAACGCCGCGGAGGGGTCGCCCGCATGGGTGAGGCTGGAGATGAGAGCGTTGAACGGGTGTGCGCAGCGCGGGCGGAGGAGGAGCAGCGCGCGGAAGGCGGAGGCGGCGGCGGCGGAGGAGGAGGAGCGCGCGGCCGCGGAGGCGAGGTGCCTGGCGAAGTGCGCGAGGAGGGCGGAGTCCGCGGCGAGGCCGGACGTGAGCAGGAGGGCGTGGGCGGCGAGGAGCGCGCGCGCGGGGAGCGGTGCCGGCGACGCGAGGAGGGCGCGGAGGCGGAGGGAGGAGGCTGGCATTGGTGCGGGAGGGAGATATCGGAGTCGGAGCCGTGCTTGAAGCTCATGATGAGCTCACGGCGAAGCCGCCATGGTGTGCCGGCGCGGCGGCGGCGGCGGCGGCGGCGGACGCCGGAGAGGGAGGGAAGTAGGGAACGGAGCTGAGGAAGAAGAGGTGAGAGAGAGGCGAGTGATTCTCGTGCCATCTGAAGCATTGATCATGGATCCAACGGCCTCAAATTGCTTCCTCCGTTCCTCTCAAGAGCTCGATTGAAAACGAACTGCCCCGTCGTTCGCTCATACTTATGTTTTGAATAAATTTCACAAAACTACACGTTTTATGGTCCAAGTTGTAGAAAATCGCACACACTTTGATACTTGACACTTAAGTACATATATTTTGGTAGTGTTGTTTCACAAAACCACACTATCAATGGATGGATTCACCCGTGAAATGACGTGGTTGTTTCACCTAGGACGAGGACATGGCATCCTATTACCAGCCATCGCACAAAATTAATAGGATGCCACGTCCACATCCTAGATAAAACAACCACGTCATATCATGGGTGAATCCATTCATCGATAGTGTGGTTTTGTGAAACTAAACTACCAAAATATATATACTTAAGTACCAAGTGTTAAAATATGTGTGGTTTTCTGTAACTTGAACCATAAAACATATAGTTTTGTAAAATTTACTCCTATATTTATAAGCAAATATTTAATTTTTTTAGTCTTATAGTTTCAAAGTTCATTTTGTGATCTTTTGGTGTAGTACCAAAGCATCCTTTGTACTCCCTATGTTTTAGCTTATAAGATGTTTTGATTTTTGTCAAAATTAAACTACTTTAAATTTAACTAAGTTTATAGGCAAATATAATAATATTTACATAACCAAAATAGTTTTATTAAATTAATAATTAAATTATCATTATTATAAATTTATCTTGGGTCAAAAATATTACTGTTTTTTTATAAATTTGATCAAAGTTGAAGCAGTTTGATTTTGACTAAAGTTAAAACATCTTAACCCCTGAAACGGAGGAAGCACTAAATTAGCTATAAGTTGTACGAAAGCATCCCACTTATGAATCAAATTCTGGAAGATGTGTTGGAGATGTTAGCAGCCTTTGCAGAGAGGACAGTCACTAATTCAGTAAGAAATCGTAGCACTAAATTAATCTTGTCTGTCCTTTTTTTTGGATAAGTGGAGTCATGGTGATAATAAGCTTGCAATCTAAACCTGCATCATCAGAACTCAATGCCTCGGTACCTCAGGAAGGTCTGGGATTGAATTTCTCATTATTTTGGCAGCTTGAGAATCACCATCGCCATCTTATTGAGAGGGTGATCCCTTCCTTTTACCCGTTGAGGCAGTAAGCACGCCTGCTGCGACACAAATAGGATTGTTATGGTAGTCCATACATGAATACAAGAAAAACATAAAAAGGCACACTAAAAAAACATAAGAGCAAGAGTGCACAGAAAAATAACTGGGAAATCGATTCCAGCCAAGTAAGGTCTTATTTGGTTTAGAGTGATTGAAGAGAATTGGAGGAAATTGAGGAGGAATAATTTCACGCCACAATAGGTATGGGATAAATCCGCTCAACTCCCTCCCTCTTGGGAATTAACCAAGCATAGCCTCATAGGGATTAATCAAACAAGGTCTAACTAGCAAACCGCTCCCAGCCAGTGCCGCTAGTCTAATAAGAGCTTTCCCATATAAAAAAAAGACAAACCATGATTATATATCTAGACATACATATCTCCATATATATAGCTAGGTTTTTTTTACATAGGTTATACAAAACTACTCGTCACAACTATAGAGGAGCTAACAGAATTTTTTTAAAAAAAAAACTGGGAAAAAGGGTATGGATAGAGCTGTTATCAGCTGATGATATGCTTGAAAACAATGATTAAATAATGATGGCATAAAGTAAAACTTCAATAATAAAAGGTGGCATAAAACGAAATTTACTTGGGCCACTAGGCGGCCTGTCGCTCGCCCCTCGTGGGTCGTGTGGGTATTTCGGCCCATTTAACGCTAGGCGCTCCGGCTGACGCTGAGCAACCAATCGTGCCAGGATCTTACCAATTTTCACCGTCGAATTTCCTGGCTCAGCGATGCAGGAAAATGAGTGTAGATTGACAAGATCTGCACCTGCTATATGCATTTTCCGTGCATGCCTTTGCTGTACAAAGAACTGTGGAGCACCGAGCACGGCTCAGCTGCTCCGCTCTTGGATCACCTAGATTCATCTATACCTCAACTGTGAATTCAGCTAATCCTGAATTTGTTGATTCAGCTAAAACTGGACATTCAGCAGTATGTAGATTCAACCGCTCTTCGACAAATAGAATTGCATCTACTTAACAAATAAAAAGAAAGAAGAATTAAAAAAAATCAAGAAAAGCATAAGCTTCTCAAGTTCACAATGGAACAGCGAGAAGCTCGAAGAACGACGGCGACTGTGTGGGACTCATCAGCTCCTTCAAGAGGCTTTGCTACTGCTTTGACTACAGTATCTTTTTTTTAAGATAATGAAAGCTTTATTAAGACTTAGTTAAATACACCAAAATGATACATTCCAACTGAGCCCAACTACAGTACCTTCAAATCACCATGGCTCGCTGTTCCCATCATAGCTTCCAAACTGTTCCCAGCTGCATCATTTCCAGATTAGACAACATCCTGGCAAACTCACATATACAACTGAACCAAACACGCACGATCAAAAACTCTGAAAAGAACACGGGATCTAACACTGATAGGAAACTGCAATTTACAACTGTTAAAGTTATTATAAATAACTAAGCTATCCATCTAAAGGGGAAAAAAAAGGGGGAAACAACTAACATCTCTACATGTTCCTAACCATCTAGCGCTACATGCGCCCAACTAAGTATATACATCTGACTGACCATCATAAACATGCTACAGAAGATAAAACAAGGTGAAACGCTCCTGGGAAGCTGGGATCTCTTTTTCCCGAAAACTACCAATGAACATGTTGCGTCAAATTAAGTCATTGCTTCTCACTACTCCGCAATGCCGCCTCGAGCCGCGGAGTCGCTGAGACTATGATGTCCCCATAAGTCTGCTCTTGATTGACTTCTATGAGACTACCACTCTTCAGGATCTGCAGAAGAGAGCAAACGACGATATAAACAATACAAATTGCTGTAAGGATCATAGGGCCTCTGTTATACTTATAGGAGTTGAAAATATGAAACAAACAAACAACTTTTGAGTTTTGATAAACAGAACGGAAATGGAACCAAAGAAGTGCTTGCATATTTCCCAAGTAAAGCACATGAATTGCACTAAAAAATGCACATATTAATTTTATCACAAGGAAGATTGTTCTTGCGTAGAACTGAAATAGATCAGTAATACACAAGATGGGATCCTCAAGACCAGTCATTCTCCAGTGAAAAAGCAACTAAAACTCATGCAGATACTGTGTCCAAGAAATAAGTACAGAAAATGTACCAGAGTTTCATAGAAGAATCTTGCTGAAGTTTTTCTTTTCGTTCCTTCGAGTGCTTGACCAAGGCATACAGAATTGTTCCGTTGTTGGCACTTCTGGTCCACGAGTAGTTGATGGAAGTACCTTGCTACAGTCCTGAATTAGTGCATTTAGAGAATGTTATAGGTTAACGACAACATGAAGAAAAGAAATGAAAAGAAACAGGACAAGTTCATTAGCCACCTTGTTCTTGTTGAACGCAGCAAACCTGTGCAAAATAACAATGTCAGTAGAACTTGGCAAAAACAAAGATCTAATGTACAGGAAAAATAAAAACTAGTATAGGGTGTAAAAGAGTACCTTCATCTCTAGCATGTTGTTCATCCATATGAGTATCCTGCCAGATGCAATTTTCAAATGATTCATTTGCATAAAATATACATTAACAAATGAATTGTTTGCATGGCATTTTGCACACAAAACCAGATATTTTCAAAAGAATTTTATAAAAGAGTTTAATGTAGACAGTGTTACCTCTTCCATACTATCTATATCAGCATCCAATGCCTCGTCGAGCTGTGGATTTTTACTTTTCAATGCATTCAATCTTTCTTGCAGTTCTGTTGAATGAGATTCATGTCCTCCAATTGAGAAATCCTTTTCTTTGACTGTATCGTCATTAAATCTATAGTCTTCATCATTGTGATACTGTGCACTTTCAGTGTAACACCCAACAGTTGCCTGTACACTATCTGTCAATTCATCCAATTTTCTCTTTCTTGGTTCATCTGGAATGCTTTCACCTTCTACATTTTTAGCATCATCGCAGATATTGTTGGATTCAGAAAGCTCCAACGAAAGTCGCCTTCTTGATTTTACTGACTCCCTGCACGAATTTTCTGGTGTATCTGCTGTAATAGTGTGTCTAACGTACACCGAAGTTGGATCTGTGAAAATAAAATGGCCCCTCTTTAGTTAATTATGGAGGTTTCCATCACTAATTGCACCTAGTATAGATGAAGACTTACACAAAATCAATGGATCCATGAAAGTAACTGGCAGAGAACGAATTTTGCCCTCCTTCCAGGTATAAAGACAAGTATGAGGTGCCTTCCTTCTCTGCTGCACTAGATCACTTGCATCCTCTATTGTGTTTCTCAATGTTCTACATTAAGGAGGAAAAAAATCCAAAGCATTAGCAATTAAAAATAGAGAAGTACCACATATTGAAAAATTAATGTTCCAACTTATACTACATGATCATTGATCACATAAAAAATAGTATGGCACTGCAGCCTACCACCTAACCCAAGCCCCCAAACAAAAATAAAGTGCGGGAACAAGAGGCTAGCACCCCAGCCATGATCGCTGGTTCCCACTGCAAACAGGTAGAACCAATGAGAGCACATGTTTTAAGGATTTGAATCCCAGTGGACAACACAAACATCCTCAGGGCCAGCCAACCAAGCATCTTGGTTCTCAGCTTATAATTCTTTATGAGGCTATAGGCTTCATAACTTACAGTACCTTGCCTTGAGCCTTAAATATCTTAGCAAAAAAAAAAAAGGAAGAAGAAGAAGCTGAGAACTTAGATTCATCAAAGAATCCCAAATCCCTGCTTAAGCTGATAAGATGAGCCTAAGTTTGCCAAACCAGCTCCTAGGATACCTAAAAGATCAAACAGGAATAGGTAGTGCAACAGATGGAAGAGCTTCTAAGCTAGAAGCTCTACTTACTCATTTGGTAGAACAATATTTTCATCATACAATACCCATGTTCCTCTTCTTCTAACCTTCCGTTTGTCTCCTCTATCTGTTGGTATATAATCTTTATTGTATAATCCCCTTCTTCGTTTTCTAGTCACCCGGTGCTTCTCCTTTTTAGCTGGTGTAGTAACCATAAATTTAGGAGAGCAGGGTAGCCCTGAATAAATCAGTGAAACCCACACATCACAAATTAAGCATAATAATGACCACAAATAGAAGAGGAATTTTTATCACAAAAATTAAACCTGTGCCACCCTCTGTCATGGGCTCCGGAGTGGAAGGTGACAGCTCATTGATTAGCTTTGTCTTACAGCGCAAAGTTGGTTGTTCAAGAGACCCGGGTTCCTCAAAACCATCACATGATGGATTTGTGTTAGTTCCATGCAGTGACCCATTTTCTGATTCTTCAATTGTGGGACAATTTGCATCACGACTTGGAAAAGTCACATTCTCCACAATATTTTCAGGTATTTGCACTTCCTTACTTCTGTACCAATAAATATGGTCAGCATCAATGCACTATTTTTTCACAAAAATGTTTAAGTAAAAAAAAATTGATGTGACATTAAAATCATAATATGGTAAAACCACAAAAGTAACATTTACTTACCCTGACAAAGGGATGTGGCAAGCAGAATTCCCATTCTCATCCCTATTCAATTCTCTTTGAGGTTTTTTCCCCCTTGTGCTTTTATCTGAAGGATCATTTACTTCAGCCATCATATCCACCATCTCAGGTGGAAGAATACTGTTCCAGAAAAAAAAAAAAGGTCATCGGCAACAGAGGAAAAGTATGCGCACTGTAAAGAGAGAAATGTGACACCATATATACTTACTCCTTCACTGGTGTAAAGCAAGCAGATTCAGCATTGTGATTTTCAGGTTCACCCCCAATGCTACTCAAGCATAGTAGACTGTTGACTTCACTAATGACACTCATCATTTCAGTTGGGATAGTGCTGCATTGAAGCTTCATTCAGAAATTCGGTACAGATAATCTTTTTTAGCATCATTGAGACAGTAATCTCTATACTTACACGCGTACTGGCATAATGCAGGCAGAGTCTAGATCAGCGTATGAGCATGTCATCATCTTATAAGACTGTTCATTGGACCAAAATAAGGCTTTAGTTTCCCAAACAGATAATATACGAAACAAAAGGAAGACATGGTTATTGGATAATAATTAATAAAGGAGTAGCAATTATGTGGTATTATTTATAAATAACACGGGAAAAAATGAAAACCTGGGTGTAATTCGCTAACCCAAGGGCACTAGGCTGTTGTAGGGTGATTTTTTGGTCGTGTATCACCTTGTGTGGTGCTGTTTGTAGATGTGTGAAGGGCTCGTGAGCCCTTGGTTGTATGGGTGGTTTGTTTTTTCTTAATGAAATGAAGCGCAGCTCTCCTTCATTTTCTAAAAAAAATAAGACAATTACAGAACTAACCCCCTAAACCCCTCAGCAACTGACAAGTGGCACCTGTAGCAGTTCTCTAAATTGTTGAACAGAATAATTAGCACAAGGTACAGGACTGCAGCCAGCATCACACTGGTATTCACAGACTTGGTATATGCCAGTCAAAGCATTAGCGGACTCGAGTCCTTTTTTTTTTCAAAAACTACAGTGCTTGCCTAATCAGTACTTTGTCCCAAAATGTAAGCAGTTCTAGAGGTTTTCACGGGAATTAAGAAAATAGGTGCGGTTGAATGGTGGAAGGTTGTGATCGGTTGAGAAGAGAAAGTAGGTGCAGAAATTTAACGGGATATGGCTGTGCTTGGTTCAAATGACGAGGTAGGTGGAGAATTAGCTACATTTTGGGACAAATTTGAACGCTAGAAATACCTACCATTGGGATGGAGGGAGTAGTACTTTCGGCTACCTGGGAGCCTACCTCACTTTGGGATCACTGGATAACACATTCACCTGGCCACCCTATATCAATGCTTAGCAATACCAGGTGTTTCTTATCTAGTATGCATACCATTAGTTAGTTTTTCCATTTCTTCATTTCAGATGTTACTAAATACAGCTCGTGTATGCATGCATGTGTTGGATGGAGTGTGTAGCTCAGTGGTAGAGCACCCAGTAAGGTGACGCCCACCCAGGGCTCAAATCCTGGGTGCCACAGTTCTGTCCACATCGCTGCACAAGGTTTCAGTGGGCACCTTCTTTAAAGCTAAGTCAACGACGACGTCCTACCCCTTGATCAAGTTTTTTTTTTTGTGCATGCATGTGTCGGTAAGTGGTGTGGACAATACAGGAGAGAGCAGTGTACCTCAAACAAACAGGATGTATGGTGATTCTCATCTTCCAACATGGTACCTATACAAAAGAATGCAGAACGTAAATAAAATGGTTTCTTAGCAGTGGTAAAAACATCAATCACAGCAGTTCTACCTTGATGTGGCAATTGGTGATGATCCACGTCATCATCATCCCTACAAAGAAAGTTTTAAAAATAGATCAGAAACCACAATTTTAAGCAACAAGCTAATAAAACTAGTATAGGACCAAAACCTGTTACCTATCTTCAGGAATCCCCAAATCAAAAGAGTCAAGCTCAAATCTTTTGGGTATTGTGAAAGTTGGAAGATCAGGTGTAGCATGTGTGTCTCGAACTTCAGTTATCTGTGAAGTAGCTCTTGTTTCTGCTCTAGTTGTTCGCACAGCTTGCATAGGTATTTTTACCTTGTAAGCACCTTCTTGTCTTACAACTAATCTTCTTGCGCGAACAGGTTTCTTCGCTTGCTTTGAAACTCTATTTGTTGCTCCTCCAGTTGGGATACTTAGTTCATTGCAATGTGCTGATCCATATGATCCAAGAAGCTCATTGCATTCATGGCAGAGGTATTCCACTTTCTTGGAATAAATCCTAACAATGCCAAGCAGAAGCAGTCCCAATACTCTGTATGTGGTTTTGTCGTTGTCATCAGGCAAAATCTTATCTGCCAGGGGAAAGAGGAAATGTGCAAGCGTTACGAGCATATTAGGGAAAGAATGCTAAAAATAAATCGATCTAGAAAAGGAAAGCGTTATAAAATGTCACAACCCGCATTTACTGTTCTAATTTGTTTCATATGCTTTGGATATAGCATTTCCCTTCTTATTAGTTCCACACTTTTGACACCTGTATTTCCGTTACGAGTCAGACCAAACAATATTTACAGGACTACTAGATTTGTTCAATGCTATTAAATTTAGGGATTACAAGGTATTCCTAGTTGGCGCCCGAATCTTGGGTATATGCTTGGGCCTTATTAATAGAACCATACGTAGAACCGTCGTCGTACAATGACCCTAAACCCCAAACCCCAAACCGATGCCATCTACAAAGTACAAAACTCTTCACCATCCAAAAACCCATACCCACAGGTCCATGTTATTACACCCAAGGTGCTACCTTTTCCTTTCACCTCGAGATTTCACATGGAAAATCAAATTGCCACAACGATTACCACAATACAGTATAGAAGGGTACCGAGGCCATGACAGCAAACAACTCCTCTCAAATTCCATTCCCTTTCTTCTTCTTTTTTTACCAGATTCTCATCACATGATTCGCTTCATTTCTATAACCTAAAGCCCCGGATAAACCCCTCTTCCGCACACCGCCTCCCACACTGTTCCACTGCCTCCCACCTAGACCGCAAATTCGACATAAAAACCCACGAAAAATACGCACTTTTTTCTCTCTCTCGCGCGCGCGCGCTGAGGCCGAGGAGTGGGCATCGCATCGCTTACCGACGCAGGCGACGACGTTGGTGCGAACCACCTGGTCCCGGCTGAGCGCCGCCACGCCGCTGACCGCCGCCACCCACACCGTCCCCAGCACCCCCTTCTTCGACAGAAGCACCTTCGAGCAAGACATCCCCCGCCTCCACCCCAAGCCAACAAAAAAACACGCCCTCCACCCCGTCGACCCCCCGCCGCCGCCACCAACAATGCAAGCGCGCCTCGCGCGGGCCGCCGCGCCAATGGCCCTCCGCCCCCTCCTCGCCGCTACGGACGGAGCCGGAAGCAGCCCGAGAGCTCGCCGCCTCGGGTTTTTTTTTTCTTTTTCTTTTTTTACGGTTGCGCTCTTGGAGGAGAGGCGAGGCGAGGCGAAGGGAGAGCAGAGGAGGAGGAGGAAGAAGAGGAGAGGCTTCAAGGGGAAGGAGGAGAAGGAGAAACGGTTGGGGCGATGGGCGAAATGGCGGAGATGCCCTCGCGTTTTGAGAATTGAACGTTGGTAATTTGCTCCGTTTTGAGAGTATTTTCACAACTCCTCCTCCGGTGGTTTCGCGTGTTTGAAAAAAGTTTCCGTTTTTGTGTGGAGGTTGCAGGCGTGTGTAAGGATGGGAATTTGCTTCTTTTTTGGTGATTTGTTTTGGATTTGTGCTGTTGGTTTTTCTAGAAGGGATAAATTTATACCGTTGTGGGAGACTATATACTATAAAAGGGAGGTAAGTGATTGTGAACAATATCTTGCAAAAATGGAGGTTGCCGTTTAATTTGTATAGCCTAAGTTGGAAATTTGCCTTTTTCTGATTTGTTTTGGATTTATTTCTGTTACTCCTTTCTCCTTTTTGAATGACAATGAGAGAATTATATGATGGAAAATATCCCGTGACAACGGCATAATAAGCAAAAAGTTGATTAAATCTCTACTGTTGAGAGATAAGATTGTTGTCATCTTAATACACCACTTCAAAAAAAATCAAGTTAATACGTCTCTGCCATTACAAACTTCACACTTTTTTATAAGCATAGTGGATTATAGGATCAGAAGATAGTAGTTACCAGAGATATCACAATGTGTTATTTGTACAGAGAAAAATAAGGTAAAATCCACCTACAAAGTGGCTAACCCCCTGCCTCCTACAACCTCTTGCAAATGTATAAATAATATAATTTATTTGCTTACTGCATTTATTATCAACTTCCACGGTATTTCTTATCAGGTAGTAAAGCTGCATTTATTATTCTTTTACTTGGTTTTCTACTTATATGGTAGGTGTAGTTGGTTTTATCAACATAAATGTTGGTGGATTAAAACAACATAATATGGATTTAGCATATTAAGATGCGAATCAATATCGCAAATAAAAGGAGCGGTCGAGCTAGACATGTTGACTACTCCCTCTATCCTAAAATATAACAACTTGTAGCCCTCAAGATTTATCCTAAAATATAACAATTTCTACACCAACATTCTCTTCCCAACCAATCATAACCCTATACTATTCACTTTTCCCACCTACCTCCACTATTCATTCAATCACAACCATCCATCATTTACTTCTAACTTCTTAATAACCGTGTCCAACTCTAAAAATGCTTATATTCTAGAACGGAGGTATTAACTACTGTAGATAGACAGAGAGATTAGAAATCCACGTAATATTTTAGTAACACAAGATTGAGGGTAATTGGTGAGAAGGAAACATGAGTCCGATCAGTTCCTACGGAAGAAGGGAATGCTCGAGCTTAGCCCTAGTGACTAACTATTGAGATAATAATTTTCTAGTACGGCCAAGTTTAGTTCTAAACTTTTTCTTCAAACTTTCAACTTTTCTATCACATCAAAACTTCCCTACACACACAAACTTATAAACTTTTTCATCACATCGTTCAAATTTCAATCAAACTTCCAATTTTAGCGTGAACTAAACACACCCTACCTCAAAATCCACATACGAAACAAATAGCATGAATTCCCTCCCCTCTCTTTATTTATAGCAACTAAACAAATAATTTGTATTACAAATCAAGTTCCCAATCCACTTATTCCACCACTAGTTCACATGCCCTTTCCGATTGTTGTTGAACATACACACATAGTTTGAACAGCGGGTATTATAACCTCTAATCATCTAGTGAATCTATTTTCTTAATAATAAATTAAATCCCAGCCGTTTGCGTATGTACATTTTGCAACCGAACCCTGGAAGGTAATTTCACCTCGCGGATGAGGATGAAATCGACGAGGAAGAGAACTCGGACACCGATGCTCACCCGAGGCCGCTACTGAATGCAGTCGTGCTTTCCCGAAGGATAACCATTCCTCGTACCGACCGATCAAAGTGACCAGGGGGTATAGTTTATTTATTACCGCCCGTCACCTTCCAGCAAGGACCATCACTTGGTTTACACGTAGGCTACGGACATGACCAGCTCACTCACCTCAGCAACGGTGCCCGGTCTGCGGATTCGCGAACGCTCTTGGTTTCCTGGAGCCGAATTTGAGCATTTGCACACACGGCAACTTCTCCTCTCTTGTAAATGAGACAGACTTACATGTAATACTAGCTCAGTACCTACTACTGTAAAGCAATAGTCCTCCATGTTTACAAGCATTGATATAGGAAAGTACAAAAGGGGGAGAGAAAAACACAAAGTACACATAGCGAACAATGCACTACACAACAGTACTTGACAAAATGATACATGCGTGTGCTTCCTCTTTCGTACATAGAATCAGCTGCCACCCCCATAGCAATGCAGACAGGCCTCGGATGGCCATTCGAACAGGCAATGCCGGCTGAATTATAGAGGCTCTTCGAGGCCACGTTAGAACAAAATAACGACAACGAATAATCAAACCAATGAACAGATATCGATATATCCCAAAACTCATATCGGCAAGGCATGGGAAGACAAGTTAGAGAGAAGCACGATTACAAAAAGAGACCCAAATATCACTCAAGCGGGTCATGCAAGCATCATATATGATTAAAATTTTAAAGCATATTCTTGTCCAAGTTAATGTGGTCTTGCATCAGGGGAGGATTTGCGCAGTTGAGCAACCCTCACCCTATTGCAGCACAAGCTGCTAAAACTATGCAGAGCAAGCTAAAACAGTAGAAGTCTTGCCTTTCAAGTTGTGTGATCCCATCTAAAACTAATCAGATTAAAGTAGTTTTGTGAGTAACCCGCTCCACTAGTAGTTTAAAGTTCGCAGTACCATTTCAGGTGTCCATGTACTAGTTTTCAAAGTTTACAGGTAATGTCAAGAGGGAAAAAGTTGTAGGGAGAAAACTAAAATGTTGTTCATGAAGATAATGTCATTTAAGAGAAGGCGTTACACCTCAACCATCCCAAAGAAATGGACGAGCGGTCCCCACAATCAGTCAGAAGTATGATGTATATTAATAGACAGGATAGGATAAGTAGACTGACCAGTGACCACTATGGTTCACTAAAGTAACAGGTGAACTCTCTTGAAGACCTTCCACAAAATTTAGTCACTTAGGTACAACAAGCTGAGGGCCATCAAGCTTCCTATCTTGAAGCAGCCACAGCTTAAGCTGCAGACGTGTCACAGACAACAGCTGTAGTGAGTTCAAATAACTCTCCAAGCACTTAAGCAGCATTTAAGTTACCACCAAAATGCAAAGCACAAAATGACTGAGCATATGGTCTTCCACCAGTTCACAAAGCATAAAGGCAGTTTACGCAAAACACTTGTCGCATAAAAGGAGTTAACTAGCATATCTTCGAAGTAGTCAACATGTTGCATAAAAATAAAGACATCTTGACTTTTGATCTCACCACTTCTACCTCGCATGACTATAACTTAGCTAATGGTTAATATTTACAGATATGCTTAGCTGATTAATTCAACCTCATTATCATTTAGATAAAGGAAAAAGACCTTTTTCCAGGTTGCAAGAGTCACAATACATTAGACAGTTACTAATAATATCCTAAAAATGTGGTATACAGAGAACGAAAGCATCAATCGATGCAAGACAAACTTGTTTCCCAGTGAGTTGAAAACCATTCAGATTAGAAGGATACAACAGAAGAACCAAATATTATTTGTAAACGGTTGGTGAACATTATCCCTGAATAGATAAATAGTCCATGAAATAGAACATCAAGGGAGCAAGCGATCAAATACATGGAAGAGTCCACCACGTATAATGAGTAACAAGATACTGAAGTTTCTCTCTTTTAAAGATTTATTTATATAAGTGAAAATGAAAGTTGGCTGCCGAACAGGAAAGAAAAAAAAAAGACCAAACATTCACTTCCAAATTCACAATTAGATAGCTTATGAACAGTAACTACAAAGAAACATTTCATTCTTCCCTCATTGCATCCTACAGTTGATTGGTGCATAGCCAGATGGGATGGGAGTGAAAATATAGTGCTGAACAGCACTGTTGAGTGGTGGATACAGAAACATCAGTTACTGTTACTTACAAGCATTGTTTTGCACAAATTGTTAAGATGCCAAGGAGAATACCTACAGAACAGTATCCTCCGTTTTTCATTTTTCTGTTCCATTTTCCTTTAATCAGTAACCCCTTTTTTTCATTTCTTTTTTAGATATATGGGAACATGTGTCTGTCCAGATTCCAGACAACATTTAAAAAGACCTATGAAAACACAGATAACCTTCAACCACGACCTTTCATCACAAATGATCTTTTGCACGTGCACTCATCAGTTTTAGTCAGCAATACATCACTTGAGGTAAATGGTTTTTGAATATATTTACCTTTCAAGTTGTATTACTGTCCATTGATTTCCTGGTGAAAAGCAAAAGGCATCCTTCCCCTTCGCTTCTCTTGTCTCTTGCAAACAAAATGGAAAGATCAAAAGAAAAGGCACTAGGAGAATATAGAAAAAAAATGATGGAATATTCTTATTTTAAATCCAACGCACTGAACATTGTTTACAACGTACCAATCTGGAATATTTTACATACAGAAGTTCCAAAGGTGAAACTGCTGTTAACCAATAAAAGCCAACATGCCACACCTTACGATGCAGGCAGATTAGACTGCTTTTATGATCAATCTGGTTGGAGTTAATCCTGCAACAAAATTTCTATGATGGGCCAGGTACCTATCAACTTAAACCAGCACCATGCCTGCTAAAGAACACTATCAGTTGCTGGTAGACACCAAGATGCGTGATACTTCATGTCCATGGCACATCTCACCTCAGAGTGTATCTGACCTCATAGATTCAGAATGATGCATGACAGTCAGGATCAATAGAGCCCAAACAAGTTGCTAATAGCTCAGCCAAAAAGACCACGGTTGCCAATGTTCCCTTGTAGTTCTTTCAATCGTTGCTCTTCTAGAGGATCAGGACTCTTCAAATACCGTTTGGTACGCCTGTGGAATTTTAGGAAAATAAATTTCACTACATGAAACAAAGATATTTAAGCAACACTACAAGTAGATTAAATGGTTGCGAAGAAGTACCTGTCTAATTCATTTAGAGCAGGGAATGTTGGCATGAAATCCTTTGATTTAGGTAGAGGAACTTCACGGAACCACTCATGCTGCAAAGCAGCATCTGCTGATAACCGCTGTAAAGCCAAAACAGGTGTGCTCAGATTGAAGTATTTAAATATGAATGCATGATATAAATCATGAAAAAAAAAATAGCAGTAGCACATTACCTTCTCAGGATCGTATGTTAGAAGATTATTTAACAGATCAAAACCTGCTTCAGACAGAATTGGACGACCAGAAAAAGATGCAGCTGGGAACTTATCTCTTAATCGGTTGTACCTGACAAGATAAAAGAACAGAAATTTCATCACAATGGCATATAGACACTCATCAGACCAACACGATTAGGTATGCATTATCCAGGAGACACTTACGGTTGTTTGACAAAATTGACTTTTACACCCGGCAATTTGGCATAGCCAGGCCATATCTTCTCGTTAGGTGTGCCAAGTGTTCTAAATATCTGCAATAAAAGTAGCTTCACCATGAGATATGATCAAATATAATATATATCAAGGTTTATAGGTATCTGCAACAGGAAAGGAAATCCAACATGAGACCTCTGAAAAAAATATAGTAATTGCAAGGATGCAAAATCACAAGTCAAACGAAATACCTTATCTAGCTGTTCAAACTCAGTTTTCCCATTAAATAATGGTTCTTTGGCCAAAAGCTCTGCCATTATGCAGCCCACAGACCACATATCAATGGCGGTAGAATATTCCTTCGTTCCTAATAATAGTTCTGGCGCCCTGAGAAGGAGCAAAAAGGCAGGTCAGATTGATAAACAGAGCTCACAATGGAAAAATTAATGGCAAGCCAAAACACTGGGGATGAATCTGATGTTGACCAAAGACCTACCTGTACCACAAAGTCACAACCAATTGAGTGTAAGGTTTTAGCGGGCTTCCATATTGACGAGATAGTCCAAAATCACATATTTTCAACTCACCACGGTTATTCAGCAAAAGATTTGAGGTCTTCAGATCCCTGGTATATGGAAAATGCATATCAGTATACAGGCATCAGGATAGGTTTGAGGATACTTGGCAAACAAAAATAGAGCGTCAAATCAACAGTTACCTATGAAGTACCCAATTATCATGAAGATACTTCACACCCTCCAACAGCTGGAGCATCAGGCATTTGACCTCACTTTGGCTATATGGCTGCTTCATTGCCTCCATGACACCTTTAAGATCATGTTCCATGTACTCCATCACCATAAAAATACTATCTAGGCTACTACCAACCACTACTTCCTTAACATCAACAATTGAGGGATGGTGAAAAGACAAAAGGATGTTTATCTCCCTAAGAGATGTTAATGGGAAACCTTCTCTCTCCTTCTCCATCTTGACCTTCTTCAACGCAACAATCTCACCAGTCTTCTTATCCCTTGCCCTGTATACAACACCATAGGTGCCTTCATTAATCTTGTTGAGCCTCTCAAATTCATCAACACTTCTGCAACCTTGAAGCATATTTATACATCTGTGCGGTGGCTTCACTGGTTCTGGTGTTTCAGACCGGCGCACTTCATACTCTGAGTCCATACCTGACTGATGATTTGCAATATCACTGTTACCATCATCATCTCTGTCAACGTCCATATAATCATCTTTATCAACTTCCAAATCCTCATTCTCATCAGCACCCAACCTCCCTGAATCAGACGACCTTGACATGGTCCTCCCTCCAGAGATATCACTGGCCACAACCTCACCAAGTTCTGGGCTAAGAGCCTTCTTCCTCTGCCCCAACTCAGCAGAGTCTGCAGGCGATGCACTTTTCTTCTTCCTGTGTGGTGCCCCCTCTTCCTCGTCATCATTAGCACCAGCCCACCTTGAAGTTGATATGTTCCTCATTGTTGAGTACTCTTCTTCCTCCTCCATCACTCTACTCTCCGCATGCTCCTGTAACTGCTCAGGACTCTCGGAAGCAACAGCAGGCTCCACATCCATCGGCGACTTCTCCACAGCCAACCTCTCAGGGATGTGATCCTGCGGAGGCAGAGGGGGAGGGGGAGGGAGAGGAAGCTCGGTAGGCACAGAGTCCACCGCCTTCTTGCCCTTCGCCACATCAGAATGCATTGGCTTTGGGCTATCCCTATCCCATATTATCGGTGAGAATTTCCTTTTCTTGCTAGGTGATGAGGCCGATGCAGCCACCACCGATTCACCATCCCTACTAGAACTTGATACACCATTCTCCCTCGCTCTATGCGGCCTCCCACCAGAGTCATCTGACGCACTACCGCTCAGAACTTCGCCAGGCTCGCGATCCCCGAGCCTCGCTGAGAGGCGACTCCTGGGAGGCGGAGAGCGGCGGTGGCCGTACCCGTTCGACAACTCCCTGCCGCCCCTGCTGCGACCGCCGTCACGGCGCCGGTCAGCTTCGCAGCGGGGGTCGGAGTCGCCGCGTTGGTGTCGGCCGCTCGGGTGGTGGTGGTGCTGCTGCTCCTTGCTCCTCCTGGAAGCCTCCGCGTCGAGCTCCCGCTCCCTTGCCTCGTAGTCCCTGTATCCTCCGTGGCGCCCAGCGGCCATGAGCAGGAATCCAACCAGACCGTGGAAGCCGAGAGAAATTCGACAGAATTCCCCCCACGAAAATTTCCCACGGCAAGCCAAACCCTAGATCCGTACCAAAACCTAGAAAAAAATTCGGCGCGATTCGGACCTGGGAGGGCTGGGGTTTGGATCTGACCTCGAATCGAGCGGCCGGGTGGGATCCGGCCGGGCCGTGGCGGCGGCGGCGGCGGCGGAGGGAGGAAGCGAGGCGGGTCGGGAGGGGAGCGGCGGCGGCGGAGCGAGGTAGGGAGAGGAAGAGATGGGAACGGAAGCGAGTCAGAGGCGCCGCTTCGCGTTGTTTCGAGTCGGCTTCTGCCTTTCCCTTCTTGTCGAGCCGGGAAATCCGCGCGCTCCTAGCAAGGCGTGGCCCTCGTGTGGATGACGGGTGGGCCCATCGTGCCAGCAACTCTGGTAATCACATGCTTGCGGCTGTGTGAGGCGGCAGAGTTGGGCTGGGCCATTTTAACTTAGGACACCCCTGGGCCTATCGAAGGCAAGAATCTCACAGATTACAGGTACTCTAAAGTCTAAGCTAGCCGTCTCTCTACCTTGCCAGGTACAGCATTTACCAGGTACTACTGAAGCTCTAATCGCAGCTAATCCCCAACTGATGAAGCTCTGGCCAAGCAAGACATGTAACAGAATCAGACAGGAGCATTGTGATGATTTGACTGTGAAACTGAAAAAACATATCCCACTCTGGCCGAGTTTAGTTCCAAACTTTTTTTTCAAACTTTCAACTTTTCCATCACATCAAAACTTTTCTACACACATAAACTTTCAACTTTTCCATCACATCATTCCAATTTCAACCAAACTTCTAATTTTGGCGTGAACTAAACACACCCTCAACAGAAAAAGACTGCATTGAGAAAAGCATTTTCAAGAACGGCACCTAGCTTGGCTGGCAGGGAGCTGCCAGGAGCAACATGCTGGCCTGGGTTCGAATCCCTTCGAACGCAGGTTCTCTCGCCAATTTCTTCTCTATCAATATTGAATGCTAAGGGTGTGTTCGCAAGTGCAGGATGGGAACCCATCCCTCCTGCACGTAAAACGGTGCGACCTTTTAACACATGATTAATTAAGTGGCCGTGAGTCGTTGTAACTCTGATACGCTGTATATGATGGATCGGGGAGGAGCACACGTAATCAGTGCCCCGGAGATGTAGGCTACGGCTGAACTCCGTTACCAAATATCGTGTCTCAGTGTCGTCATTGTTTTGTATCTCCTATGGCGTTTTCTTCCTGTCTGCTAGAGGGAAAAACAGGTTGAACCAAAGCCTCTCCAAGGTTGAACCGCTACTGGATGCCGGTCTATTCGCCCTAGGCTTTGTTCAGCCATATGCCACAAAATACGCCGCCTTTGAATCGCTCGTGCCGGCTCCTCCGACACGCGCGACGGCGAACGGCGACAGCGAACAAAGCACGGGAGGCGGCGACAATGGAGTGGAGGCGAATGGGAGAGGAAAGGAAAGGGGGGAAGGTTGGGTTTATATGGGCGACAATGTCGGTTTGGGAGAGGGGAACCGACTTTTGACGGTCAAGCCAGCGAGCTGGCGCTCCGGCTAGCGGCCAAATCGGCGACAGGGAGGAGGGGAATGACGCCGGCGGAGGAAGGGAAAAAGGAAAAAGGGAGGAAGAAAGGGGGCTTGCCTCCTTGCCGCTTTGGGGAAAAGGAGGAGGGAGAGAGGGCGACGCGGCAGAGGGGGGGAGCTCTGCCTCCGTCCCTTGGAGGCACGCGCGGGGAGAGGCGGGGCCGAGTCGATGACGACGGCGATGACGGCGGGGCGGTTTGGAGTGGAGCGGCGACACGGGCGGCAGACGCGGGGCAGGCGCGGCAGGCGCTGACGGCGGCGGCGACTGGCCGGTCGGCCACCACGGCGCGCGCGTGCGCGGGCGGCGCGGCGATTTGGGCGGCATCGGCGGGAACGGCCACGAGAGTGGAGAGGGAGAGCTCGACGCGGCTCACGGGCAGAGCGGGGAGAGAGAGAGAGAGAGAGAGCCGAGGAGGGAGGGGGAGATGGGCCGAGAGGAGTTCGGCCCATCGAACTCGAGGGAGGCTAAATAGACTTTTGCGGAGGGATTTGATTTGGGAAGGATTTGGATTCGGGATTGAACTTGACGATAGATCGGGGATTCGAGATCTGAGATGGCACGGACACTAGACAACAAGCAAAGAAACAGATTTCGCAATTAGGATTTTTAAGAAATAGTTTTCCCGCTAGGCGCCACGACGGAACGGGCGCTACACTCTTACTCTAGTCCTAATACCTATTACAACTCCAAGTCCTAAACTGTAACCGACTACGTACACATATTCGACACAAACTCTAACAAACTCCACCTTGGCGAATATGCCACGCCAACCTAAATTTGTTACTTGCTCGAATCTCCGTGTACCAGGACTTGAGTTGGTTCTGCCGCAGCTCATGCCGAGCCGCCCGACGAGCCTACGCCAGGCTCGCCGCCTTCAGGATCGTGTACCGCAACACCAACATACCCATCTTCCATGACTCCACCTGCAACAACACTCCCTTGTAACTTGTACAAACATGAGCTCGTCATCTCACAAGTCATAACAGTCTTGCCGTCCTTCATGATATTCATGGTCTTCCTATCAGAATCCACCTGATACAACCAACCCGTCTCATGTAGGCTCCCAAGCGAAATCAAACTCTTCCTTAGTCCCGGCATGTGTCTCACATCCGAAAGTAGCACCTCGTTTCCATCATACATCTTGAACTTGACATCGCCCACTCCAACAACACGATAACTCGTGTCATCGCCCAAGTAAACAACACCAAAATCACCAGATTTGTATGAAGAGAACCACTCCCGCTTCGATGTCACATGATAGGAACTAGCTGAGTCTAACATCCACGCTTCTCCAGACTTCTCGTTAGACACTGTGAGAATCTCATGACTGCTGCTATCTGAATCATCACCACGAGCTGCTAAACTTGCAATGCCACCTTTCCTCTTCTTTAGTAACGGGCAAATCCTCCTTATATGTCCAAACTCATGACACTTATAGCACCGTGCCCCCTTCTCCTTGCTCTTCGACACCCCCGCTTCATAATCATGCTTTGCCTTGACCAGCAAACTCTCAGCCTGAGAAGCCTCCGTTGCCTCATTTTTCTTTGATCTTCTCAAGTCTCGTGCAAGCAACGACGAAATTATCTCCTCAGTTTTGACATTATCCTTGCCGTGCGTCAGGGTAGTCACGTTCATAAGACGGTGGAAGCGAGCACAGAAGAATTATGGCCTTGTCTTCATCATCCAGTTTCACATCTAACTTTCTTAGATCCACAACCAACTGATTGAAGATGTCCACGTGCTTCCTAAGATCTGACTCCTCTTGCATTTGCAAACCATACGACTGTTGTTTGAGATACAACTTACTCGTCAGCGACTTGGACATATACAGGCTTGCCAACTTGTCCCAAATTTCCTTCGGCGTTTTTTCATCCATGACCTGGTACATGACAGAATCCAAGAGACTCAAGCGTATTGTTGCAGCTGCCTGCGCCTTCATCTCATCCCACTTGTCAGCATCCATCTTTTCCGGCATCATCTCCTGAAGTGCCTTGGCATCGTCTCCTGATTTTTTAAGCAACTTTCGTATATAATTTTTTTTGCAAAAAACACACTGTTTAGTAGTTTGAAAAACGTGCGTGCGGAAAACGAGGGAGAGAGGTTGGGAACATGGGGTTGCAAACACAGCCTAAGTTACTTCTTAGTATTCCAAATTGTTTTCGTTCAAAAAAAAAAAGAAAAGCATTTTCCAGGTAATAATAAAGCTCTATTGACAGTTAATCTTCAACTGCAAGCTCTAACCATACAGCAAGATGCATCACGTATTCAGAGAGCAGCAGTGTGAAGATTTAACTGTGAATCTGAGTAAGCGAGTATCGAACAAAGTACATACTGTCAAAGACTACTGTGAAATTCAGAATTGCTACTTGATAGTCGAACTGAATGGACTAACAGATGCTTTACTGAACGGAGTAGTTTACAAGCTTTGCATGTAACAAGTGTTATCCTAAGGTTCACTTCATTGATAGACTAGTTCAGTTTTCAGACATTGTAAATGCTTTATCATAAACGCGCCAGTAGACCAGGGACTCTGCAGCAAAGAGTGAATCAAAATGTTCTAAGCCCGCATCAGTAGACATTGTCCTATGACTGAAAAAAAAAAACTCGATTCAGTGGCAATTGAGCTCTTAGCTACTCCCATATGAGCAAAGGAAAGGAGCCATGTACCGATGATTCAGAGCGCTAGAATATTGATATTTCAAATTCTGTCAGATGTTTCATAAAACAAATCCTGAATTACAGCTCTGACTGAATGGCAATTTCCATATGGGCAAAACTCCGAAAGTGCAAAATCTCATGTGACCAGGTTATCAGATTTATCAGTTTCACTCTTTCAGAAGCAAAATAACCTGTTTTATGATGCAGGAGCAAGATGACATGTTTCGATTCAAATTGCCTGGACTCATCTCACTCCATCACAGTTGCACACAAAAAATGCACAACACTGGCATGGTCAACACAATGATACTACTAGTAGTTCAGCACTATGCACCATTTTTTTTTACTTGAACCATTACTAAATAATGAATACATTGGGACAGTCACAAGATCCAATAAACATCAGTATCTCAAAGCTCGTCAATTAGTCAATGAAGTATTCAACACCACATCAAACTGAATATTACAAGCAGAATTATGCCAGTGCAATGAGCCTTATTGGCATTGACAAGAGCAGATCAATCATCACCAAAAGTCTAAAACAACAGAACGGATGCAGTTAATATTGCAGGAATATTCATTTCTCATTGCAATTTCAGAAATCATGATGCAGCATCCAACAATAAGTTCAGGAATTCACCAAAACTCCGAAAGCAATCATCTCTGCTTGAAATGTTCAAGTTTTTACTCCATCCTAAAGAACTTACAGAACCGCAACAACATAGCAGAAAAGTATATATTCAGAGTTGTTCATCAAAAGTCTTGAGTTACAATTTCTGATGGTAACACAAAACAGATGAATGTGATACTACGACCACCTAAAGAACTGAACAGAACTCTTCAATGGAACCCGAGTTACGATTTCTGACGGATAGAAAGGCGGATGAATGTGATACTACTATGAGTCTATGACCACCCTAAGAATTGAACAGAAATCTCCGAGGAACCTAAGTACCTAACTAACACTGATCGGCTCCAATAAACGAGAAACCTATGCAAGAAAATGCCTAAGAACACGCGAGACTAGTAACAGAAAACTGCCATCAGAAACAAAAAACTTAACGATGAAACAGAGAACCTGCGCCTCCACATCGTCGATCGAGGGCCTCATCCTGTCAGGCCTTCTTGTTGTCGCGGAGCCACTTCGCGATGTCGCAATCCTCATGGAAGTCATGCCCACCGGAGAGCGTGCGGACATCGTCGCGGGCCACCATCCTGTGCTGGCAGATCGGGCATGCGTCGTTCAGCGCCCGGTCCAGTGTCCTGACGCCGCCGCGAGCACGGATGTGCTGAAACCTCTGAGCGTTGTGGTCTATCAGGTTCGCCGGCGACGCCTTCCACGGCAGCATGCAGCGGGCGACACGGTTGCATATTCTGCATCTCATGCCGTGCTTGCGGTTGCGGAGGCGCTCGTCGACGCAGGCCTTGTGGAAGACGTGGTCGCAGGAGAGCGCGCGGACCACGGCGCCGGCCATCATCTTCTGTTTACACAGCTTGCACTGTGGTCGCAGCGCCTGATCCAGGGTCCTGACACCGCCGAGCGTCCAAATCCGCCGCCTATACCACATACTCAGCGTCTCTCACCCCGCCGCCAGGTACGGCCACGGCCACCCCGCCGCCGTCCACATCCTCAGCATCCGCCACCCCGCACACAGAAGGTGAAGGAAGACGAGCGAGGCCATGGCGCCGACGAGGTCCATGGTTGCTGCGCTGATCGCCTCCTCGCTCTCTTGCTCTGCTCTGCCTTGGAAGAGAAGGTGGCGGTGGCGCAGTGGCTGGTTTGCAAATTGGAAGGCTGGATGGCCCACTTGGCTAGTTATAAAGCGTCGGCCGCGAGCACCCGTGCCGTCGATCGCAGATCGGACGGCGAGGGTACAGACGATTAGCACTAATCATCACCACTTGCTAACTAACTCCTGCGAATTAGGGCGAATTAGTTAGGAGTTCTACTTCGTCACGGCAAGTGATCTACCGTCGGATCTCTGATCAGCGGTCTAGATAAGCCGGCGCGGTGCTGACTCCACCGACTCCACCTTAAATCTCGGGCTCCCTCCTCCTCCGCACCATTGCCATCCTTCGAATCGACACAGAGAACTCACGAGACGAGAGAGGAGGGGAGGGAGAAGCAAGGAAGGAGCAGAGAGGAGAGGGTGGGCGGGGCAGCAATGGCGGAGAGGGACGTAGCACGCCGCCGGCTCGCGTCCTCGCGCCCCATCTGCGTTCCGTGGAGGGAGCTCCTACACGGCTGCCTCCCGTGGCTGTGGTTGCGGAAGGAGACCGGCTGCGCGGCCTGCATCATCTGCCGCGAGGGGATGAAGGGCCGCGAGGAGGCCGTCACCATGTCCTGCTGCGGGAAGACGTGCCACCAACGCTGCTTCGAGGCTTGGAGAGCGGAGACAACAACGAGATTTCAAGTCTGCCCGTGCCCGGGCTGCTACGACCTGGACCCCCTGTCGCCGCCGCCGCCGCCGCCGATGTGATCTTCGGGTTTAGGGTTCTTAGGATTCTAACGCTTTCTTCTCCACTCTGATGCGTCATGTGATTGTGTCTGGCCTGGATGTCTGGTTCTTCAATAGTTTCCTCTGCTGGTAGTTTTCTTGTCGCCGCTACTCGCCACATGATTATTGGGGCGCTTCTTAGGATTTATGTTAGAGTTCTTAGGATTTCTGATTTCTGTTAGAGTTCCTTCTGAATTCTGATTCTTTTCGGCCAGAATTGTTGCCCTTGTTGCTTCCCATGTAACAAACTGAAGTCTGAATATTTGGATATGGAATATGAAGATCTGAAGATTTTGGGAGATGTCAATTCTTCAATTTGTCAATGAAAGAAGGCATAAGCCAAGAAGTGGTCCTGAATTAGTACTGACTAAGCGATATGCTATTTTGCGATGATAACTGCATACTGAACTATTGATCTTGACAAGTACAATGTTGTTTGTTATGTATACTGCAGGAATTCTCTAAGTCTTTTTTTTTTATCATACAGCTTAGCTGAAATCGCCTGCTAAATATTCAGTGTACAGAGAATCGTATTAATGTCCGGCATACTATTGTGGGTCTAATTCTGCAATGTTATCTGAACTACCTGAACTTTGTGTGGGCTTGCCATCTTTGTCCTCCCTTAATTCTAACACCAATTTGTATCCCACGGAGTGCATTATGTAAGTTCATCTGATTAGAAAGTTTATCAAACCTGCAATATGTAGTAGTATGTTAGCTCATTTTTCAGAAATAACTTGCTACAGCAGAAGCTGACTTTACTGAACTTAACAACTTCAAGGATGCAAAGCAATGTGCAGTAGTGAAGTGGTCGTACACTTCTCTTTTCAAAAGTGGTTGTGCACTTGTACAGATCGAGTTGTACTACTGCATGTTTTTGCCTAGCTCTGCAGAAACCTGAAAACCACGATTACCATTCCAAAACCCAATCTGATACAGGCAGCCGCATATACGCCTCGTGTGTCCTGCTCGGCCAAATCATACGCCCACCAAGAACAAGAATTCGTTAACGAACTAGCCGATCACTACCCGCCCTCCGATCTGCGATCAACGGCATCGGTGCGCGCGGTCCACGCTATATAAGCCGGCCTTCCAAGTGGGGTCCAGTGCAATACCGTTTCATCCCGCAAGGCTCCGGCCTCTTCTTCCACCTCCAAACTCTACGAAACGCAAAGCGAGGAGAGCGCGAGGGGGGGAGAGGAGAGGATCGGGGAAGGAGAGGCATGGAGAAGGGGGGATTCATCGCAATATTCGTCGCCTTTGGGCTCATCAACCTCGGCTTGCACTTGTACGAGAGGGCGCCGGGGTGGTTGGTGTGGATGCTCGGCGGCGTCACCACGCTGGACCGCGCGCTGGGCGACTGCTCGATGTGCCGGTACGGCATGGTGGCCGGCGACGTCGTCCGCACGCTCTCCTGCGGCCACGTCTTCCACAAGGACTGCGACTACAGCGTCGACAAATGGCTCCGCGAGCACGGCCTGTCCTGCCCGGAATGCCGCAAGAAGGCTCGCAGCGTTCGCGTGCTGCCGTGGAGAGCGCGGCCGCAGCAGCCGTTGCCGGAGGAGCAGAACCCGCCGCCACAGGAGACGTCTGCGTCGTCGTCGTCGTCGTCATCGACACACGTCAGGATTGCTCCGGAGGAGCCGGGCGACCTCGACCTGGAGGCTCAGGACCAGCTGCTACCGCCCCCGGCGACAGGTTCGCCCAAGGGCCCGGAGGAGCAGCACCCACCGCGGCCGGCGGCGGCGACGTCGTCGAGCTCCGCCGACACCTCGAGTTTGGAGGAGCCACTTCTGCGGCCATCTGCGTCGCCATGATCAGGGTTAGACGGAATCACGGAACGGGGCACGTCCGACACCTCGAGTTTAGTTTGGATCAGTTCCTGGCCAGGTTCTCTCTCTGTTTCTGTTGGTAGATTTCTTAGCAGCCACGCAAGATTCATGGGGCTCTTCTCGTTAGGTTCTAGAAGCCGATCGATGTCAGTACGGCCTTTGGAGTCATGCTCATTCTGTCAGAGTTTGTAACTTGGTTGCTGATGGAATTATCTCCAGTTTGATGTGGTGTTGAATGCCTTGATGACTAGCTGATGATCTTTGATATATGTCCTTCTGTTTTTGATATAAGCCAATCTGAACTGAAGTATACCATCTCGCTCTTCGAAATGCTTCTTTTATCATACGATAGTCTCAACAGATGGAAGCTTGGAGCATATTTTTGATTTATTGTCACGCTTTTCTTAGAATCCTTATTAGTTTAACACATAGGGGAGGTAGACTGAACACTGGACATCCACTCAGTCTGATTTTGTACTGATCACGTCAATGACTTAAATAAAGAATTAAAGTTTGTCACTCACTTTGATTCTAGTTTGTTCTTTAAGTTGTCATATATAGTGTTGCATTCAACCGCTTCTTCTTTCCATCATCTGCTTGGCTTTTTGATGCTGCTATCTGAATATCTTTCTTTTTTTTTGCTATCTGAATATCTGAATAAATGATCAATAACAGTTACTCATTCTTGTTAGCTGTGATTCCTGTGATCTATTTAGGGCAGGCCGTTGTGCTATTTGTACTATTGTTATGATGTTCAATGATGTATCTCTCGTGTGATTTGGGGTCTGATGGACTAGAGACCTGAATGAAGATGGTTAGTTTGTGTAAGTTCCTCAGTATATTTTGGATAGTTGCGTGTTAGTGTATTCCTGAAGATCTTTAAGATGGTATCTGCAGCCGTTCAGATGGCTGACAAATTTGATGATGGATTATTTGTTCATTCGGCCTACTAATAAGTTGAATGCTAATCTTTAGTTTGAGGTGGTGTTCGAGGTGTTGATGATTAATTTGACAAACGTTGAGCTCCTTCAGTGTACTGGATCCTATGAGCTCTCATTGGATTTTTATGCCATAACGGACACGGTGCTTAGGCTGATATGTGTATCTCACTGTAGTCTTTCACAGTACCTGTTCTGTCAGATACTTAGATTCACAGTTTAATCTCCGCCTTGCTACTATCTGAATATGTGATGTTTCCGGTAGTGTGGCTAGAGCTTCAGCAGTTGGAGACTGTGATTGGAGCTTCAGTATTAGTATTACCTGTAAATGGTGTTTTTGTAATGCAGTTTCTTTCAGTGGGATATGTTTTGTCAGTGTCACCTTGCTTCTCTCTGAATCTATGATGCTGTTCTTTTAGGCATGTCAGCATATGTCAATTTCACGTTGCGGAACTCAGTACCAGTCCTGGGACACAATTGCTGTTACCTCCGGTCAACCGAGATGCATCACAGCAAATTAGCAGCTAAACATAGAATATTTCCCAAGAAGGAAACATTCCTTGGGCTGAGGGAGGGAGGGGAGATCAATAGATTTTGGTTTTAGGGAGGGGTGAAAAAGGACCAGGGAATCTGGGCTTTAGCACAAATGGGAATGAGGCCCGGGAGGGAAATAAAACAAGCCTTAAATCCATGGAAAAAGTATACTTTGACTCCCTCAACTATGGTCCGAGTATGATTCATAACCTCCAACCATAAAACCAGGTATATTGACTCCTCCAACTATCAAAACCGGTGTAAAATATATCCCTGAGTAGTTTTGGAAGCGATTTTGGCTGACGTGGCGCCTACGTGGCACTGTTGACCCAATCTTCGTCCCACGTGTCGTTAACGTGTCGCTTATGTGGCATTTTAGAGTAAAAACAAAAAAAAATACGTGGGACCGACATGTCATTCACACAGAAAATAGTGGGACCCACTGTCATGTGGGCCCCACATGTCATCTCGTGCGCCGGTGCCCGGTGGGACAAGCCGACGGAGGCGGAAGGCCGACGAAGGCCATCGGTGCGCCGCCGGCTTCCGTGGGTCCCGTCCCCTCGGCGACAGCTGAGTTCGAGCGTGGTGGAGGCCGGCGACGGGTCTGGGTGGCGGAAGCAGGATTGCGGATGGCGGGAGGCGGCAGAGGGAGCTCGTCCACCCAGTGAGGGCGTCGTGCTGGTAGAGGTGAGGATAGGGTCCATCCCCCCGGCTGCGCCGCCGCCGTGCTGCAGTCAAATGCTGCTTCCCAGGGCGTCGGCGAGCTAGCCTTTGATTTTGCTTCGACGTACAGCTAGCCGTGGATGGCGGAGGGAGCTAACGACGGCGACGGCGACAGCTGTCCGCGTGCGGGGAGGAGCTCACAGGCCATCCGCGCACGGGGAGGAGCTCGCCGGCCGTCCATGCGCGGGGAGGAGCTCGCATGCCGTCCTCGCGCGGGGGAGGAGCTGGAGCTCGCCGGTGGTCAGGAGCAGCGGCGGTGCGGTGGGGGTGCGCGTGCGGGGAGGAGCTCGCCGTCCGTCCGCGCACGGGGGAGGATCTGGAGCTCGCCGGTGGTCGGGAGCGGCGGCGGTCGGCGCCGGCGTCCGGTGGCCATGGGCAACGACGACCACGACGCCACCAGGCCGGGGGAGAGAAAGGGAGATAAGGGAGAGAGGGAGGGAGGAGGAAGAAGGGAAGGAGAGGGAGGATGTCAACGGGTCCCATATTTTTTTAATGTTTTTTATTCTAATGCCACATAAGCGTCATGTAGGACAAAGACCCGGTCAAGACCGCCACGTAGGCGCCATGTCAGCCAAAACCACCTCTAAAACCACACAGAGGCATTGTTTGCACCGGTTTTGATAGTTGGATCGATATATCTGGTTTTGTGGTTGGAGGATATAAATCATACTCGGGTCATAGTGAGGGAGTCGAAGTATACTTTTTCCTAAATCCATTGGATGGAAGGATTTATGCCTGTTCGGCCTGATGGGAAGGAGAAAAAGGCCGAGGCCTTCTCATCCTGGCAGTTACGCGAGATCAGCACTCGAATTGTCGAACACCCCGTGCGCGAACTCGCACGCGTCGCCGTGATTGCACCCGCCCTTGCGGAAGTCCAGGCACGCCGTGCCAGAGTCGCAGTACGGCCTCGTGTCCGGTGTCCCTCCTCCGCGCCTTCTCCCTCGGACGCGTGAAAGGGCACTCCGTCCAGTCCTGGCTCCGCCCGCGCGCGCACCGTCGCACCTTGAACTCGTTACATCCTAAGCCCATCACACGCGTACGCGTCCACCGCCGCCGCCTCGTTCGACGGCAGGTAATGCCGCGTCGCGTCGAGCTGGTGGTATATGGCGCGCGGCCATCTCACTGTCGCTACCGCTTCCTCCTCCCTCCACGCCGCTCACCGCCGCCACATGTTCATGCGCGCCCTCACCCATCATCATCATCTTGTTCTTGCGCTCTCCTCGCCCGTACCGAACTTGTGTTTACCCCACCCAAAAAAAAAACCCTAATCCCCTAACTAGACCCTAGCCAATTGTTCCAACCCATCTCATTGTTCAGTAACGGAACAGCCTGTGCAATTATGTAAATCTTCCACGATGATAGTACAGGAAAGGACAACCGCACAAAGCATAACGAAAATCTAAAATAGATAGACTTCCCAATGGAAAACAATACAAAGGTGCATTAACAGTACTATCGGATGAAACAATATATATATAAATATGAGAAATATTCATTACAGTAAAGCTTTAAATTCAGAAGAAGGGACATACTAAAAAGGTATAGCTTACACTAACGATATTATTGGAACAAAGCCATCAAAACGGCTAGGCACCCATGTAGCTAGCTAGTAACCCATGCAGCTGGTTATAATAAAGCCAGCCATTAAAACATAGTGGCTACATGTAAGAAAAAGGCCAAAACCATCATTATTAGTTCCTTCAAGTTTCGCCATCATCCGTACGTGGTAGTAGTGCATCGCCATCAGGAGCGCGAACCGGATGACCAAGACGGCGAACCAGAAGAGGACACGACGAACTGCAGTGCCGTCTTTCTTTTCTTCGTCAATCTTCTTCCCGTCTGCCATCAAACGTGTCTTTGTTTCTGCTGACAAGGGCTTGGAGCCGGAGCCGGAATCTGCGCGACAATACTTGATCTTTGTGGATTCTGTCATTGTGTGGCAAGCGACGATTGTGTGGTACTATCTTTGTTGCAGCCGGTCGTCGACGGGGGCGATACTTATACTGGTAGAAGAAACAGAGAGTCGGCATGCATCGGAAGTCGGTTCGGTTTAGGACTCGCGTGCCGAGTCGACGTAGAGCTGTGTATGATCTCGCGACGAGAAGTCATCTCCGAGAACAAAAGAAGCACGAATCCTAATGCACTTCCGTTAACCCCTGCGAATTAGTTAGGAGCTCTACTTCGTCACGGCAAGTGATCTAACGTTTGTTCTCCGATCAACGGTCTAGATAAGCCGGCGGTTGTACTGGGCCCCACCTTAACCTCGTGCTTCCTACTCCTCCGCGCCACTGCCGTCCTTCGAAAGTTCGAAGTTCGAATCGACACAGAACGCACGAGACGAGAGGGCTGCCTCCCGTGGCTGCGGAAGGAGACCAGTTGCCGCGAGGGCATGAAGCGCCGCGAGGAGGTCATCACCATGTCCTGCTGCGGGGAGACATACCACCATCGCTGCTTCGAGGCCTGGAGAGCGGAGACAACGACGAGACCCTATCGCCGGCGCCGCCACCACCGATCTGATCTTCGAGGGCGGTTCTTAGGATTCTAACGCTTTCTTCTCCACTCTGATGTGTGTGATCATGTCTGACCTGGATGGCTGGTCCTTGGATAGTTCCCTCTGCTGCTGGTAGTTTTTTTTGCTGTCGCCGCCACTCGCCACATGATTTTTGAGGCGCTTCTTAGGATTTTTGTTAGATTCTTCTTAGGATTTATGTTAGATTTCTTCGGTAGTAGTATTGCCTTAGTTCCTTCTGATTCACTTTGGCCAGAACTGTGTCCCATGTTGCTTCCCCTGTAACAAGGTGAAGTCTGAATATCTGGATATGGAATATGAACATCTGAAGTTTTTGGGGATGCCAATTCTTGAATTTGTCGATGCAAGAAGGCAGAAGCCAATAACTAGTCCTGAATTAGTACTGATTAATCGATATGTTGTCTTGTGTTGAGAACTACATATTGGTTCAGAAATCGTTCGGCGGCATTGCCGATTTTTACAGTAATTGATCAGTACACTGTTAACTCTGTAAGTCTTTTTTTGATCATACAGTTTAACAGAAATGACCAGCTAAATTCAGTGGAGAGAGACGGCATGCCATTGAGGGTCTAAAATTCTGCAATGCTATCTGAACTATCTGAATTTTGTGTGGGTTTGCCATCTTGGTTCTTAGTTCTAACACTAGTTTGTATCCCGTAGCTATGGAGTGCACTTTGCAAGTTCATTTGATTAGAAATTTAGAAAGTTTATCACAGATGCAACATGCAGTAGTGTGTTAGTTCATTTTCAGAGATAACTTGCTACAGCAGAAACTAACTGAACTGAACTGAACAAGTTCAAGGATGCAATACAGTAGTGAAGTACTGAAGTGGTTGTACTATAGCCTACTGCATGTTTTTGCTTGGCATTGCTTAGCTTCGCAGGAAACTGAAAACCACAATTACCATTCCAAAACCCAAATACCCAATCCGTCACAGGCAGCCGCATAAGCCTCCTGTTTCTTGCTCGGCCAAATCATATTGCTCACTAAGAACAAGAACTCGTTAACGAACTAGCCGAACACTCCCCGCCTTCCGATCTGCGATCAACGGCATCGGTGCGCGCGCGGGGACCACGCTAAGCTCGCCGGTGGCCTTCCAAGTGGGGTCCAGTGCAATACCGTTTCATCCCGCAACGCAAGGCAAGGCAAGGCATCCCTCTTCTTCCACCTCCAAACTACATGGAACTAACTGGTTGGCATCTTCCAGAACCACCGTCTTCCACCGTCCGATCTGTGATCGACGGCGGCGGTGCTCACCACCCACGTTTGATAAGCAGCCAGGTAGGCCAGCCAGCGAGGCCTACCTCGCCATCACCATTGCCACCGCGCCATCGCCACCGCCACATTCCAAAAGCAGAAGCAGTCCAAGGCGAGAGACAGAGTCCGCGACATGGTTCGATGGAGTTGTCGGCTTCTGCTCTGGGTTTCGGTCTTTGTCTTGACCCTCACCCAGTTGGGGGCCTTCGTCGTCGTCTTCGGCGAGGGGGAGGACGCCATACCTCGCGTTCTGATTGCCGCCGCCGTCTTGGCTACGTACCACGTCCTGCTCACTTTCCGGTGAGCGGAGTCGGCGGCGGCTTGCGCGGGTTCCTCCACCGCGCGCCGCCGGGTTCTGCCCGGAACGACAAGGGCTGCGCGAGGCGCCACAAGACGGCGTCGAGTTCGGCGACGAGCGCGGAACCCATGGACGAGGGCGAGGCCGACCTCCTCCAGTTTCTCTTCGTCACCTCCGGTGTCTCCTGGGGAGGCATCGTGGGGGTCGTCGTCGCCGTGAACGCCTCCGTACCGGCTGCGCGGGTGTGGATGCTCCCCGGCGTCACCACGCTGGACCGGGAGCTGGGCGGCGACGACTGCTCGATGTGCCAGTACGACAAGGATGCCGGAGCCGTCGTCCGCACGCTCTCCTGCGACCACGTCTTCCACAAGGCGTGCATCGACGTGTGGCTCCGCGAGCACGGCATGGCCTGCCGACTTTGCCGCCGTACCGCTAGCTGCGTGCTGCCCTGGAAAACCGGAGGGCGCCGCCGACACGGCTGATCGCGGCTGATCTACGCGGCGGTGGCGGCGGGTGGCGGCGGCGGCGGTGGTCATCACTCATCACGGAGCTCGGAGGGGTCAAGGCCATCGACGATGTGCAGGCGTAGGTTGTTTGGTTTCGTCGTTTTCTGTTTTTGATGGCAGTTCTCTTTCTAGTGTTGTGTGTTCTTGGTCCAGTCTTCTTCGAGTTGATCGGTGTCAGATATGTTCCTCGAAGATTTCAATTCGATTCTTTAGGTGGTTGCAGTAGTATCGCATTCGTCCGCCTTTCTTCCCGGGAGAAATTGTAACTCGGGTTCCTTGGAGATTTCTGTTCAGTTCGTTAGGCGGTCGTAGTATCGCGTTCATCCTCTTTGCCTTTCCGTCAGAATTTGTGACTCGAGTTGCTTGACTATCGATGAACTACTCTGAATAAGTTCGGAATGAGATGAGTATAAGTCATTTTCGAGTCAGTGCTTGACTATCGATGAACTACTCTGAATAAGTCATTGACTCATTTTCTGCCATGTTGCTGTGATCCTGTAAGTTCTTTAGGTTGCAGTAATTTCTTGCAGCATTACTTGGAATGATCTATGGTCAGTGCTTGTTTAGTTCGCTCGGATTTTGATGGAGTAAAAACCTGAAACATTTCAAGCAGAGATGATTGCTTTTGGTGAATTATTGAAGCTATCGTTGGATGTTGCATCCTGTGTCTGAAAATTGCTGCAATATTAACTGCAGCCGTTCTGCTTTTTAGATTTTTTTTTGTGATGATTGTTCTGCGAGAAATTTTACAGTAAGTTACAGTAAAACCTCGACCATTTTAGGCTTGTTTAGTTCCCAAAATTTCTTTCCCAAAAATATCACATCGAATCTTTTGATACATGCATAGAATATTAAATATAGATAAAATAAAAAACTAATTACACATTTTACATGGAAATCATGAGACGAATCTTTTGAGCCTAATTAATCCATGATTAGTCATAAGTGTTACAATAATCTACATCTACATGTGCTAATGACGGATTAATTAGGCTTAATAAATTTGCCTCGCGGTTTCTAAGAGAGTTATAAAATTAGTTTTTTCATTCGTGTCTGAAAACCTCTTTTAACATCTAATCAAACGTCTAATGTAACTCCTAAAAGTTTTCTTTTCACGAATAAAACAAGGCTGTGCCAAAACCTGCATCTGTTTCTCTTTTACTTCACCTGTGATCGGGGGTTTGCTCTCTCTCGTTTGGTTGCCTCCCTGAATTCGGCCCAGCACCAATGCTTTGCTCGGCCCAAATCCACCGAACCCAACTCGGGTGCGAGTCCGACCGACCGACTTAACCCAAACTTACCTCGGCGCCGGCGAGCTTAGCCTTTTCTCCCCCAAAACAATCGAAACCCTACCTGCCGCCATCCTCCTCCCGCTCCCGCCTTCCCCCTTGTCGGCGCGGACGCTCCCCCCACAAAACCCTAGCGAAACCCCGCGGCGGCGGCGGAAGGGAGAGGAGATAGATGGCGTCGGAGGAGGAGACGAGCCGGCTTTTCCGCATCCGCCGCACGGTGATGCAGATGCTGCGGGACAGGGGCTACCTCGTGACGGAGTTGGACATCGACCTCCCGAGGGGCGACTTCGTCGCACGCTTCGGGGATCCCGTCGACCGCGACCATCTCGTCTTCAGCCGCCACAAGAAGGACAACGGCGCCGACCAGGTACGGCTCCTCCTCCTCCGCCGCCGCCGCCGCCGCCGCCTCTGTTTTCCGACTGGGCGGGCGCCGCACACCGTGTGAGTTGTGACGAGCGGTCGCCGCGAATTTGTTTTTTTTCCTCTTCTTCCCCTCTTCGCAGATCTACGTCTTCTTCCCCAAGGACGCGAAGCCCGGGGTGAAGACGATCAGGAGCTACGTGGAGAGGATGAAGCAGGAGAGCGTGTTCAACGGCATCCTCGTCGTGCAGCAGGCGCTCAGCGCGTTCGCCCGCAGCGCCGTGCAGGAGGTCTCCCAGAAGTTCCACCTCGAGGTCTTCCAGGTCCGCCCTCTTGCCACATCCATTCGCCTCTGTACTCGTGTACTCCCCATTTATTACTGGCACCGTGGAGAGCAGTGGTTTGAGGTAGCACTTGTTTGTGCAGGAAGCGGAACTGCTTGTGAACATTAAGGATCATACCCTTGTGCCAGAGCACGAGCTCCTGACGCCTGAGCAGAAGAAGACGCTGCTGGAGCGGTATACCGTGAAAGAGACTCAGGTCTGGAAATAGACATTTTTTATTTTCTCATAGGTGTAGTATTTGAATTGATTTGAGCATAATGTCATCGATGTTTCATTCATGTGTTGATATCTGCACAACAGTAAAAGGTTTTGTGGGCAGCATTTTTGGACAACTATTGGTGAATCATGACAATTTTCCAGGAGGCTTGCATACATACGTATTGTTTGTGTCGCCATTAAACATGTCACATATTTCCTGATACTTATCATAGCCTCATAGGAAATAGACTAGTGACTAGTAATTACTAGTAGCCTCATAGGAAAGTATGAGGCTATGAGGAAATAGCCTCATAGCCTTGATACTTTTCGAGACATTGTGGCTTGTTTACATAAACTCCCCTTCATTACCTGTACTGCATTCGAAGTTTGGTATCTGCTGCACTCTAGTTAACACATCGCAGCTCAGGTAACCTAACTCCTTGCTGTAAACCATCTAATAAACTAATAAATCAACAGTTCTCTCTGACATTCAGTGCTGCAAATGAATAAAATTTGTTAGAATGAATATAATTGATAGTAGTGGGGGCATACATTTTAAGTTTTAACCACATTCCCTGAATGCTCTTTTTATCGATCTTTTTTTTCTAATTGTTAAGAGAAGTAAATTCAGGTTTATGTGCTGTTGAACTTTGTCTGGCAGTGGAAACCAGGGCTGTTCATAATGTTGTTGTTGTTTTAAGTCATCTTGTTTTAGATACTGAGCCTAACTCAGTTGGTCAAGTGTGTGAATGTAAGCCCAGACCACCCAAGTTCTTATTTAAAAATGCCACCTAGTTCCTCCTAGGTTGGTCGAGTTTTTTTTAAAAAAAGTAATCTTGTTTTGTGAACTTTTAACTTATTGTTGTTTATTATGTCCTGTTTACAATGCGAACTTGCATTGTTCATGTTAGTTTTAAGATAACTGGTTCTATAAAATGTGTTAGGTCATAGTTTAACAGAACAAGGTGTCAAGGTTTCTATATCACTTCAGTAGACAATCACGATAAATGACAATCTGGTTCTTGTTTTAGAGTCAAAGCTGCTAGTTGAGCAATGTGATAATGCAGTTTTAATGTTATATGAGGTGGTAGCAGCATAACCTAATACAATAGGATATCAAGGTTCTGTTTATTTATATGCTTCGAATGCGACACTTTCAGATCTTAACGCTGACGAGCTTGTCTTGTTACAAAGTTACCATGATAAATACTCTAATGGCATTGACTTACTCAGTTGCATGTGATTCTTTACTATGGCATGTGTCATGTTGGATAATGGGAAGAATATAAGGCACCCGATGTGCTGGGGATGTTGATCTGAGAAGCTCTTTGTTTTCATGTTCTAACATTCTATTTCTTTGTTAATTTGCAATCTGTTTAGTTTGATACATAATTTCTGAAGGGAATAGAAGAAATTCAATGAGTACCAGTCACCTCTGTTTCCTTTTTACGTTTTTTACATCCCCCAATTTTGACACCTCATTCTAAAATATAAGTGTCTTCGCAATTATCAAGATAACTTCAAACCTTATTAGATAACTAATTGAATGGACTCCACATGCAGATGTTTCTGTAAACTTTACTGCAGTAGCACATTCTGTTCTGATGACATTGAATTTGTATTATGAATGCAGCTCCCCCGGATTCAAATTACGGACCCAATAGCAAGATATTACGGCATGAAGCGTGGGCAAGTTGTAAAGATCATCCGTGCTAGTGAGACCGCTGGAAGATATGTGACGTACCGTTATGTGGTGTGATCTTCACTACATTTCACGCTTGGCCTATGCGACGAATATTACCAGTGAAAATCACTCTGTTGCTAATTCATTTCCTGTAGTAGAAACACTCGTCAGCAAGTAACAGAAGTGCTGGGGTGCCTTGTTTCTCTTTGTTGAGCTTGTTTGGCATAGCGGTGTTAGCACTAGACGTAGGTTTCTGTATCCGTGTTCCATTTCACCCTACCAAATCATTTGTGGCTATCAGAAATGTGTTTGATTGGGTGGGTCTATTTCATCTTTCGTGCCTGCCTGTATGATGTTTGTTTGATTGAAAATGGCATAAGAATGCCTTCCGGGACCATCGTTTGCCTCATGTAGTCATGTGCAACAGGGCAGCTGAGATAAAAGCACGAGGGAACATGGGATGTGCACACATCTGTAGTGTGGATTTCTTGTCGGGTGGACGGATTTTAGATGGCTAACATCAAGCTGAGCAATCTGTGTTTCAGCCTTCAACCTTATTGCATCAGGCGAACTAGTTAGGCCAATGCCCGCAAAGTTTCAACTCCCAAGGGAGTTGCCATCGTCATCGCATCTGTATTCGAGACCAGTAGCTTAAGCTGCATCCTACCTGCGGAGAAAAGAGTGATATGAAAGTTTCAGCCTTCTCAAAGTCATCTCTGATGGGAGTACATGGAAATCTACAGCATTTTAACATTTCTGCAGTTCTGTTTGGTTGCGGGCACCGCACGTCAAGAATTGGAAGGACTCTTCCCCCCTTGTCACCTTGTGGCTGTTGATGAGGCCGTAAAATCCTACTGACTCGCTCGCAGCTCGGCCAAGTCGGTCAACGATGGGAACCTGAGCGTGCGACGGCGACATGCGCCCAGCGACTTGGACCGGTCACGGCCGTTGTTGCCGAGCACCACACCACTCGCGTCGTCCAAAGCCTCCAAATCTGCAATCCACCCCTTCCCCGCAAAACTTCCAACCTCCGATCTGGCGCGGAGACTATCCGCGTGTACAGATCGCAACGAGAGCTGCTGCTGCTTCGCGCTGCCAGCTTACCACATCGTGCCAGCCCGAGGCCAAGCCGCCAAAGGCATATCGTGCCGAGGGGTGTTCAACGTCGTTGGTCCGAACATCCGCCGGGGGGAAAAACAGCTAAACCGCCGGAAAAATGAGGCGATAATTACACGGCACGCGACTGGTCGCCGTGGAAACGAAGCCGAGGGGTTGGAGGGGGGGAAAAACGAGATAATCCACGGCCGCGTTCACCGTTTGTACTCGCACAGTCGCACGGATAATTGAGGAAAAATCTCCGTTGTCCCCTCGTCCTTGACTATCATTATCATTCAGAGACAAGGCCCCGATCATCATCCCAGCATCAGCCGATCTGCAGATGCCAACCGTTGTCCATTGAGCCCACATCCAGCAAATCGATGCTGTAACTCCGAAGCACACAGCAACACACAGACCAAACTTTTGCGAAATGTAACCGCGGTAAATGAGCGCTGTCAATTGATCCAGAGACTGACAGTGAGTAAGTCGAACTGGATTGGGAGGGAGTTGGGTAATTAGGCTAAGACATGTTCGCTTGATTGGTGGAAGCAACATTGGGAGTAGTAGAAAAGATTTATATGGTGCAGCCGCGTTTTTTTTTTTGTCTTGATCTCACCGCATTTTCTCTGTGCAGCATATGCTCATGCAAATCTGGACAAAGCAGCCACTAGCAGTATAGTACAATAACTGCAGGCACCAGCTAAGCACATGATTCGAACAGGGTTGCAAAAGGTACGGCCCGTTTTTTCACCTCTCGATTTATACTTATCTATGTAGAGTCACTTCACGCATCATCTTGTTAACTGTGAAGAAAATCTTAACAGGAAGTAGTCTAAAGGTAACATTCGCTACCGCAGGTAAGTCAAATTTACGATTGTTCAATGATGGTGACAATTATTGTGGAACGGCATGTGCAAAGGGAATTGATAATTGTTCTTTGCCACCAAGAGCTGACTTTGAAATCAAAGAAAGCATACAATACATCAAGTAAGACAACTAGATAACACTCAAGATACCGGTACACAACCAAATTAGAAAACAATGGCTAAAAGCGAGGCTGAAGGTGACATTTTCCAATCGTGATGCTTCAAATGTATGGTCAGAATATAGAGCAGTGACCACAGGTAGATGGTCCAAGGTTGACAAGTATAACACCCAGTTTATAGCTATACAGATTTTGACATCAAAACTGAAAAATTATGAACTGATAAGGGCGCACTTAATAGTAACTATGATAAATCATGTTTATACAGCATTGTTTAAGTGGATGTGAATAAGGTACATGGTATCATCAAGAAAATTCACAAAGAGAAGATGGCAAATGATATAACATGCTACTTGAAAAAGGTTTCAAGGACATGAGTACATGACAGAGCGAAACATTCCTGTAAACTTTAGATAAATTGGTCAAGATTAATTTTGTTCACTGCCAATATTGTTCTTAGGAGATTGGGGAAGGAGGCAAGTTGTTCCAAGAAGGAAGGTCATATCAGAATTTAGGCATAAAGCGAGATACTACAAGCGCTAGCAATAATGTAAAAAGACAATACAGACTAAAATCTTACAGCTTACACGATTATCTCGACAGGAGATGAGGCAAGCATCGAATTGATCATCCAGCAATAATTATCATGCCAATATGGTTGCCTCAGCATGCTCTTCATCAATTCAAGTAGCAGGACTACACAAAGAAGCATCCATTGAGCCTGACCGAGGGCGGTTCACAATCCCAAGCAAGACCACCACCATTAGTTACATGGTATCTGATTCATCCTTGTTATAGGCCAGCGGGAACTCATCAAATTGCTCTGAGACATCACGACCCTGTCCAATGCTCTTCAGAGAGTGGTAAACCCGGTACATTGAGAACCTCTCCCTCGGGTGAACCATGATACACGCAAAAGCTATCTTCACAAACTCATCAATCTCTGAATCATGGCCATTCCCACGCAATGATTTATGAACAGCATCACCGATCCGGCCGGAGGCCTTAAGCTGATTTACCCAATCCACCAATGTCCCCTTGAATCCTTCACCTGCCGCATCACCCGTTACAGTGGCAGCCTCCTGCCCACTCACGAGCTCGAGCAGTATCACACCAAATGCATACACATCACCCTTCATGGTAGCAACTGGATTGCTAGCACACTCTGGGGCGACATACCCATACTCCCCGAAGTCCCCATTCAGGAAGGGGCTTGTATCTCCACCCTCGCCTGGTGCCATTCGGACCAGCCTTGTAAGCCCAACATCTGTGAACCGAGCTTCATAGTCCTCATCCAGAAGCACTGCACTTGAGCTCAAATTCTGGTGAATTTGCGGAACTTGGAACCCATGGTGCAGCCAAGCAAGACCGCGTGCCGCCCCGACAGCAATCCGAAGCCGTGTCGCCCAATCCAGCGGTGCCTCCCCTGGCTCCTTCATCACCGAAGAAAGAGCTCCACTCTCCATATGCTTGTACACAAGCAGCCGCTCATCCTCAACGACACAGAACCCCAGCAGCGGCACGATGTTAGGGTGCCGCAGCTGCCCAACCCGTCCCATCTCTGCCCGGAACGCCTTCTCCGACAACGGGCACGAGTGGAGCCGCTTCACCGTCAGAGCGGAGCCGTCGCGCAGCACGGCTCGGTACGCCGTCCCCGCCCGCGAGCTCCCGGCCACCACGATGTGGCTCGTGCTGAAGTCCTGGGTGGCCGCCATCAGGTCGGCGAGCTTGACCTTGACGATCGGCTTCTGGAACAGCGAGACGGGCGCCAGCCGGTTGTGCGCCGCCCGCAGCCGCTCCGCCCACCAGCTCCCGTCCTCCGCGGAGCCGCCGCCGGACTCGCTCCCTCCGCGGCGGCGGCGGCGACCGCCCTTGCTCTTCCCGGTGCAACGCCAGAAGAAGAAGGCGAGGAGCAGCGACGCGGCGGCTCCGAACACCCCCGCGGCGATGACGATGCCGAGGCCCGCGCCGCTCAGCGCGCGGCCGCATCGCGAGGACACGGGGCGGCCGCACAGGCCCTTGTTACCGGCGAAGGAGTCCTTCCCGAACGTGGCGAGCTGGGGCGGGATCTGGCCGTCGAGCCTGTTGTCGGAGAGGTCGAGCGACTTGAGGCGGTCGAGGCGGCCGAGGGAGTCGGGGATCTGGCCGGAGAAGGAGTTGCCGGAGAGCTTGAGCGAGTTGAGGAAGCGGCAGTTGGCGAGCTCGCTGGGGAGCTGGCCGGAGAGCTGGTTCCCGGAGAGGTCGAGGTTGACGACGAACGGGATCCAGTCGCAGAGCGCGGGCGGGATAACCCCCACCAGCGCGTTGTTGGAGAGGTCGAGCGTGGTGGCGGCGCTGCAGAACTGCAGCGCGGAGGGGATCCCGCCCTGGAGGCCGAACCCGGAGAGCGAGAGGCCGATGATGCGCGACTCCTGCGGGTTCCAGCACGACACCCCCGACAGCAGGCACAGGGCTCCCGCCGAGGTGTTGCCGAAGCTCCACGCCGAGAGGCGCCCGTCCGGGTCCCGGAGCTCGGCCTTCACCTCCTTGAGGCACCGCACGTCGTCCTCCCGGGGCGTCGCCGACTGCGCCGCCGCCGGCGCGGCTGCGAGGAGGACCGCGAGGAGGAGGAGGAGGGGAGGCGGCGAGGGAGGCATGGTGGTGGGGGTGGGGGGGAGTGGTTTGACCAGGTGGGGAGACCAGACTGCGGGGGGGTGGAGCGGATGATGGGGGGTGGTGCGGGTTTTGGTGGGGTTGGGTTGGGCTGCGCCGCGCTGCGACGGGGAGGGGGAGGGGTTGGTTTTTGGTGGAAAAAAAAGAGGGAGATGAGAATGAGATTGGGAAGAAGTGACCGAGCCACAGTGGTGGTGGTGGTGGTGACTACTGTCCCCGTGGTCGTCAGTGACAGTGCGCGCGGAGTGGTGCGGTTTTTTTGGCCTGGTTCCTTCCCTCTCGGTCGATTTTCGGGCTCCACGACACGTGTGCTTTTGTAACTGTGGTGTACGGTGTTAAGGAGTTTAAGGAGTGTTTTCAATGTAGGACTACCGTCTTTTAAAGAGAGTTTTAGGAGTTGCGTAGCTTACATATCGTCGTGGATTCGTCTCCTGTAGTCCGGTTGTTGTGCCATTGAATTGAGTTCGGGGGCTGGGTGAAAATCTGTCTCTAGCCGTTTATAAATGTCATTAATGTAAGATATATCTTCATCATGAATTTGTGATGGTTCATAAGATATTGTTTGGGTTGTGTCTTGTGAGAGGAAAAAAGATGATTGATGCAACAAAAATAATTTTACAGTACAGATTTTACACTTCTATTTTAGCAGTTTAAATCCAAGTGTGTAAAAATAAAATATGTTCTAAAATTAAGTTTGAAAATTATAACTATAGCTGTGGCACGTAAGCCTAAGCTTAAGAGCCTATTTAAATAGGAGGAATTTTCTGAAAAATTTAGAGAAATGGAACTATTTCATGTGGAAAATCTATAAAATATATGCTATCCAAATAGAAGCCGTTGTGAGAGTGAATCAACTCATTGGATTGGATGGTCATTTTGTGTGCTCATCTATGGATTACCACGGTTTAAGTTTTGTGAGCTCTAACCACATGGCATACTGCACGGTTTCAACTTGCTCTATCACTAGTACAATTGAGGACTAATTTTTCTCTACTTGATTTTTTCTTGTCCCATATTTGAGGGACATATAGGAGTGCACCGTCACCTCAATTCTTAGGAATCATTGGTTGTGTGCTCTACGTGAGATAGCAATAATTGAAATACGCTCGTTGCAGGTGCCAATTAAGCATAACCCTCGATCCAAATGCAGATTGCCATAGAGACATTCGTTTATCGATAACACCAACTGATATTCGTTTGAATTAATTTCTGATTGCCGTCATTCTCGAAAGAGACGACATAGGAGGAAGAGGGTCCATATATATTATTATTCTCAATTGGTTTCATTTATTATTTTTCAAAAACTTAATTTCTTATTTATGTGATCCTTTACATAGTAAACTGAGGATGTAAATAATTTGTTTAAGTAAATGCAGCCACTGAGCTCCACGCCCTTGCACAACCGAGCTAAAATCCTTAAAAAATCTTGCAAAAAAAAAAAAAACCTTCACAAACCAAACTTTGCCAACCTATAGAGTAGTATAAACCATGTTTTTGGTTACAGCGACTAACCCCTCTTAACAGCGTGATTTATTTGTGGGCAAGCCAGATACTATGCAATAATGCAAATGCAATAGCTTATCATATAAAATATTATAATCCTCACGCTGTTACTGCTCACTCACCCGCGCGGCCATGTCGCCCAAAAATCTGCCCCGTTCGATCCCCCGCCCAGCCACGTGCTTGCCATCGTATCGGGCCAAGTCTACCGAGCCCATCACCCAGTCACCCACAACACGCGGAGGAGGAAAATAAAATTGAAGCCACCAACCTACGCTACTATCCCGATTCCCCATCCTCTCGACCGCCTCGTTTTAGATGATGCAAACGCAATAGCTGAATCAAGCCGACGAGCTGGTAACGGGAAAACCAAGCTAGACGACAGCGGCTGATGTCCCGTTCACCAATTCAAGATTCTGGGATTCGGTCCGAAAGGTCCGAATGTCGGTGAATTTCACCCATTTCGGTAAGGTCCAAGACAACAATTCACTTCTATTTCACCTAAATATGGTTCATTTTTACCAATTTTTATCAAATTTGGTTTAAATTTGATTAAAATTCATCCAAATTTTCCGAAATTCGTCCATTTCGGTGGACTCCTTTTTTTTTTTTGCAATCGAATCCCAAAATGCGCGTGGTGCGTGGCTGCGTGCCCGATTGCCCCATGTATCCAAGGGCCAAGGGAGAGTGGGTGCGTGCGATGCCGCCGATGCAAACTCGCTGCTGCGCCCGTCCACGCACGCGTCGTCCGCGGCGACCTCTCCTGTACTACACGATTTTTCGGCTGGTGAAGGCGGTGACTACTCTCTCCAAGCCTTGCAACTAGACTAGGAAAATGGCCAAATTGGGCCCTTCGCCCCCACTAACTTTTTTGGCACAACTCCGTGGGTGTTCACCAAAGTTGGAGCAGCAGTGGTTTATAGGTTCTACCGTTCTAGTTTAGCTTCCTTTGGTATAAAAATGGTACTAGCAGTTTAGCTTAACTACTAGAGACTTTTGCTGAGGCAATGTTTTTTTTTATCTGTTACTCCCTCCGCTGGTATATAGCTAAAATCCCTTATATGTATATGGATACCGGTATAGTAAAAATCTTGTGTATCTTTGGACACAGAGTATTACTTTTAAACCGTAGACACGTGACTAAACAGAAAATAATTTTATGGTTAGACTTTTACACCTCTAGTCTTGATATTTCAATATTTGAGACTAATTGACACCGGAAAATTCAAATTTTATTGTAGCTTGTAAGCCGCAGCTCAAACAAAAAGACCCAGTTATTTACTAAAGGGTGTTCATTGTCTAAGACATGTCGACTATTCTACCGAGAAAAGGAGAACAGCTGAACAAGAACACGGCCGGTATCCTACCTTTGGCCCCTAGCCCCCTAATCAGAGTCCAAGGACCAATTCTTATACAGCTTATAAGCGAGGAAGAGGGCCAAACTAAAGATTAAAGAAGCTTCTTCACTTCAAATATCTAATCAGGTTTAGAAATCCAGGCACCAGCGATGTGCCATGCGTCTATCATGAGCATGCGGCCGAGGAAAGAGATATCACCATCCTGCAATGGACTGGTCACGTGAAATCTCTGCGATTTGATGGGGATTTTTTCTCCGTCCGACTGAGATGTTGCTTTTGGATGGCCTACAGCGCCAGTAGATGACCGGCAAAGTGCAAAGTCTCCCACATGTGCTAATTGCAGCTTCATTAGACCGGAAGAGAAGGGGACCCCAAATGGCACGGCAAGGGACTAAGTAGTAATTACCATGAAACTATTACCCATTGATTTTTTTTTCTGGAGGAGACTATTGCCAATTGATGTGTGTGATGCTGTGATTAACTGTATATAAGCTTTGTGTATGCCTAGGGCTTTTTATAGAGAAGAAAAAGTGAGCCCAACAATGACACTTTGTTGAATGATTATGACTTACATTAGGCTGGATGATGAAAGGACTATATAAACAATAGACTATTTGTGATCCCAACAACGACACTTCGTTGCATGATTTAGACTACATTTTGGATAGATAACGAAAGCACTATACAGACACTACTTAGTATAGGGATATATGGTTGTTTTACACGCTAATAGCGCCATTGTGTGTGGCCTTGTGAAAAGCTGAAACATCAGGAAAAGCTGGATGCAGCAGGAGTGCAGTTCGATGAGAGCCTAAAAAATGTTGATGCACATCAAAACAAAGGGGAATTAATAAGAGATGAAAAGATTGGCAAAAGGCAGGAAGCCAGAAAGCGCTACACGATCAGCAATAGCTTTCCTCCCGATATGGCCTGCTTTGCCAATGACCATGGTCCTGTGCAAAAATATTCATGGGAATGGGGTTTTGTGGTCATCAACAGTAACAAGTTGAAAACAATCTGTGGCACAAACCAAGTCTTGGAGAACACCAAGACGTGGAATCTAACAGAAACATTAGGTCATAAATCATAATGAGCGAACCATCCAGCGTACTTTAATAAAGCTTAACACGGGTATAAAGTACCAGGTATCAGAGAACATGCACTTACATCCACAGAGAGCATGTGACAGGTGTTAAGTTGATAGAGCTGAAGTCAACTGCCAGAATAACTCAAGAGTCAAATACCAAGTTGATGTTTTTAGGATACTGAATATGGGCTCAAATCCAGTTGAGAAGTTACTGCAGAGTCTCCTGATGGTGGTTATTTATGTTGAACTATGTAAGCAGTTTATAAGTAACAGTAAGAATGCTTACCCACTGGATACCAGTATTGCTAACCTAGAGTAACTCAAGTGCAAATGTATCTGTCACACTCCAATCACTGAACAGAAGATCAATTATCTCTGATTCTCTGTACAAAATTGCGTAAAAGTCGGTCATTCTATGATATAACCAAAAAGGTAAGCATACAACAGATTAGTGGCATGATGTGACAATGCACAACAAAGCCAACAATTCGTATGATAATAAACAACTCGCCCACCATAGGGGAATGGAACAGTTATGTACCCAAAAGAATGCATAAAGAATGGGCTTAGTCAATGGTCATATCAGTTTTCCTTCTAAAAATCTCACAGGTGCAACTTAGTTCTCCACATGCATCCGACAACCTTCTTAGGAGAAGGGTCTTTCGGTCCTTTGTCTCGTTGCCCAGAAGTGAAATACAGCCAGCCATCCCAGTATCCTACCAGAGTGGTCTTGATTCGGAAAGGTAACCGCCCAATCACAGTCCATTCCTGTATGCCAAAATAGTTTTAGTAGCAATACAAAGTTGACAAGCTGAGGAAATTACTGACATGCAGTGCACTTTCCAAAGTTTCCTTTCGTAGTGTTTGCCATTTACTGATTTACATTTTTTCTTGGCTTCATATTGTTCTGTGGATAGATTTTATGATGATGAGTTGTACTGGGTTTATGTGCTTATAAACAGAAGAATGATGCAAAACAAGAAGTATCTAAACCACCACACGACAAACAAACAACAGGCAGTTGATAGGTGATGTTTCATGTTATATCCATCATTTCTTATCACTTTAAGTGTTTTATCTAAAATATGGAGCAAGGAAAGGCATGTACCAGTGTGTTCAAGTTGAACCGAAACACTTCACCAACTAAAACCATTTTTTTGGTTATTGGGTGCTTTTCTGTGGTTCCTCCAGCAATAATGAGAGAATTGTTAACATTCACCCAAGCAAACTCTATATGTGAATCTGGCTTTGGCATAGGTGGAAATTCTTTCCACTTCATTCCATCATCAAGCATGTAGACATTGCTGTAGACCACCTGCATAGGCAGAAGATCAAAATGACTATAGAACAAAATCTAAAAGTTATTACAAGAAAACAATGAACATAGGTCTCTAGGAGGTGTAAAATTTCACAAAGTGCTAAAACAGGTTAAGCGGACAGCTCAAAAGTTAAATCACCATCTACTGGGTAACACATTATACATTTTGTGCCTTCAGTGGAACCAGACTTTCCACTATTCATTGTCAAAAGTGATCCATGTCGAACTTCAAAATGTACAAAACAAATTCCTATACAATATGCAGAAATTAGCATATATAGTGATTGAGCTACAGATCAGCATACCTCACTTCTTCTAACACATTTAAATATAGGTGATCCAGGTTTCGCCATAAAATCTCCTTCTTGGCCACCAATAACAAGTAGCTTATCATTAGCAACAACACAAGCCCTGGTATCAAAAGAGAAAAATCATGATTAAGCTGCTAAGCTAACAACAGGACCATTCTCGGAAACAGGTTATATACTTATATGCCACATAAGAACTTTGTATGGCGTACAAACATATTTCTGGCCCAGAACTAATTTTAATTTAGATACTTGATCAAAGAAATAGCCTAGAAGCATACATATTGTGGGCGGCATCATAAAAATCTGAATACAACAGATGCTAAACATCAAGACCATTCAGGTGTATAGCAACATTACTTTCCAACAAAAATGGCAACAATAGAAATCATGTGGAGGGGGAGTTATAGACCTATGAGGGCCTCCACGTGGGATTGGTACCTCACTCCTCCACTCGTTTTCCAGGGCTTTCCCATCCTTTACTGCAATGCTCCAATGTTCAAGCCCAGGTTCATGCCTATCCTCCTTGCTGCCACCCATCACATGAAGCCTGCCTCTCCAAAGTTGTGTGGCTGGAGCATATCTGAACAATAGATTTGGGATAAAGAAAGAAACAAATAAGGGCTCAAAACAATATTTGTTTTTCCTTGACAGCATACAACAGACCAAATATCCAAACTTCAAAAGTAGTATTAAGATTAACGGGAGTGCATGACCATACAAGTACAATAATGCCTAAATACAACACTGTTTGTACCTAGGAACTGGCAATGGAGGCAAATCGTGCCATTCTTTTGTTTCAGTGTCCAGCACAAAATTTCGTGCTGTGGGCCCCCTACATTGCGGACCATACTGTCCTGTTACCACATAAACATATCTTCCATCTGTAACCATCCCCAAATGTGAATGAGCCATTTCCTTTGGCATATCAAACCTCCCACCCCATGTATTATCTGAGAAATTGTAAATATCCACATGAGAATGCACCTATACATGGAAAACATTAGAAAAGGTTAAATAACTTGATGGCATCTTGAATTAACTTATGGTAAACTTAAAAGTACCAACAAAATCAGCAGGGCAAGGAATTACTGGGTTAATTCACAATCTGGCAATACTAAGCCATATATACACACACCATTAATATTAAACTTTCAGCCAAAAATGATTATAATGGGATCACGCTAACCAAAAGCACAAGTACTTCAATTGTGTTTTAGTAAGGAAGATCATGTTTAAACAAGCTAGGGAACACAGGTCATCTATACAACTTGACAATATTATGTGAATTTATATTTCATTAAAAACAATGGTGCAGGTAGCCAACTTGAGTGATCCAAAACGATAAGTCCAATTACACATCTAGGTCATTGATTGCTGAAAGGGAACAAGTATAATGTGTTGCTGTAACCCCAACTCACCAATTAAATATGTTGCATGCTATATGTTGTTCTTCAGCAAGAGATTTTATAAATACAAGAAAAAGAGCACAAAGTATGACTGGATGCGAGAGATAACAGGGAAGCTTCCTCACATGGTTAATGGTACCATATCCAGCAAACACATATAAGAGATTCTTAATTTGCATAGCAGCACCATCCAAACGTGGCACAGGTGCTTCAGCCATCTCCTCCCATTGTAGTTCTGGTGCTGGCAAATCTGCAAAGGTTGCATTTATGTCCGTGGAACCTATAGATATTTTTTCCTTTGTTTGCTGCACAAGAAAATTAAAAAAAAACGACTACTTAAAAAACAAGTCAACTTGAAAATGCCATACAAAATTATAGATCACGCCAACAGTCCTCATAGCATAAGTCATTATATAATAAAACTAATGGGAAGGGGAAGAAATATCGAAGTGAGATACATGAGTTTTTACATTTTTTACAACACTTGCCAAATTCATGCAGTATACACAGAAATAAGATATCAAACATAATTAAGTGTTTACTCTGATGTGTAGGACCAAGATATTAGATTAGATGGTAGGACTGTATATGCCTAGATAAACAAAAACTGGCAGTTACAGCAAAATAAGTAGTCTTAATTTAATCCGGCATGGGATCGGAATGAAAATCAGATGGCTTTTTGCTGCTTCTAGCTCAAACAAATGGTGAAACGGACATGATTTAGCATGTGTTTGCTGCTTCCATGCCTATGTTAATTCAAAAACACAGAGATTACAGTTCATAAACATTAGCATGAGTATAGATTTTGCGGGTTCTCCTAAAGATTACTGTTCGCAAACAGCTCTTCACTCTGAAATCTCAACCAGAAGTTGCAGGCATGAATGCATGATTAATTTCTTCCTCTCCTAAGAAGCAAAAATACTGTTGCAAATTTCACAACCGGCACATCAAGACCCTTCAGGAAGCAATCAACCTGCTAGTACTATCAAAGGTGATGCCTAAACTATAGCTCATAAGTGCAACTAGAGAGCAAGGCATTTGGTGTCGAGGGGAAGATACCAATCAACCCAGATGTGTTCTACTAGTCCAACCAAACCACAGAGGCATACCTAATTCCAACCAGATCTCACTAATCGCGCGCGACTCCGTACTACCACACAGAACACTAGAAGGCACCGGAGGCAGCAATCGAAGAGTGTGTGTGCGCGCTGCGAGATGGGAACTAGGAGCATCACCTTCTTCCCCGAGGGTGGCACGAGGGCGGCCGGGCGGCCGGGGAGATCGATCCTGGAGGACCAGGCGGGGGCGGCGGGGGAGGAGGAGGCCCAGAGGAAGTCGGCGACAAGGACGAGGCCGAGGATGGCGACGACGGCGAGCGCAATCAGGTGCTTCGGAGGGGGCGCCTTCGGCGCCGCCGCCGTCGCCGCCGGTCTCGCCATCGCCGGGTGGTCAGATGCGGCGGCGGCGGCAGCGAGGAGTGGAGTGTGTCGGTGGCATTTAACGGCGAGTCGGCGAGGGCAGGTGCATCGGAGTGAGGAAAGGAGAACGAGACGGTCATGGATAATTGGAGCCGGGCAGTATGGCCTTTTTTTTTTTCATTTATCGTGAAAAAAAAATTTTGGATGTCACATCGGATGTTTGACCGGATATCGGAAGGGCTTTTCGGACACGAATAAAAAAAATAATTTCATAACTCGCCTGGAAACCGCGAGACGAATCTTTTGAGCCTAATTAATCCGTTACTAGCACATGTGGGTTACTGTAGCACTTATAGCTAATCATGGACTAAATAGGCTCAAAAGATTCATCTCGCGATTTTCTCCCTAACTGTGCAATTAGTTTTTTCATTTATATATATTTAATGATTCATGCATGCATCTAAAGATTCGATGTGATGTTTTTGGGGAAAAAATTTTGGGGAACTAAACGGGGCCTTACCATCCTCCCCCTGCCACGAAATTGTAAAAGTTCTAATCACAAATTATATATTTTTTTTGGCTAATACGTCAGTTGGCGTTTTTTTTTTTCATATGCTCATCCGATGAGGCTGATTGTTTGGTATCTTAGAATGTCGGCAAATCATGATAAAAATGATGATTATACCTATTACATCATTTTTATACTGTCTTTCTCAACATCCCATATATCTATTCCAAATGACTTTCACACTCTCTCATGTTGTATGATTGTGAGTTGAACAATACGAGGAATCGATCAAGTTCTCATTTGTGTTAAAGATGTCGATTAGGATGAAAACTGGAGTGGTTTCCCTAAACCCATAGCAACTTGTGTTTACGGTTTGAGCCCTAGAAAAACAAGGTAGAGCGCGGAATATAGTTGTCTTTTGCCTTAGACTTGTATGTGCGGTCAATATGTGAAGCTGGCCATGCTTCTTCACTTTCAAGCAAGCGTGTAATATGCCCTAAAATATAGCCACCAACAAACCCCAAACAACACCATCAATAGATCATCACCATCGCTAGTAGGTCCATTCACTAACCTCGATTTTCTTTCGGGTTGCACTTTAAATCTTGCGTAAGATGCACAATATCGTCCTTGTTGCCACTCCTCTATCTCATACTACTTCATACAATTGATGTAGATGAGCTTCTCGTTTTATTCTTAGCCTCTCACCTTCCTTTTGTATCCCGACACTATATCACTGGTTATAAAATTGTGACGTTCTGATGCTTCTTAAGGATAAAGATGTAATGAAGGATACGATAAAAATATAAGCGTATCAATCTTTAAATATTCTACAAATCCTTATTTCTAATATGCTATTACTATTTCTAAACATATAACGAAGTTGAATTTTAAATTTTGTTTGACTATTTATATTCTCTAGTAATATTTGTGCAAATAAGGTTCGATGACAACTTAGAGATACTCCTTTCACTTTACTTTGTAATTAAATAGATATTGTTTATCTAAGTCTGATAAAAAGAAGGCAACTATGCCATATATTTGGATCCTGTTTAGCACATTTTTGGACTAAAGATTGCATGGAGATAGGTTTTCTAGCTCCATAAATATATAGATTTTGATTTGCGATTATGTTACAACAATTGGATGAATTAATAAGTTCCCATCTATCTTCTACCCTATAATTCACTAACTCACTCTTACACCTACATTACTCATTCATCAAATCCAATGGCTCATATTCATCTAACTCTAATCGAACGTGCCAGATGAGACCCCCTTCCCTCCGCGCTTGTCACGCCCAGAAATTCCCGAATAGAATTCCAAGCAGAATGTGCATTAAAGTCCCCGTCCAGGACCGGCCGGGGTACACAAACGACAAAGTTGACATACAGATCCACGTCTTACAAATATTATAAAAGTCTTACATAAATGCAGCGGAAAACTTAAAGGATAACTGGAGCTAAGCCTTGACTTGGACTGCAGCGGGAACACCACTCCACAGGCATCCTCGACGGCACGGACGAAGCCTACTCCTCAGAGAAACCACCATCTGACGCATACTCAAATTCTGGGGTTTGGGGAAAATAGAGCAAGACTGAGTACTACCCACTGTACTCAGCAAGTCATACCGGAATAGGGGTATGATGCAGGGAATTATCAAGGGATAGCTATAATGGTTCATTTGCATAAAGCGGGCATTTATAAACAGAAGTTGAAAGCAGTAAAACAGTTGTAATAATTAATCAATATTAATCATCCACTGTCCAACGCTATACCCCGTTGCAACAGGCCCAACCATCCACCTATACTATTCAATTCCATTAGACTAGTCTAGGGTGAGTCTAATCACGGTGAATTTGGTTGACCGCCCATAACCGCGGGCACGGCTATTCGAATAGTTTTACTCTGATCAGAGGTGTACAACTATACCCACAAGACACAGCCCCACGACACGTTTCCGCGCGCCGACATGCCACCACGACATACCGGAAAGAGGCCGTGACAGGACCCTTCGCATAACCCCCTCTAACCAAGTACACCACACCTCAGGTTTCACCCCCACTCCTCGCAAGGCAGCGGGCAGTCCCCTCTCATGCCTAGGTGAATCCGGAAGCCGCATAGGCCGTCGCAGGGCCCATCCAAACTCCATCACGCCCACCCTTGCCTGGATGCGTCGGCTAGAGGAAAGCTACACTACAAGCCCAGCCGTTGCCCACGCTGGCTTGTGGTAAGTACGAGGAATTCTTCCAGGGTTTCCCGCGAACCGGTCCTTAATTGCCCTGTGCGCGACCATCAAAACCATGCACCCACGGCCCACCATTTAATATTAATTAATTAACCAACACCGGAGTGGTGAGCATTAACCAACATCAATCCTAGAATCTGATATCTATGCATTTAATGTAGTTCCCCATTGTGTGCTAGTTGAACTAAGCAAAGCTAAGCATTCCCTAGTCCAATCTCTAGTCATGTTATATCCCAAGCTAACAAAGGAACATGGTACAAGATAGTATGGCTATGACAGTAGGTAAACATCCCATGGTGATATTATAAAACAATGCAGTATTTGAAGAAAAACAATGGAGCATTTGCAATATAGGATCAACATGTTCAAGTGGCAAGCATGACTTGCCTTGCTCTGCAGCTGGAGGAACTTCGGCGACTATTTTAAGGTACACCGGAGCGTCGGGAGAGCCAAAATCTAAGCGACATACAAAGCAAACAATACAAATAGGCTATAATACTACTGAAACAGAGAACAAAACCATTTTCAATGGATTCTACACATTTTTCTTGATTTACTGATACTTGAATGGGCTTAAATGGAGCTCGGGTGAATTAGATATGAATTTTAGAAGATTCACTGTGTTTTTACTATAAACAGAAAAATCCTTAATTGAATTATTGCGCAATAAATAAATCCCGGGAGAGAGATGGGGCGGCGCCGACATGCGGGCCCCACATGGCAGTGACTCGAGGAGGGCGGTCCGCGGTGGACCGAGTCCACGGACCGGGAAAGGACGGCGCACCACGTGGCGCTGACGTGGCGCCGACGCAGCGGCCACGCGGCAGCCACGTGGGCGGCCGAACGGACGGCCCCGATCTACCTGGGTAGATCGGACGGCGGGTGTGGCTCGCGGCCGGCGTGCGCGGGCACGGCTCAAGCCGGCCCGGCGGCCATGGCGCGCGGCGGCGCGAGACGGCGACCGGCCGGCGGCGGAGGGCGACGGCGTCGCGGCGACGCGGGCGGCGAAGCGGCTAAGCGGCGGCGCGGGAGAGAGAGAGGAAGGGGAGGAGGGACCTCACCGACGACGACCGACGACGGCTAGCGACGGAGGGCGGCGGCGACAGCGGGACGATCTCTGGAACCACCTAGCGAACACGGTGGAAGGGGTTAGAGAGGGAGAGGGAATTGGAAGAGGGCGAGGACGCCGGCCGAAGGCGGCGGCCATGGCGGTGCTCACCGGCGAACGGCGCGGAGTGGGTTCCGGCGGCCAACGGAAGAGGGGTGGACGCGGTGGCCCGCACGATGGCGAACGCGACGGCGTCGTCGGCTCGGCGGCTAGCGGCGGCGAAGGGGAGGGCGACGGCTCTAGGGCGTTAGAGGGCTCGGGAGGGCTCGGCGAGATGGGGAAAAAGAGAGAGGGGGTGGCGGTGGTGCTTAAATAGAGGAGGGGGAGCCCGGACGTGGCCGGTAAAGGCGGGAATCGCCGGCCGATGTGGGGAGGTGGAGGAGGAGAGAGAGGCGGGATTCGAATTTCGAATCCCGGCCGTCTCGAGCGCGGGCGCGGGCGAGAGGGAGGGGGAGTGGGTGCGGGAGACGCGGCGCATGCGCGGGCGTGGCCGACGTGGCCCGGAGGAGGCGGGAACGTGGGCGCGGCGGCGGTTGCGGAGCGCGGCGGCGCCGGCTGGAGGAAGGGGACAGGCCCGACAGGTGGGCCCCACCTGTCGGTGACCCCGGGGGAGAGAAGGGAGGCGGCCGGCTCGGCTGGGCCTCGGCCTGTCGGCCGGCCCAGCGGAAAGAGGGGGGGGGGGAAGAGAGAATGGGCCGGCGGCCCAATTGAAAGAAAAAGAGAAAAGAAAAAAAAGGGAAAAAGAAGGAAATGGATTTTTCTAGGATTAAATATTGCTTGTGCTCAATTTTAATTGGTTAAAATTATTTCTAGAGCTCTGAGAATTCCACTAAAAATCTTGTTAGCGAATTTCTACATGTAGAACTCAATAAAAATTCCACATAACAAATCCGATTATTATTTACATTAATTTATTAGGGTTTTATTTTGCTCTTACACCGATATTTTCTCTGATGGATTATAAATTCAATTTAGGTTTGGGAAAGATCTTAATGGTGTGACAGCGTAACTCCCGTTCTCACGCGCCCCCTTCTCTCTCGCACCGCTATTTTCGCCCGTTCCCTTCACCCATCGCCTCCGCGATTCTTGCCACTCGCCAATCGCCGCCACACCCAATCCCTAAATCCTACCCCGCCGCTGCCGTCGTGCCGCCACTCCAAATCCCCAAACCCTACCCCGCCCCGGCACTGCGGATCCCCGATCTCCGCCTCGCGTTATGGATGCCACTGCACCTCCTCCATTGAGACGAGCCACCATGGAGGCTGTCGTCTTTGCTCCCCCACCAGATCGCCATCCTGGCACTGCCAGCGGTGGAGGCGGAGGCGGCCGCCGCTGCTGCACCGGGGAGGATGGCCGCGAATGGCGTGAGCTCGATATCCAAGGGCGGGGCTGTAATGAGGAGGTACACCCATGGACCATGACGGACCGGTGTGTGCAGCGGATGCGGGCAAGGAGGGAATTGTGCAGCTGGTAAGGCAAGATCCCATCTCTCTCTGTTAATCTCGATCTCCTCATGAGATTGCTACTAATTTAACGGTGATATTTTTTTCTAAATTTTGTGTCAATTCCAGGAGAACTCGGAACCTCTGGGGCTCCTTGAGGAGAGGGAGTACGTCCCTGAAACCACATGATTCCTTGCATCAGTTCATCCCTTCTGTTGAGGCTTTGAGTGGCTGGGGATTTTGATGCTATGTGCTCTTGGTTTGACTCTATTTTTGCTTTGTTTTGGTGCATGCAGCAAAATCATAGAGTTGAGCGGAAATGGGCCAGAAGCTGCGGCTCGCTAACTGGCAGATTGCGCAGGCAAATTCCCATATGCTAGCAGTAAGTTCTCCCCAAAATTTTATCCCACAAACTTCGATGTTTAGTTGCCAACTGAAATCTGTGCAATGAGTTACTATTTGTTTCACGCATTTTGCTGGTGAAACTTGCTTATTGTCTCGTTTTTGTTCTGTAGGAGCGCAACCTTGGGAGGGATAGAGTCAGATCATGGCTCTCTGATCATTTTGTAAATCCCGTTAAGTTACTTTGTTATTGATGGCATCTTTAGCATGCAGCTGATTTGTACCCATTTTTTTCCTATTGAAGCTAAAATCATTGCAACATCAGTTTGCTTGCTCGAGACCTATAATCATAGCCAAAATATCAGAATTGGAGGTTTGGAGATGCTCCTATAGTGGCTGGAAATTCAGCTGGTCACAGATTACCCTGCTCCTTGCAATAAATCAATCTCCCATGGTATTAGATTTTTTTTCTACTCTTCCATCAATAAAAACGATGGCACATGATTGCTGGAGCTGTATAGGTGAACGACGGCACATGTGTTCATACTTCATGCCGGCACAGGGGCACATTGCAGAAAAAAAGAGAGAAGTAGATCTCAGGTTCAATCGCCGCTGCACCCCAGGGTCTCACGCTTATTTGTAGTCAAACTAATGCAGCTCCAAGGTTCTGATTTGATTTCATTTGGTTGGCTCGGTATACAGCTGCCGGCTGCAGTGGTCGGTTTAGTGTAGTCTCTCACATGGATTTTTTTTTACTCTGTTAAACAATCTTCAATGGAAACAAATAGTTTGGTTTCTAACTGAATATTATTGTTTTAACAGCTTACATTTTCTTGTAGCATATCTGCTCCAGGTCACTACTGCTCAACATCCTCTGCATTTAAGGTAATGCCAGTTATCCTCTTCTGCACTATTTCTTGCTCCTTTTTGTGCTCCTCTGCACTATTTTGTTTTTGTGCTTGCTATCCACTCTACGTGATTATTATGTTGCGAGGTGCTATCACAAGCACTTTTATTTCAATCTTCTTTGTTGTTGGCATCACTTAATTAACACTGGATTTTTGATAATTTTTAGTGTGAAATGCATAATAATAAAGTGATGCCATATGCTGAAATGCATATGTCATCACTTAATTATTTTCGATTGTGATTTGCCATGAACATATTAACGTCTGTCGCGGATATTCCCTTTGAGATAAAACAAGGTATTCGGTGTACATAGATCTAAGACTGCTGCACGGCTGTTGTTTTTCTGCTTGTTGGCCAAGTTCATTTTACTGAATCAATTCCAAGCATAATTTCCAGTAGATATAACCAAGATCATCTTGTTTGGGTATACGTTAATACGTTATACAGGATTGCTGCATTTTTTTTATGAATACCTATAGAAAGCAAATTGTGTTATTCAGATTCAGCATATGGTATATATTTCAAAATATGTATAATAAGTTTAAAGCTCAGAATGTAAATAGGCACAACATTTAGATGGACTAACATGAGATCTAGATTTTAGAAATAGCTTAACAAATTGTCCTGTTCAGGTGTCTCAGCTTCTGACTTTGTTCTAAATGTGTTCAGCTGTTAAGGAAAATAGGTTAGGCTTCACTTCCGAGATTATGCATTTGTTTAGAAATTTTTTACGATCTGATAGTCCCAGTTTCCGCCTTTGTTACAAATTGGCTGCCCTTCCATATGAAGGAATCACAAAGTCAAAACACTATTAGATTGAATAGGAAAATCATTTAATTTTTTGAAATTCTCCTATTTGTTATTACATGGCCTTAATTCTAGCAGCTAAAATTAAGATCATCTTGCCTATCTTATTTGTCTTTTCATTTCTAACAAAGCCAATCTCAACCAAATACACCTTTTTTGGCAGGACAATCACTTATTTCTATGACCTTTACACCATGTATCTTGATGCATTTGTAGTATAGATATGGATGTAAATCCTGCCATGACTTTGAATCCTGGTATTTGAAAGTAACCAACGGGTGTACATGCATATTTCATGATTTTTAAGATTGCTAATGCGATGAAGAATAGAAAAATGGAGGTTGAACCTTCTGAGTTAATGGCTTCTACAATTAGAAAAAGCCAAATGATGTAAGAACCAAATTTGTTATCAGTGTAGTTCTTGGTATCACAGAGAATGATTGTATCATGTGAACGCAGGTACAAATTTGTTAGTCTTTTCTGCTTCCTATACAAGTGGTATATGTCAATATATGATTGTAGAAATATATATGGAGAAATAAATGTCTAGCTGCTAAGTGCTAAGGTGCCTCTCATTTAAATTACTTCTCATTAGTCTAGCATACACAATAACCTGGTATTTGTGTGACTTTATATGCACATTATTTGTTTGGCAATAGTTGACAGAATGAGCTCTGGCGAGACATCATTAGACTAGAATAGTTCATTTTGGTCATGGAACTGTATTTCACCTTCAATGTCGCGATAGTACTTATGATTATCAATTTCCATTTGGTACTCATGCCGATCTAGGTTTGGTGCTTATCATTTTTATTTAGTACTCATGATTCAGTAATTCTTGCTTCGATAATTGTTGCTGATCCACATTTTTTCGTGATTAAGGGCCTGTTTGTTATAGCTCCAACTCCTAAATTTAACCCAGAAGTTGGGTCTGGAGTGGAGTTGTGNANCNGCCTNNNNCCAGCTCCACAACTCCAGTTCATTTTGTGAGAGAGCTCCACCCAACTCCACTCCCAGTTTTAGTGGAGCTGAAACTGTTTGGCTGAGCTCCAGCTCTACGCCAAACAGGCCCTAATGCACCAGAGTCTGTAGTAGATTGTTCGGCTCCTTCAAACTGAATCAGTAAATTAAGTAGTTACTGCTTGAGCTACTGAGGATGCTCTTTGACTGATAGCTATACCTAATTATTGAACTCGAATTTCCTTAAAAAATATATTTGTTCAGAGATACTCATTCTAGCTATGTCACAAGCAGTGTTAAAATATTAGTGTTTTTTTCCCGTTAAATCGCATGTCATTTGCTTCACTACATGAGCAAATCAGGGAAGTAGGAGGTGGAGCAATTCTATTTTGAAGCTAGGCAGGATTTTTCTTTACCACATGGCAACAAGCCACCTAGGATGAGAGAAGCTCATAAAGTGAGTTTTGTATCGAGTGCTCAAATTTCTCTGTAAATTATCATACTTTTTAGGATTAAAACTTCAGTATTGTGAAGGAAAACAAGAAACGGTATTTATTTTATGCCATTCTTTAAATTTTGTATGAAGATTAAAGAACACGTGTGATGCATTTTAAATTGTATGATCTGTATTATCATATATCGTCATCGTAGTGTTAGCACGGGCATATTAACATACATTTTAACATACAAACTCTAAATCTGAAATCTGGAGCCGTATTAATGGGGCATAATAAAATGACACAGTACTACTTTTTAACATGTTTGAGAGTGGCTGCGGAGGAAAAGTATATTAGCCTCTGGCTGAGAAAGGGCACGACGCACACATGCGGACATTGTCCCCGGAAAGGCCCGGCGAAACAAGTGAAAAACAGCCCATCGGCATAGCGTACCCGCCCAGCCTTCTGGCGAACCGGCCGAGAGCCCCGCGAGGGCTGCGGGCTGCGGCTCCTGGTCAAGCCAGGCCGCCAAGGCCGAGGCTGAGTAGGCCGAATGGCCAACCACAGTGCGGGCCACGCCTCTATCGCCCATCAACACCGCCGTCACGCACTCACGTTAGAGCAAGTATAACAGACAGCTGAGATGAATGAGACAGGAAAGGAGAGAGATGAGAAGCGGGCTGTAAGTTTACAGTCGGCTTAGGTATATAAATAAAAATATCTGTGAGACAGATAGGTGGACCATATATTTATAGTGAAGAGTTAAGCACTGTATGAGTGAGCTGATAGATAGGCTATAAGTAAGCAATTGGTTTTATTATTATCCTTGCTCTTAGAGCAGGTACAGTAGCAAGCTATAAACCAACTATAAACATATTTTAAAAAGATAAAAAAATAAGAGAAGAGCAGTGGACTACAGATTTATAACCGGCTATAACATGGACTTCAAGACATAGTGTGTATGATATGTGAGACTAGATATTAATAGTGTAGTATATAACTATTGTATGAATTAGCTATTAAATTGATTATAGATGATTTGGAGTTAATAGTTGACTATACTATCAAACTTGCTCTTGCTCCTACGACAGTCTAATTCGCCCCCCGATATAGAATCGAACCTCACGGGCACACACGGCGCCACGAATCACCGTGCGGCCGTGCCGCACGAGACCCGTGCCAGCACGCGCGGAATCCGCTTCTTTTGCAGCCGGCCACACCACCTGCCTCCTCGGCGCTCACCTGACGATAAGAGGAACGAAACAAGAAAAACCTCACAAGAACGCCATCGTGAAAGACGCTTAATTTCTGCTTCTCCTGTTCTCCAACCGCCACGTTTCGCCGCCGGCCGATCGAACCCGTCCAACGCCTGCGTTGCGTGCAAAACGCGAGAGCCCAGTGTACCTGCGCAACCCGCAGCGATCCGCTGCCGTGAGGTTAATTTGTTCGGAAAGGCCCGAAGAGATTTTTCATCTAGGCTGGCCGTATAGTCGGCTGCCGGCGGCGGCGAATGGAGGTTGGGGGCGTGACGGCACGGCTCTCCCTTCCCCAAATGGGCCAAATTGGGCAGTTCATGCGGATAAGGAGAGAAACCGCACAAGCAGCCAAAGGCTGCGGTTTGGAGCCACTCGCCTCTCTCGGTGCGCCAACGAAACAAGCCACGCTTATTACCTCCTCCTGCTGCTGGCCTGTGCTGTACGTAAGTGCCCATGCACGCACGCGATCGAGCTGATTGATGCGCACCGCACTTGCTCCCCGTCTGCCTTATCGTAACCACCACGTCTACTGATCCGTCTCCATATGCACGCTGATGCATGCCGCATCGTCATCCATCTCATCCAACGCCTTATATAAACACACGCCGGGCAAAGCAGCAAAGGTTAGTGGCGTGAGTTGAGTGTCATTTGTTAGACAAGCTAATGCAATTTATTTGGAATAACATATATACAGTTTTAGCTGATGGGACACAGTGAGCTTCCCGCGCTTAACACGACCATCGCCAGTGAACAAACACGGTTATGTTAGCTCAGAAACTGCAAACTACAGAACTTAATTGGGTGATGAATTTGGATGTATGCGCGATTAATTCAGCTTGAATTGGCTTGTACAACACCAGCTAGCTGCTTTGCGCATAGACAACGAAACTTGGCCTTAATTAGTCATTTTGGTGAGGCTTCAGTACTCAGATTTTCTGAAAGGGCTTAATTACTTAACTTTGTATTAGAAACCTGGAGCACCTCTTCATTAGTCCATCCATAAATTCCTCTCTCACAAAAGAAACGAACTGTGTATGGTTACTCTCTGAAAATAAGCCAGGAGCTTTTGACATCTATGTAGGTTGGTAACTGGTAAGTAAAACAAAATCCCCAGCAATCAACGGTCGGCCACACCTACAAATTAAGTACTTTGAACTGTGGTTCCTTCTTTTTACAATTAGACTGCATTGCTATATAAGGCAGTTTATGCATGGATTATGGTTGCTATGTTTGTTGTTGTGCATATGACACTTATTTTTCAAATTGTAGTGGCTCTGCAAAACCTAGCATCATGATAATTTCCAGAGTCCGCTTCAGCATTACAAACTAGTGCAATCTTGATCTCTTTGGAGAAAAATGACAAAATTTCATCCTTGCCACATCATCAAAGACGATAGTCTTCAAATTTTACACTACCTCTCGCGTATATATTTGGAGTTATACAACGGAAGGAAGCACGCTCTCTGCACACTCCCATTTTCTACTCACACTTGGGATCGGTGCTCGAACGAATTCCACTCGACTGACTCCATGGCCACCAACGCCGCAGCGCCGCCGTGCCCGTGCTACGACACGCCGGAGGGCGTGGACATCCTCGGCCGGTACGACCCGGAGTTCGCGGCCATCCTCACCCGCGACTCGCTGGCCTTCGTGGCCGGCCTGCAGCGCGAGTTCCGCGGCGCCGTCCGGTACGCCATGGAGCGCAGGCGGGAGGCGCAGCGGCGGTACGACGCCGGCGAGCTCCCCCGGTTCGACCCGGCCACGAGGCCCGTCCGCGAGGCAGGCGGCTGGGCGTGCGCCCCCGTGCCGCCGGCCATCGCCGACCGCACCGTCGAGATCACCGGCCCCGCCGAGCCGCGCAAGATGGTCATCAACGCCCTCAACTCCGGCGCCAAGGTCTTCATGGTAAGCAGCACACAACTCCGGCGCGCCATCGGTGAGGATCTTGACGTGGCGTGAGCGTGACGTCGTGGTTATTGTGGGTGCAAGGCTGACTTCGAGGACGCGCTGTCGCCGACGTGGGAGAACCTGATGCGCGGGCAGGTGAACCTGCGCGACGCGGTTGCCGGCACGATCACCTACCGCGACGCGGCGCGAGGGCGGGAGTACAGGCTCGGCGACCGCCCCGCGACGCTCTTCGTGAGGCCGCGCGGCTGGCACCTCCCCGAGGCGCACGTCCTCGTCGACGGCGAGCCGGCCATCGGCTGCCTCGTCGACTTCGGCCTCTACTTCTTCCACAGCCACGCCGCCTTCCGCTCCGGCCAGGGCGCCGACTTCGGCCCCTTCTTCTACCTCCCCAAGATGGAGCACTCTAGGTAAGCACGCACAAACACATCCATCCATGGCGCACTGGCACAAAGCTTGTGATGATCAAGACATGGGCATATCTAAGTTCAAATTCTGGCTGGTACGCAATTAATAAAAAAAAATAGCCCCGCTTTCATTCCACGTTTGATACTTAAGGAACCTTGCGTGAGGGAGAGTGCTTAGAATATGGAGTGAATTACCTGATTTTTATCACCAACATACGTTTTTGGGTTGAACTGATCGATGTATGTAACTTTTTTTTTTAATGCAGGGAGGCGAGGATATGGAAGGGGGTGTTCGAGAGGGCGGAGAAGGAGGCGGGGATAGGGAGGGGGAGCATCAGGGCGACGGTGCTGGTGGAGACGCTGCCGGCGGTGTTCCAGATGGAGGAGATCCTGCACGAGCTGCGCGACCACTCGGCGGGGCTCAACTGCGGCCGCTGGGACTACATCTTCAGCTACGTCAAGACGTTCCGCGCCCGCCCCGACCGCCTCCTCCCCGACCGCGCCCTCGTCGGCATGGCCCAGCACTTCATGCGCTCCTACTCCCACCTCCTCATCCAGACCTGCCACCGCCGCGGCGTCCACGCCATGGGCGGCATGGTCAGTCATCGAAAAAAGATCGATCCACTCGCCCGTTGGAGAGCTCCTCGAGCTAGTTGATTAACCAAACGGTTGCTGATGTGGTGCAGGCGGCGCAGATCCCGATCAAGGACGACGCGGCGGCGAACGAGGCGGCGCTGGAGCTGGTGCGCAAGGACAAGCTGCGGGAGGTGCGCGCCGGGCACGACGGGACGTGGGCGGCGCACCCGGGGCTCATCCCGGCGATCCGGGAGGTGTTCGAGGGACACCTCGGAGGGAGGCCGAACCAGATCGACGCGGCGGCTGGCGACGCCGCCCGTGCCGGCGTCGCCGTCACGGAGGAGGACCTGCTCCAGCCGCCGCGCGGGGCGCGCACGGTGGAGGGCCTGCGCCACAACACGCGCGTCGGCGTGCAGTACGTCGCGGCGTGGCTATCCGGGTCGGGCTCCGTGCCGCTGTACAACCTGATGGAGGACGCCGCCACCGCGGAGATCAGCCGGGTGCAGAACTGGCAGTGGCTCCGGCACGGCGCGGTGCTGGACGCCGGCGGCGTGGAGGTCCGGGCCACGCCCGAGCTGCTGGCGCGCGTCGTGGAGGTGGAGATGGCGAGGGTGGAGGCCGAGGTGGGCGCCGAGAGGTTCCGGCGCGGCCGGTACGCGGAGGCCGGCAGGATCTTCAGCCGGCAGTGCACCGCGCCGGAGCTGGACGACTTCCTCACGCTCGACGCGTACAACCTCATCGTGGTGCACCACCCCGGAGCATCGTCGCCGTGCAAGCTCTGAGAGCCTGAGCACATGTATACCTCATCGTTGTAGCTACATATAATAAGGACGAGGCTTCAAACTTTACTCTTAGAATACTTACATATATATACAAGGTGGTAATAATTCTCTCCGTGTAACTTCTCCGAGTACTTTGCTCATACTTATTAAGAAAATATTTTTGTTTGATCTGTGATCTGTGTAAGAGAGAAACAGAGAACAATTCCTGTTTGTTTGCACTAGAAATTCTGAAATATCAAATATATCAGGTTCACCGAGAGGAAATAACAAAAAGTTCTTGCATTTCAGGATTCAGAGGAAAACAGATTAGTCTGAACTATGAATGACAGTAAAACAGCATAGGCACACACACTACTGAGTACTGCCCAGGACCAAATTTTGGGACATTTGTATGGTAGTAACATTCTAGGTCTAACAAGCACAGCACAGTAAAATAATAAACTAAGGACAGTGATGCAGAACTTAAAATATCACTGCGTGCCAGAAAGAAAAGTTGACAGCATGATCATTGCCAGTTGTATAACAAAGGTTGATCACATGAGCTTCCAATTCACAGTAAATTTCTACGATGTACAGCACCAACTGAACTACAATCTACCTCCTACAACGCAGACCTACACCGGTTAGGAACCTTATAGTATAGTCATAAAACTGAGCATTTGTACAAATCACATCCAAGAGGAGATTTGAGTTTTCATGCTTCACAACTCATCAGCGATGCGATATGAGGTGATCAAGCAAATACCTACGAGTAATGCGTGTCTAAGAACTCCATAGAGCTAAGCGCATAACAACAGCTATAAGGATTCCAATGATGCAACCGGCCACAACCTGACATAAAAAAGAGAACGAAATTACATTTAGATTACGAGCATATAATGTATATCTGGTGATGATTCTGACAAGCATAAGAAATGCCCAATAGCCGATGTGAGCATGGTAGTAGAAGAGTGTAAAAATGCTGAGGCACATGCAAAACCTCCTCTTCTTGAAACAATGAGAACTGCATATTCGCACCCCCCACCCCCCCCAAAAAAAAAACAGAGTAGATAATGTATCTGTAAGATGTCCTATGACTTAACCTACTGTTTATTTCTTCAGAGAAGTTTTAAGTGTTTGTTAACGATATTGTGTTTGTATCATACCCATGAACTTTCGACAGTTGCATTATATTAGGGTGCTACAAGGTGTATCTAGTATCTGCCTTTATGCTTAGAGAATCTTCCTACGGTTCTTTCTGCTTTGAATATCAGTATTTACAAGGCCACAGAAATAGCTAAAATTCGACAGAATCATGCAAACTAAGCTAACCTGAGGAACTGTGTGTCCAAGAATTTCACGCAATGGCTTTGTCTCTGATAATGGATGCTCTTCTGGTAGCTCGTACACAATTTGATTCAATACCTGAAAGATTTGCATCAACAATATTAGTATGCTCTGACTTTAGTCATTTAAAATAAAATAGAGCATATCAGATAGCACATATTTACTGGACCATCCAAATCTACAATTCAACATTAACTGATGGCGGAGTGACCAGAAGAACAAGAACGTTTTCTCACAAGGAAATGTCACTTCAAAGTTCAAACTACAACATACAGTTGGCATTGTCTAAATTTATTCTCCACATAAAAGTGAAAAGGTAAAGAGTTCAGGCCAAGCAGAAGTTAAACATACAGTTGCCATTATCTAAATTTTCTTGCTGGCATAAAAGTGGATAGGTCCATGAATTCAGGCCAAAAGTGTTGAACCAATAAGGATATCAAATTTTATGAGCCCAAGAAACAGAAGTTGAAGGACAAGAATATTAAAGCTGACATATTAGCCCAACAAACAACACTGCATGTCAAAAATTTAAATGCCAGCTATAGATAATCGAATTCTGTTTATTAGTCCATGAAGATACAATCAGAAGCTGCCATGGAAAACCCTTTCATTCTATTATATCCTGTTCAAACAGAAGGCTGAAACCTTTCAGGATGAGAAAGACAAACCTCTGCCTGCTTCCCAGCATGTAAGCGAACTCCAAAAGCATCATGCATCACCTACAAACACAAGTTAAAGAAAAAAAGAAAATCAAATAATATAGACATAAGCATTTAGATCAAACAAGATAGTTGTATTTCCCAACTAGGTAGTACTGTTCAACGAGGCAGAGGCAATGGATATTGTCATGAAGATGCACTTGAAACAGAAGCTTTGCATTGTACAAGAGCAAACACAAATATAGATCAGTGTTGTATATGAGATTTAATTTTTCATTTGTAATTCCATCCATGACACTAAACTCACTCATTTACATGTAGGCTTAGACCATATCAAATGGCAAAAATGAGATGATAGAACTAGTTAGTGGGAAAAAAAACATAAATGTCTTATCTAACTAACACTGAGCAAAGTATTTCATATATGCAGAAGGGCATCTGTTTGTGTGGAACCAATGAAATGAATGCAAAATTCTCTCATATTTTCCTCTATAGTATCATACTCATGCAACAGAAGTTACAGAAGCAGCTAAGACCTAAAGATACAAATAAGAATCAAGAACATCTACTCACCACACATGCAATAATTACTGAAGTTGCAAAGGTGGCGCTACGATAGCCTTCTTGGATTCCTATGGCCACTGCAAGCGCTGTCACTGTGGCTGAGTGGGATGATGGCATCCCCCCAGAAGCTATAAGTTGCCTGGCATCCCAACGCTTCTCTTTAAACCTGCATCAAATCAGTTAATCAATGATAGAATAGTTATTTAGGGTTTTCAATAAAACAATAAAACATTAGTACAATAGGTAATTGATAAACATTAGCACAATAGGGAATTATTTCCGGCGCCACCTATGATTTTCTGACAGGTTAAATTGCAGAAAGTATATTGTTTTTTTTTTTGGGAAAATTTGTTATTCATATATATAGATTACTGGTGTTCAAGATTTTCATCGCCCCCCTTTCACATTCAGATTGAAGATAGCAATACAATTAGAGAAAAGGCAAAACACCTCATACACATTAGATCAGAACAAGACAACAGGAGTGATCGAATTCCTGACAGACTATACATGAAGTATTATCTAAATTTCTAGCTGGCAAGCTTTCACGAGGGCCATATGTAGTCCTTGTATATACTGTTCCTGGTCTAGTCCTTTATCTACTAATTTTGTATAACATTTTTTTCCTTTCCTTACTTAATGAAATTAGAAAGATAGATGTTTTCCAGTTTGAAAACAAAAGATCCTGTCCTGATGCCAATTCAATGTGTATTTATTTTTGAAATCACCTAGTGATTTTTGGTGATTTAAAAAATAACCTGTACAACAAAGCATATTGTACTGTGCAGCACAAAAATGTGACACACTTGATACTTAAATACTACAATAGTGCCTATTTTATGTCTGATAAACCCATAACAGAATACAGATACCAACTATTGTCCTAGTGATTTCAAAAATAACCTGCACAACAAAGCATATTATACTGTGCAACACAAAAATGTGAGACACTTGATACTTAAATACAACAATTACGACTATTTCATGTCTGATACGCCCATAACAGATACCAACTATTGTCTTAAATCTTCCAGAAATATCAAGGAAGACCAAGCTTACTTTAATTAATAATTTTACTACACTCATTATTTGCAAGCAATCTGCACAACTCTTGCCTAAAAGTACTATAAAGTAGAACCAACGTGAGTCAGAAAAATATATCAAATTGCCCAGTAAAAATTTCACAGGGCACTAAAATGCCCTCAGGCTATAGTAATAAGGCACTAAGTAGCAAAACACCCTGTTATTAGTGCCTCTCAAGTAATGCTCTCAACCAGTAGTTCACGACAAAACGTACCAAAAATGTAAACGAAATCGTGCAAGCGCACTACAGTAGCCGTCCAACTCTCACATCACGCTGGATTTAGAAATCCTGTTTGTCTCTTCTAGACAAAAGTATCCCAAGAAAAGCAGTTCTACCCCCTACAGAAGCAGTTGCTGCAGATCACACTGTCAAAGCCAAGCAAAATACAGAAATAGGAAAAGGATCTCTCTAACCTCCGTGAGGATCTACGGGCTAGCTACAATCCAAACCATGCCAGCGAACCAAAAAAAAAAAACAAATCTAGGACGCCTCAGCTCCTCGTAGGCCTCAAATCTCAATTCTCCAAGTCAGCTCCTTGTTTCTACCAACGCGCAAACCACGAAACGCAACATCGAAGCCAACGAGACCTCGCCCCCACGATTCCCACCGATTACGCAATGCAAAAACACCGAACCACACGTCTCCAGCGATCGAGAACGGCCACTGTCATGGAGCCAAACCGTCACCCACAAACGCAGCGCGTGGAGGGGAGCGGCCGCCGAGCGGGGGCGCAGAGGGAGAGGTAGGGCAACTCGACTCACCAGGTGGTGAAGAATTTGGAGGACTGCGCGAGCGCGAACGCCACGAGCGCCGCGACGAGCGGGTAGTTCACCACGGCGGCGGCGGCGGCCATCTCCGACTCCGCGGCGCGGGAGCCTTCGCCTTCTCCTCGAAGAGCGAGTCAGCGAGAGGGAGAGGGAGAGGGGAGGGGGTTCCAACTCCCCGCGAGGAAGCAACGAGAGCGGCGAGGAGAGGAGTCGAGAGGAGGAGAGGCTTCTTCTGGGGTTTATTGATTTTTTTTTCCTTTTTGGAACGGTTCGGTCTTTGTTTGCGAGCTCTTTTCCTAGGTTCTTCTTTGCTTGCTCGTTTTCTTTTTTCTCTTCTTCTTTTCTCGCCTCCAAGTTTTCATAATTTAGGAGCGAATATTCTCTGTAACGAAGGTATGTAGTGTTGTGTATTAAATTGTAGGCGCAGCTGTTATTTTAAGACCCATGCACCTCTGAGTACTCTAAACAATAATGCTTCTAATTTAAGAGCTTATGGTAAATACGATTTCTTCTATTGAGTAATCTTTAGTTCCTCTAAAGATTATAGATATAATCCCTCACTTTTATTTAAATTTATAGCTAAAAATAATTATAAAATTTAGAAAAAATAAACCCGAAGCTAGAAGACCTAGTTTTTTTCATATTATCGCCAGTTGACTACTCAGCCTATCGATTGTTTCTTAAAATCTCGAGTAATCTTAAATATGGTATTGTACACTGAAAGATAATTGTTTCTTTTTTAAATGAAGGCATTGTGATTCATTACATAACTCAAGTAGAACTTATCTTAAACATGGTAGTGTATTGTACACTGAAAGATAATTGATTCTTAAAATCTCGAGTTATCTTAAATATGGTAGTGTATTGTACCCTGAAAGATAATTATTTCTTTTTCTTAATGAAGTTATGTGTTCCAAAGGGGCTACATAGCATAATATGTACGTGTTGCAAAAAGAATGTACTGTATAATCTTCAACGGCAAAGAAACAATGTGCACTGTGCACAGCACGAGGAACTTCCCTGCACGTTGGCACGTAGGACTTCGGTGCTAAATGCCTTGTTGGGCAGGAGGCTGAATATGCTTCGGGTCGCCAGGTTGGAGCCGCCGAATATGCCTCTTCGCTCCCCTTACACGTCGCTGTACTTTAGTAAATTGATGTGGAGCATCTTTCTAATCTAATTCTGAAGGCAACAACCACCTTCGTTTTCAGCGGTTTTAATCCCAACATTAAACCTGCTAACACATGGCTTAACGCTAAAAATACATTTGCCGTGTCGTGTCAGCCTGGTAAACTGCGGCAACCGTGCGGGTAACATCTTTTGATGCAACCTCACAAACATCGTCTTGAGCAGCCCACGGTTCTCCTTCGTCGCACATAGATTAGGTTAGACACGGTGTCCCCGGCTACAGCCGCCCCCGTACAGGCGTACATACACCAGCTATACTGATTGAAAATACGCAATCAAGTGCAGGACCCTTTGTCACTCAGATCCAGCGAAGCGACGAGCAATCACCGCACGCACGTCAAATGAATCTGGTTTCGTGAAGCCGCATGCCCCGTGAAGAATGGCTCGCTCTCGCTCCACGTGAAGTGAAGCCGCGCAAGAATGGGCCAAGAGACAGAAGGAAAGCACATGGGGCGCCCCATGGCAAATGCTACGGTACACTAGCACGCATCCACCTCAGGGTATAATACCCTTTCGATCCGAAATAAATTAATCTAGTACAAGATATAACACATAATATTTAAATTCGTATTCGTAGTATTAAAATATATCACACCATACATCATGTGTCATGTTAACTTTGGGTCGAAGGGAGTAAGCAAATGAGAATAGGAGGGCGGGGAAATAGATATGTACCTGGCCACCTGGGACTTGGGGAGATTTTTTGCAGTGGAAACGTAACAGAATTGGGTCTACGCAAGGATGGCCCATGGTGAAGAGAGGAGATACTGCAGTGGCAACCAGGTTTCCGGTGCTTTACTGTGACACTTCACACTTTACCCGCCCGTCGAAGAGTTGATTCTCATTTGGAAAGGAAAAGGAGAACGATAATTAGATATGGAGCAGTGTTGTCTGTACAAGAAGAATGGGTTCTGCTTCTGACTCTTGCTTCCGATATACTCCAGTCGTGCGAGCGGCATCATTCTCTTCACCCAAGCAGAATTACTGAGCTGGCACCCCTCAATCATATGGCAGAAAAGCCTCTTAGCCAGCTCGACGGGAAAGCGTTCCTGGGGTAGACACACGCATACCTAGCAGAAGTTTCCTCTGCAGGAGGATGCTCACTGCAACGCCTTCTTTACGTGCCTATATATATACAAGGTGAAGGACAAATTGCAGTCAGTGTCAAGCGTACGACAAGACAATCAGAGTAGTTTTAAGTAAAGGAAACAATCAGGGCAGTGGCCAGTGGGCGCAGACCTCCTTTAGATGCCTATCTGATTGGGTGGCCGCGGTGGCTTGCAAGCATACGAGTATGTATGTACAGGTAGCTGGGGGCAAGAACTGTTCTTGATCGCCAACTGCTAGCACTGTTCCCCTTTTCCGACAAGTTTAACCAGTTCAGCTTTGGCTGCTTCCATGACCAGTGGAAAATCAACCTCCACATAACGTCCCCTGTCAGCAAAGATTCAGGTTCAGGTAAATAGGTGACAGAGGAAAATAATGAGAAAAGGCAGCCAGAGAGGCAGACCAGAAGTGATTTTTGGACCAAGTGACAGATGGAAAAGCAGGGCTCGAGATGCCGTGCATAATCCTCGCAACAGCCCTCGGGGTGAACTTTGCGAATGAGTTGCTTTGAATGAACACCTAGAAGTATGGTGGAGATACAATTGGAATTATTGCATTATACAGAATCACAAGGGAAATGTATCACATCATCAGTGCTTACCTTTATATCGGCTTGCAAGAATGGGCTGCAAAAAAAGTAAGATGAAATGCTTCAGTCGGATAAATTTTAGATTGGAACATCACAAGAAACAAATGGCAAGTAATGCTCTGTTAAGTTCGATCTAGAAAAAGAGTACAGAAACCTGCTCTTCTGCAGCTGAGTGCGGCAATCATTCTCTGAGGTGCCATCGTCCTTGCTGAAGTACTCCATAATCTTCTTCTGAATGCACGGAGTGTGCTGGGAACCAGAGCATCCTCCCGTCCTTTTACACCCTTTGACAGCAAAGTTTGCAAGAGCAAACATAGCATCTAACTTACTGATCTGTTTGAACAGCAGATTCCATGAATCAGTATATCTAACTTCTATTTTTACTCTAATTTCATTGAATCCGCTTTCTTGCTCAAAATAAATAAGACCCTTTTTTAGTAGTCATAAGACCAAACTTGTATTAGTACCACAACTTAAATCCTTACAAAAGAAAACAGAACTTATGTAGTAAAGATTGGCAATTTACAATATGAAGCAAAATGAATATTCAAGAGAGGCAATTTAAGAAGCACCTTTGAGCTTTCTACTTCAGAAAGCCATTTTGTGAGATTTGCTGAAAGAGCATTGAAGTCATCTGGCCTCCACAAGATCACATAACAGTAAGCAGGATCTTTCAATTCAAATGATATTTCTCCTGAAAACTAAATAACAGAGGAACAAAGAAAGTTTAAGGCTTCAACATATACATATTTGCAATACTTGCTAAATACCTGTGCGTTGCAGCGGATTATAGAAATAAAAAAATTGAGTCCATTTTCTGAAAAAAAAATTGTTTCTGTTTGGTTGAAACAAAATGCTTCATCTTTATGAAACAAAAAGAAAAGGGACATGCTTATAGGATTGTAGTTTTCCAAAGTGAGACATAAACCCTTAAATGCATTTTCACGTGACAATAAAACACGTATTAATAATAAATCGTGCAGTGTGACCAATTTAAAACTACAAATAAAACTAACATGTTTGTGAGTTTTTCACTTTAATCAAGGTGAAAAAGAAGCAAACCATTAGAAACAACAAATATACAGTGAGCATAGCAATCATGTGTATACTGGTCTCATAGCCTGATAGCCCCATACATCAGCGGTGGTGGCATCACTAGAGTCTTTTAAAAGGAATATAGATGATCATAGAAAAGAAAAACGGGCAGTGGTTCAACAGTCACCACAACCAGACTATAAGCCTATACTACGTGATCATATCTTCTGGAATCTGGATAATAACAGCAATAACCATTCTAAGATAACCATTAGCGCAAGACCGATAATGGTAGAGTTTGCCAGAACATATGTAAGCAACATGAAGTAAATAAGTAGATAATGATAGGCTAAACTAAAGGTTAAAATAGCATGACTCCAAGCAACTAGCAAGAATGAGTTTCTACTCAGTTCATACACTAGGCAGAGCTCCTATCCTTTCTTTCAAAAAAGTTGCAACAGATGATGCAGCCCAAACAAATATGTTTAACATTCTAGCTAATTTAGAAGAGAAGGGCAAACCTTTAGTTTATGTAGGTGATCAAATACTTCATTCATAGTGATCTTCAGATCATTAGCTATTCTTGGTATGTCAAAGACATAATGTCCATCCTTCATCTCTGATCTGCTTTCTCCACGAATTCAGAATCGACATCTTAGAAATGTGTAGCACATTCAGAAAAAATTTTGGAACAAAAGTTGATAGTGTGTTACCTATTCAAAACCGATCTAATTAGTATATCCTTGTCAGCAAGCAGTTGTGGTGATGTCTGCATCAATTTAATCCAATGATCAAGATATGAAAGAAAAATGAATATTGCTTGACAAAATAACAATGAACATGGTAAATCCATGAATTTTTTTTAAGTAAAGGCAAGCCATGTTAATTAAGTGTCTAGGCGGTGAACAATTAAGATCACTCATTGTTACATGACAGACAAGAAGATCGTCAACTGAGCATCTTGACACGCAAATCAAAAAAGGTCCAGATCACTGGAGAAGCCTGTGGCATACCTTGTGAAAATACAGTGTGCAGGTAACACTGAACTGAGGAAGTAAACGGATGTATTGTTGATCACCAATTTCCAGCTGTGTGAGAATTGTCAAAAGCACCTGCATTGTTAGAAAAATAAGAAGATAAGATCATTGAATCTAAAAATTTGCTGGACCATTTAATATTTTCGGTCATTCAGGAACTAAAAGGCTTTAGGATAAGAGTATTATAAAGAAGTGCATGAAGATATTGGTGGGAAAGGTGGATTCCATGTAAAATATTAGGGGAAGAAACTGTCTAACGGCTTCAGAGAAAAAGTCTATAAATGCTATTCCTTGTAGTATTCCTGGAACCTAAATGCATTATAGCTGATTCCAATTGCATGGAATGGCAATGTGGTTTTGACTGGAAGAGTAACATTAAGAGATTAATAGAATGTGGAAACAACTTCCGTAAACTAAACACTGGAATCTTCTTGGGGCATCATACCGATAATTTTCTCTATGATGTTCTGAACAATTGAATGCTAGACAGCTCATCCACTAAGACATCATTTAAGCTAAGAAATAAAATTTAGTGACATTGCAAATTCTTACAGAGCACAGCAAATAGCCATCAAACACACGTGCCCCAAAAATTGATATCCATTTGACCCGTTCAGTATAACATAGTGCGAGCAAACTAGGCCTATGTAGGTAGTAGGATGAGTGCATGACATAAGAAACTAGGTGCATGCTGGCCTGAAGAGGAAGGTCCGAAGGTGCAAACCTCTTCTTTTATATCAAACTTGCGTGAGGTCAACTCTTTAGCCAATGAACAAATGCACCCAGTTGTGTTCTCAGAGGAAAATATCTGGTAAAGAAATTTGCTCATTGCATATCCATCAACACCATCACTGCCAAGAAAAGGTTGCTCGGTGAAATTATAGGAAAACTGTGGCAGGCAGAGCATGTTGATTAGGAAAAAAAGATTCACCTGTGTGAAAGACTACGGATCTTATAGAATGTTGCTGAGTCAAGAAGTAGATGACAGTGTGATAACCGTCCATCCCTTCCAGCACGCCCAGTTTCCTGGATGTATTCTTCTAAGCTTTCTGGCAAGCTATAGTGAATCACCTTTAAGGGTGGAATGCTCGAGTCAGACCATTAACATAATTTAGTTATGCTTAACGTTATGAGATACACAAAATTTGAGATAGTGTAGAAATGAAGTTCACTTAAAAACAAGGAGCAAATGCAATTCTATCATACAGTTTGAGCATCATAATGTATGTATATCCATACCCCTTCGACATCACTCTTATCAAGACCCATGCCAAATGCCACAGTTGCAACAACCTTTGCTCAAGGATGGAGAAAACAAATGTTAGACACCACGTCTTACATAATGCATTTGACGAGAAAAGGTCATGCCAAAGAACTAAAGAAGAAACCACATACCACTCTTATTTTGTTAGAGCAAAATAGCTCCTGTACACGGCTCCTGTTCTTAATCAGAAGTCCACTATGGTAGCTCTATAAAACAATAGAATATGTAATTAAAGTTGGCGCAGCAAATTAATATCAAGCTAAAGATTAATGTCAACCTTGGCAGTAATGTTGTTATCACACAAGTACTTAGAGACGAAGTCAGTTTCTGCCTGTTCGCAATAATTAAAAAGGGGTCAAATCTTCATATAGTGCATACACATTTAGGGTATATAGACAGATGCGTGGTCTTTGGAACATCTTTAGGATTTTTTTTAAAAAAAAAAAACATACCTGAAACTTGCAGTAGACGATAATACTTCTCATGTCAACAAAAGGGGGAGACTTCAATAATAACATCAAATCTTTCAGTCTGCATACGTGCAAATGCTCTTGAAAACCAGATAGCATACCTTCTTTCACATGTAAATACGTATTAAACTGACTCTGGTTGCATTCATGGGTGCAAAGAGAAGTGGCCTACCTGTTATCACTTGTGCTGATAGACAGCTGTAGATTTTCTCTTATTTGAGATGTTTGAATGAGATTATCAGATGGTATTTCTAAGGCATTCATTATCTCCTCCAAGGTTTGGGTCGTTGCAGTTGCAGTCATTGCAAGAATACATTGAACATTGAGCTTTCTCCTAAGTAGTGACGCTCGGAGTCTCAGATATGAAGGTCTAAAATTATGAGACCTGTACATTCAGTCAGGAATAAGTTATAAACTTAGCAAGACAGTTGTACTAACTGTCTAACACTACACAACAAGTGAATAATAAACTAGGAAAACAAAACAACGGTAAAATTAATAAGATGTATCACAAAAATGATGTGAACACAAAAGTAATAACACAGTACCAACTGTAAAGAAGTATCATGTCTTCTCAACTGAACTAAGAACAATGTCAGCTCACCATTCAGAAATGCAATGAGCTTCATCAATCGCCACAAGAGATATTGGTAGTGTGTCCCTAAATATCAGGAGGAATTCTTCGTTCAAGAATCTCTCAGGGGAAACAAAAAGCACCTGATCCCAAAAATAAAGAATCTCAGCATAACCTAGCAAAACATTGAAGTGCAAAAAAAAAATACATTTGTGCTTCTTAATGATTCATGTTCTAGTTACTCCAAGAAAAATGCTGCACTGGAAGAATTGATAAAGATAGTAAGGAAATGTTCTCTAGATAAGGCAGCATCAAGGCTGTAGTCACTGGAGAATGCTTAAACTGATCAGATGTCGACATTAAGAAAATTGTACCTTTATTTCCCCTGCACGCAGCCTTTGTAGTGTATCATGAAACTCATCCGATGTCTGGATAAATGAGGTAATGTTACACAATAGTCAAAACAAGAATGGATGGAACTAGCAGCAACTGCAAACATTTTGCCTTTACCTGACTGCTCGCAAGAAGGCCACCTGGCAGAAATGCAGGGAGCTTCCTCAATTGATCAACCATCAAGGAAAGCAGTGGACTCACCACCAGTGTCAGTCCAGGCAAAATCATAGCAGGCACCTGAGAAAATAGCATCATCAACTTTTCAGCACCGACCAATATAAACTTAATAGCTCAAATTTTGAAGCATACCTGGTAGCATAGCGACTTGCCCGCACCGGTGGGCAGCACAAGCATTGTTGACTCCCCTGCAACAATTTGCTGGATCGCCTCAAGCTGCCCCTGGCGGAACGAATCGTGCCCATATGCTGCATTCAGCAAGCTCTTGAGATTTTGCTCCGATGGGTCCTCCCTCACACTCTCGACAGCCTCCAGAACACTATCGCTAGCTGCCTGCTTCTCCCGCTCCAGCAGGGCCTCCGCCACGAGATCCCCTTCCTCGTCGCCCTGAGAACGGGGTGTTGCACCGGCGGCGCGCTGCCGCCGCCAGGATCGACATTTCGTCGAGCGCTTGGCCTGCGAATTCTTGAACGTCCTCCTCCTGCCGTACCCGTTGATGTTCAGCCGCACGAAGTTGCCCTCGGATCCCCCTCTTGCCCGCTTCGGCTGCTCCGCCGCCGCCGACGCGGCCGCTACCTCCGACACGGAGTTGGGGTGCACCCGCTTGGGCCTGGTCTGCGGCGGCGCGTCGGTGGCGGCGGTCGGGGGCGGCCGCGGAGCGGCGCTCGGAACCTCGGAGGGAGCGGACGAAGCGGGAGCCGTGAAGGCGGTGGCTGGATCGAAGGAAGGGTTGCGCGACTGGACGAGACGGCGGAAGGAGGACGACGAGGCAGTGCCGGAGGCCGCGGTGAGAGCAGAGCCGGCGGCGATGCGCGCGGCGAGGCCGTGCGGATCGGAGAGCGCGGCGGCGCGGAGCGTAGGCGGAGGCGGCGGGGCGGGCGCGGGCGCGGAGGCAGCGGGCGGCGTGGGCTTGAGCTTGGGTTTGGTGGGGGCGGCGGGCCTAGTACGGTGCTTGGGCGGAGGAGGAGGAGGAGGAGGAGGCGGCGCCGGGCGAGGAGGCGAGCGGCGGCGTGGCGGGGAGGCGGAGACGTCGGAGAGGAGGGATCCCTCGGAGTCCGAGTCGGCGGCGTGGGGCGGGGAGTACATCTCCGGAGGCGGCGGGCGCGGCTGCGGAGGCAGAGATTGTGGCGCCGGCGCGGGGCCGACGAGGGAGGAGAGAGACGGAAGGGGGAGTAGGGGAATTGGAGGGAAATTTGAGAAGATAGCAATATTTTTGGCGCGCTAAGCTGCGGCGGTTGAGCACTGAAGATCGGCCTCGCTTTGCTCTAGATCTCTAAGCTTTCAAAAAAAAAATAATGGAAGCAATAAAAAATAATTTACAAATAATATTTTTAAAATCGTGTCTTAATAATTTAAAAGTAAAAAAACAAATACGATGAAAAAATCTCAAAATTAACTCTAATTTATTAAGTTTCAAAAGTTAAATTTTGGTTGTAGCTAATAAACCAACAAACAAACAATGGAGCTGTGAATAGACAATAGCCCAACACATGTTCAACATATCTATCTTTGGAAAAAAATAAGTTTAAGGTAAAATTTAAATAATTGATTGATGTGAGAAAATAGGTAGAGAAATTAAGTGAGAGATGGTTATGACTTATAGATGAGAGACTTAGGTGGTGTTTCTTTTCTTCTGAAAATGAAGATGAAGATTAAGTTTTTTACACAAAACGAGGTGGTATTAACGTATGATCGATTGAGTTTTAATTGTTATAAATTTGGAAAACATATTATCTGATATTTTAGAGCAACTTTCATATAGAAGCACGAAACGCACGGCTTAACAGTTTGAAATGTGTGCCACAAAAATCTTTATTTTTATCCAAGTTTTGTTGGAGAAAAGAACAGGGCCTTAGTGAAAGAATCAAATGGAAGATGGTTAAGATGAAAGGGTGGGTGGAAGGTTATATTTAGAATAAAATTTATATGATAAAAAAGTGTTTTAGTACATATAAGAAGTACGAATGTAACATCTATTTCCATAGCATAGCGAGGAGACATGTTATTCCCTTATTCACAAAAGGTGATACCAAGAGAAGTTTCACGTGTTTTCTTATAAATAGTATCAAATCATCCCCCCAAGTACACAAGATAATCACGATATTCAAGTACTTCATTGTATGCACAATTAAGGGCACCTTTGAATCGCAAGATTGAGAAAACAGAGGAATAGGAAAAACGTAGGAATTGAATGCCACACTTATTAGATCCCTGAGGGCCCATTTGAATCGCAGGATTGAAAAAACGGTGAATAGGAAAAACATAGGATTCTGATAGAAATGCAAGTGTAAAAATAGAGGATTGCAGAACACAGGAGAAACACAGGAATGATCGTTTGATTGGACCGTAGGAAAAACGCAAGAATCAGATGAGAGAGATAGATTTAAGGAAAGTTTTCCAAGAGGTTTGAGTGGATGTTAAATTTTCTACGTTTTTCCTTTAGAATTGTAGGAATAGGAAAGTTTCCTACGTTTTTTCTTTTCTCATTCCTACGAATCAAAGGCATGAATAGAGTAGGATTTCAATTCCTTTGTTTTCCTCCATTTTTCCTCCAATTCAAAGGGGGCCTCGAACTGTCGTTTGATTAGCACACAGGAAAAACGCAGGAACCTTAGACACATGAAGAGGAAAACATGAGGTCTCGACCTCATGCTTGTTTTCCTCCAAAATTGCTTTAGTAAGGTTCACTCCATAGGAATTTCAAAGGAATTAATAGGAAACAATCATTTGTTTCAAAGGACTCTATAGGATTATGTCCCTTCCCATCGATTTTGCTATATATTTGTTGACAAATTTTCTCCCAAAAATTTGACAGTAGTGTGATTACACTGTAACTATAGTGTAACTCGTATGTAACTTTCAAAAATCTCTCTATAATATGTTATTTCGGTAAAATAGAGGTTGTGAGAATAAATCCTTACACATATGTGTGTGCTATGATTGTTTTTCCTCACCAAAACAAATCTTGTAATAGATTTAACAATTCAAAATTACGTGAAACTTATATACAAGTTACATTGTAATTACATGCAAGTTACAGTGTAATTACATATAAATTTCAGTGTAATTACACTATAATTGTACTATAATTACATCTGTCAAAATTTTAGGAGAAAATTTATCGACAAATGTATAGGTGGTCCCATTTCCTATAGGATAAAATCCTTTAGAATTCCTATGGTTTTTCCTTTGATTTAAAGGGGCCTAAACCTTTCCAAACAGAAGGCTCAAGGCTGTATGCCGGTTTGTTTTTGTAGACAGAATATCTCAAAGTAATAACCCGTATGGATTATAGGTATATTGGGCTTGGAAATCAGGAATTGTGATCCAATTCGATGAAGTGGGCTGTTTTGGCATGGGCCGAACTTGGAACGAGTGAATCCAGCCCATATTCCAATCTGGGTCTGTCAACCAACCAGTCGCCTCCTGCCACCTCCCACGTCGGTCGTCGGGATTCTGGTGGCGAAAATATGGAATCGGAAACGAGTCAAGACGACTAAAGCATGCAGCATTGCAGCGGCAGACGACCAAACGTCGCGGTCTCGGCGTCTCGCGGACATATAAACGAGAAAGATATAGGCGCGGGCCGGCGCTTGCTCTCGGTCTCGCGCGCGCGCCACAGGTAACGAACGCCAGACCGCGACAAAAACACGATGACGACGCTGCTGAGCGATCTGCCCGACGACGTCCTGCTCCTCATCCTGGACAAGCTGGACACACGGGACGCCGTGCGATGCAGCCTCCTCTCGAGGCGGTGGAGCCGCGTCCCCGGCATGCTCGCCAACATCGAGCTGGACGTCGACTCCTTCGCACCCGACCCCGACGACGACCCCGACGACGGCTTCACATCCACCCTATCCGAGTCCGCGAGGAGCAACCACGCGATGGTGCGCGCGGTGCAGAGCATCCTGGCAGCGCACGAGAGCCGGCACGCCATCCGCCGCCTGGGCCTGAGCTTCTTCTCGAGGGACAAGTCGGTCGGCATCGTCCGCGCGGTCGACGACGCCATGGCCCGCGGCCGCAGGATCCACGACCTGTGGTTCACCGTCTCGTCGGAGAAGCCGGAGCTTCTGTGCGCGGGCAGGGACGTCGCTAGGCAAGGGGCGCGCCTCGCGTCCTACCGCGACAAGTATCCCCGCGTGTTCGCGGGCCTCACGCGCCTGCACGTCGAGTGCGTTAAGCTAGGCGCGGCCCGCGTGTCCGCCGTGTCAGAAATGATATGATTTTTCGCTGCAAACTCATCGCCACTTTTGAAAGCTGAAGAAATTCCGACCCAGTCTTTGGTAGACAACATTCGTGAAGTTATTCAACGACCCTCGTCCAGCAAGAGTCGGGACTGGTTAGTGTTGTTTCCGATAGCCAAGTTCTCTGTTTTGGGCGCTAGCTGCGAGTGTCCTTCAGCTGGAGTCCCCAGCGATAAATTGGTTACTCTATTTGCTTTCTATAAAAAGGATTTGCCTTCTATAAAAAAGCAGGGCCCCAGGCTCCTTTCTAAAAAAGGAGATGAAAACACTTCGCACGTTTGGCTGTAAAAAAAGAGCAACCGAGTACATGGCGGCGGGCCAATGTAGTCGGAGCAGAGAGCAAGCGAGCACTTGAGCGATCAGACGAAAGAATCCGACTGAAATCAAGCAGAAAAAAAGGCGACATTTTTTCAGCAAACCCGTGCCGTGAATATCAACAACTATGGATATGAACCAAGCATCTACAATCAACAGCGCAGCCAACTAATCCTCAAGAAATTATTCGTCTAATGCCACTTGAACTTTCAAATTCAAAAACCACGATTTATAAAGTGCCGGAGATGAAGTACACAAATTAACATTACATCGAGTTTTAATAAAACATCATGCGAAAAGCCAGCAAAAACAAAAGGCAGCATACAGCTAATGAAGCTCTACTGGAGTAGCTCGCAAAAGGTCCGACTTATTTTCAGTAGCACTCTACTCCATTTCTTCCGAAAGAGTGACCATCTTCTACTGGGTGTTGTACATGTGACGGATCAGGTCAACAACGCGAGAGCTGAAATAAAAAGGAGTGGGTTAATGTACGAATTATTTGGACAGTAATAAAATGGAGTGGGTACGAATTATTTGAACAGTATGGCAAAAAGATACTAGTGCAGAATTCTCTAATATTGAATCCAACTAGCAAAAGAAAGAGGGCACACTGGAGTGTGATCCAGTTTGTGTTAAGAACTGCAACTAACCAGTAATACATTAGAAAACAAGGGTTCAACCTGACCAAGGTAATGTAGTTCAGAGAACTACCATAGAACATGTTAAAATTCCAAGGATATGAACAAAACAGCCAGTATAGCTTTCTAATGGAGAGCTAGCCTACGCGATATGAACCAAACAACCATGAACTAAAAAACAAGTATAGCTTTCTAATGCACATAGAAATGATTACCTGTATCCCCATTCGTTGTCATACCAAGACACAAGCTTAACAAAGTTGTCATTGAGAGCAATACCGGCCTTTGCATCAAAGATGCTTGACCTGTTACACAGAGCAAAAGAGGTCAGGGGCTTCGAGTAACCGAGTATCCAAATACAAGACGAATTTAAACAGATCTCCACCTGTTGTCACCCTGGAAGTCTGTGGAAACAAGGTCCTCCTCAACGTAACCCAGAATACCCTTGAGTTTCCCCTCAGACTCCTCCCTAGAAAACAGAACAAACAAAAGTCAATTGCTAGTCTTAGATGACGTTCTGGTACCCAATACTTTAGCCTCTTCACTTTCTGTAAGGGCAATTCTAATTTATGCTACACTTACTTGATAGCTGCCTTAATCTGATCATAGGATGCTGGCTTCTCAAGCCTGACAGTCAAATCAACGACAGAGACATCCACGGTTGGAACACGGAAAGCCATACCAGTCAACTTTCCATTGAGAGCAGGAAGCACCTTGCCGACAGCCTAACAAGTTTTATAGCAAAAGTTAAAACATGTACAAACATTTCCCCGAAACAGGATTAGCACAAAGGCGAAAAGACTATAAACAAAATTCTTAAATAATGATCTCAAATTTTGAATTTACAACTTAGATGCATACGGTTGCACTTCCAGAGATTATGCTGAAGGTAACAAACATGATGCAAACAAAGAAGCATTTGGAGGCAGAAACTGTGTTCAAATTAGTACAGTTGCTTCAGGACAATGTACTTTGAACCTTCTCTGATAGGGAGTCAGTAGCTTTAACTTCAATTATAAGTAAACGTGTTTAAAAATTTTGTCTGACATGTACACCAAATGCTAATGCATTCAAAGAGATCTTTAACAAATCATTGTTGATGCTACAAAGGTTGAGCCTACCAACTCGAGTGAAGTTAACAAAGAGTTGACTCTTAAGTGAGCGACTAATCATTACTAACTAATGCACCTATATTATATGTACAGACAGAAATCATCATGGAGGCTGACCTCAGCATATGGGATAATATTAAATCTCATGATTACCTTTGCAGCTCCAGTGCTGCTAGGGATGATGTTGAAACTGGCAGCCCTTCCACCCCTCCAGTCCTTGCTCGAGGGTCCATCAACGGTCTTCTGAGTTGCTGTAAGAATTACAGCACAGTGTTACATCAAAGAAATGCTAAGCAACGCCACAACAATGAAGAACATCACAGGTACTTCAAAGATCATACCAGTGATTGCATGGACAGTGGTCATCAAACCCTCAACAATACCAAACCTGTCATTGATAACCTGCAGGCAGACAATTTGATAAGGACAAGGCTTCATATGGTAGTAGTGACCAATTTCTTAACATCACCACACAATTTGCAACAGTAGACAAGTGAAAATGAGTGAGGAACACACCTTGGCAAGTGGAGCAAGGCAGTTGGTGGTGCAGCTAGCATTGGACACAATGTCGATGTCAGGCTTGTACTCCTTCTCATTGACACCAACAACAAACATGGGGGCATCCTTGCTGGGAGCAGAGATGACGACCTTCTTAGCACCACCCTATATTGAAACGCATATGATACCATGAGAATCATTCTTCATATGAATTGTTATGACACCACAATCAAACAATGACATGTTGGGTTTCGCAGAAAATACCTTCAGGTGAGCAGCGGCCTTGTCCTTGTCAGTGAAAACACCAGTGGACTCCACAACAAACTCAGCGCCAGTCTCACCCCATGGGATCTCCTCAGGGTTCCTGAGCAGAGAAATTAAGGTTGAGCGATATGGTATACTGCTCATGATATCATCAGACAACAGCAGAGAGGGAAAAAAACAGCAAACCTGCAGCCGAACACGGTGACCTCCTTCTCACCGAAGAGAAGGGTCTTGGAGTCCTTCACCTTAACCTCATGATGCTTCCACTGGCCGTGCACAGTGTCATACTTGAACATGTATGTCTGCAGGAAATTGAAAAAAAAGTTATCACCGCATTGTCTAGATGATTGGATTCACACTTCAGATGAAAAGGAAAATCACAGATATTTAAGAAGGGCCATTATCAAACCAAAACAAACTGGAAACAAATAGCTGGATGTGGCAAACATATCTCAGAAGCCAGTACCACAGCAAAGCATATCGCTGTGCGGAATTTTAAAGCAACCGGCACAATCTGTGATTTTGCATGTGCAAATGCATCTGAAGACATATCAATGACTATTTGATCGACAGGTCGACACACTGATATCCAAATTCCAAACTCACAGATCTAATTAGGACAACAATATGATAAGCAGCCACAAAAAACTAGCTCGCGTATGCAGATCAATACGCTGGGTCAAGCTCAAGCCAGTCAAGAGCACACTGTGACTGTAACCTCCTAACACCTAAACCCACAAACTAGCCCCTGGAATAGTAGATCTAAAACAAACCAAACATCCCCTCGCATCTATCCACAAATCTGTGCAGCTAACGAGATAAAAGCAAAAGGCAGGAGGGTTTACCATGTAGTCGGTGGTGATGAAGGGGTCGTTGACGGCGACGAGCTCGACGTCGTCGCTCTGCAGGGCCACCCTGGCCACGAGCCTCCCGATCCTCCCGAACCCTACACAATCCACATCCAACAATCAAAACCCACCCCCAAAACCCCGCAAACACCGGCACAAAACACAGATCTGGAGACGAAGGTCCAACTCACCATTGATCCCGATCTTAATCTTCGCTGCAGAAGCCAAAAAACCAACCAGCAAAAAGTCAGAAAAAAATGCAAAAAAATCACTCCACTAGAACAGAACGGGAACGGGGAGACCAGATCGAGATCGGAGGAAGCGGGATCAGATGGCGGAGTTACCCATTTGCGATTTCGATCTGAACTAAGCGAGAGGAGGGATGAGATGCGGGGGTCGAGAGCTACAAGTGCGATGCGACGCGAGGAATGGGTGGTGCCAGCTGGGGCGGCCTCGCCTTTATATAGAACTGGCTCCGCCGGGGGATCCAGGGCTCTGTGCCCGCGGCTCAAGGATGGGATCGGGGCCGTTGGTTTGAATCGGGAGGGGGGAAGTGGACGGTGGGAGATGCGGCCACGTCGCTGGATTGGGAGAGGGGATAGAGAGGGCGTGGGTTTCCAGAAGGTTCCTGTGGGTGGAGAGAAACGTTGGACCGCTGCTGGATTTGGGCCCACGAAAAGATAATGGCAAAGGTAGGCTTCCTCCCCAAGAAGATCGATGATAATCAGCCGTTGAAGATCTATCGTCCTGCTGATCAAGAAACATATAAACGGTGTTATGAATAGTTGATACAGTATCATTTAGAGCAAGGGAACCGATACTGAGAAATATTCCTTCTTAATAAGACGTGATTTGATCCGTGTATATTTTGTCCTAGAATACAGTCATTTCCTCTGGTTTAGTTTTAGTTATAAATTGAAAATGTTCGATTAGAATGTTATTAAAACGTGACTTGGTTGGTGAAAAAATGGCGGTTACTGAAACGAGATATCTCCTCTACAACTGGTAGTTGTATATATTGGTTGCTATACGATGCATTAACAATTTACCGTGCATACATTGGCCAATGAATCAAACATAGTGCTCCATTTCTTAAGCTGTGCCAGTAAAAATGGCAGGGCCTGATAGAACTTTCACCAAAAGAACTATAAAGGTTTTTCATAGGAAAAAAATCTACAAGAGAAATAAAAAAGTTAGCTATATACCAAAACTTCTAACAAACATTAGAAAAGTTCCCTTTGTAAAGAAAAAAGGTTGCACCAAAAAAAATCAAAGGAAACTTTCTCTTGAAAAATAATCTCTACCGAAACAATATAATCCTACTTGAATTTTAAATACATCCAAATTAACTTTCAAACAAAAGGCAAACAGAATGTCAGTGCTAGTCAGTGGCTTTTAAGGCATAGGGGTAGTTTTTAGTATAGAATCACATAGTTCACAAATATATTAAAAACTATATTTAGATTATTGAGTATATTATTATCGCCATTATATAACCGATTATAGTGGTTAATTTAATATTTTAAGATAAAATATGTCTAAAATGAGTGGTCTAAGTAATACTCCCTACATGCCAAAATGGGTGTTAGGCTAAATCACTTCTAACGCAAAAGACCGAGAAATAATTTGATTATCGCATCGGTTAGATCACATCCGTACAGGCAAGCAGTGTGATTGGGGGCTTGATGGTAGATGGTTTAAAACAAACCAAATTTAAAGGACTAAGAGGTGATAGTTAATGTGCATGCATGCACACACACCTTATATTACAAGACATGGAAAAAAGTTGTTGTGCCGTGATGGAAGGACTACAGTATAAGTTTTTGTATTTTCAAAACATAATTTTCCAAACCGTGAATCAAATGATATGCTCTGATAATATAATGAATAAGCGTATTTTTTTAGTCTGGTGAAGAATAAACTTTTCGATTTACAATTCGGCCGAATAAGCCCAGAAAAACAGTAAGAAACAGATGTCTCGTTTGGTAAGACGCTCATTTTGCGAGAACACTCTAACCAGCTTTACTCTATTTTTTTTGGTGAAACCAAAATTGTTTGGTAAGTTATAACTGTGCTAAACGGACGAATATGAGGGCAAATAGGGGTTGTTGGCGGCAAAGGGCAAATACCTTCCCTCCGTTTCTAAGGGTATTCCCAACCCAATGTCTAGGATGATGTCCATAACATTATATAAGTTGCCACCTAGGATAAAAAATGATGTGGCAAGTAAATAAATGAGGAAAGAGAAGGAAACCATGTCTTGCATGAGATATGGTTTCTACACAAAATATCATGTAAGATAAATTGCATTAAATTGAAGTATGGAATAGTGGTGTTTATATTGAAAGAGTAGTGTCTAGTACTAATTTCTTGATGATGTAGAGTTTATGAAAACTATGTCTAGTGTTATGGGTTGGGACTGCCCTAAAGGCCAACCGTCCGAACAAGTTCAAAAACCCAGCCACCCAGGAGCATTTTCTCCAAGAAAATGGTGTTTCTACGGTTCTACTAGTAGTCTACTGGTACCAGTACAATTCATCATCAACAAGAGGTAAAGGACTCGAAGAGAGCGCGCGGCTTGGGCGAATCGCGCCAACCGAAGCCCACTGGCCCACCGCCCACACGACCGTTGGGAGCGCAGGTCCGGCCCACCTTTAAAAACTCCCGAAACCCACCCGCACGCCGACACCTTCTCTCCCCCGCACCTGACCCAACACGACCCATCGACAAACAACGCTCCCAAGTTCCCAAGCGCCGCAGCCCGCAGCCGATCCGCTCCACACTAGCCGTTGCCTTTGCCCGGCTTTTCCCCCCCTTTCCTCTTTCCTCTCCCCCCATCCGCCGCCGCCGCCGCCGCCGCACGGGAGGCAAGAGGAGGAGTTAAGAAGGTGAGGCGGATCAGGAGATGGCGTCGAGGACGGCGTCCAAGGACATCATCACGCTGCGGGGCTCCGCCGCCATCGTCAGCGAGTTCTTCGGTAGAAGCCGATCTCCGCTTCCGTTTCTTTTATTTTTTTTCGCCCTCGGCTCCTCTCACGCGTGCGCGCGCCCGATAGGTGTTTGATCGAATGCCTTTTCTCGTGTGGCAGGCTACGCCGCGAACAGGTGCGCGCTTCGCGCGGTTGCGGGTGCCAGGATCGACGGCCGCCGCTGCGCTGATGCTGGTTTCCTTTGAAAGAAAAAAAATATAAAAAACGGTTGCTGCAGATTCAGGGTTAATTTCTGATCCGGGGTGTTTTGTGTTCTTGGTTTGTGCGTGGCGCAGCATCCTGTACAACCGCGGGGTGTACCCGGAGGAGAGCTTCACCAAGGTGAAGAAGTACGGCCTCACGATGCTGCTGACGCAGGACGAAGGGGTGAAGACCTTCATCGCCAACCTCAACACCCAGCTCTCAGGTCGTCTGGCCTCACTCACCGGATCACTAGCCTGCCTGTCTCCATTTGGTTTCTTTTTTCTTTTTCTTTTGCTGCTGCTGATTGATCTTGCCTGTGTTTCCTGCGTTGCCGCGCGCAGAGTGGCTGGAGGCCGGGAAGCTGCAGAGGATCGTGCTGGTGATCATGAGCAAGGCCACCTCCGAGGTGCTGGAGCGGTGGAACTTCAGCATCCAGACCGACCCGGAGGTGGTCGACAAGGGTGTCATCAAGGAGAAGAGCGACAAGGAGATCATGAGGGAGATCCAGGCCATCATGCGCCAGGTCGCCTCCTGCATCACCTACCTCCCCTGCCTCGACGAGCCATGTAAGCGCCATTACCACCACCTCTACTTCTTCAGTGTTCAGTGTTCATCGCCTCTGCTCTCCCCCCCAATTCCTCCCAGCTCATCCGCATTCGTCGATTGATTGATTGATTGATTGATTGATTTTGCAGGCATATTCGACGTGCTGGCGTACACCGACATGGACGTCGCGGTGCCCTTCACCTGGGTGGAGAGCGACGCCAAGCTCATCGAGAATCCACAGATGGTGAAGCTGCATTCCTTCGACACCAAGGTGAATATCACTGAATCGACTCCGTTTCTTTTTTTTCGCTGCCTCTCCCAGATTGCTGACGTTACAGCGCCGTGTTCTTGCCATGGCAGATTCACAAGGTGGACACGCTCGTCTCCTACAAGGTCGACGAGTGGGACGAGGAGTAGAAGCCGCCGGTGGAGGTTGGAGCCATGAGGAGGAGACCCCCTTGCTAGTTTATTGCTGCTAGCTTATTTAGCTAGCTTAGCTTGCTAGGCGTGATGCTTGTGTGAATCGTTCGTTCATTCACGCCCTAGCCCTATCGGAACTCGTGTGCTCTGGGAGAATCCCTTTTCTTGTTCTTTACCGCATTTTGGGAGAATCGACTGTGTATCGCTGCTTCACCATGATTTTTTTTTCCTCAGCCTTTGAAATCCTGGGTTGAAAGTACCACTGGAGTTGAATGCATCGTGATCGTGTGCCACGATTTCTTCACTGTGTTGTTCAATTATATGTGTTGTTTCTCACTTCAGAATCTCAAAAGATTCAAGGTGTTTTGAAGTCATATGCTCTGTGAATAACAAAATGCACTTAAATTAAAAGTAATTCTGTACCATCTTCAATCTCAAGACAGCCGTATCCTCAAAGTTTATGTTATATCGACCACCGTTTTTCTTGTCAAAACTTGCATATTAAATTAGAAGTAATTTTGTACCATCTTCAATCTCAAGACAAAATGCACTTCTGCTGAATGAATTTATTCCAGCTTCGGAACTTCCAAGGCTGTTTGCAACAATCCATCAGAAATCTTACATTTTGCCAGACAACCTTCGTTGTCCGGACAAATTACACTTCTGATGAATGTATTTGTTTCCAGCTTCCAAGACTATTTGTGACAAATGTAAAACCCAGTATCAGCATGGGTAACAAACACATTGGAAACTAACTAACACCAAGATGCTACAGAGCTACATTTACATTTACATATAAACCAGAGGAACCCCAGGACCTGTTGGCAGCAACTAACAGGTCCTCATTTAGGCTGTAATCTTTGTACTCAGCCAAAGCACCTTGGATCTTCAGAGAGCTTGAATGATCATATTTCCAACTTTCAAGTTCCAACTTCCAAGGCTATTTACTTCGGGTAACCAATGTATATCCAGTATAACTTTTCCCCTTCGGCTGCATGGACATTTAAAATTAGCTTAGGTCAAGATGCCAAAAGCTAAATTTACAATAACCAGGAACCCATGATTTGCTTGGCTTCAAATTGCATTAAAAGGTAGGAGTATGCTCCATATCTACTTTGGATATATTATATGCCTTGGTCAGGCAATGTCACCAAATCAATCACCAAGTGATCGCATCCCTTCATAAATCACACCAGGACGAAGGTCATCCAGAGTATCGGCGATTCTGTAGCCTGAATACTCCCTGAGGAGTGTCCAACCACGCCGCGAGAGAAAGTCTCGGAAGTCCTCTTCAGTGTAGAATGTCTTGTCTTCTGTCCGGACCTCATCATTTTCGAACATATATAGTTTGATGGTCATTCCTGTGAACATTGAATGCAGCAATGATTGAATCAATATAACTCTATCTGATTCCAAAATAAGTTGTTTTAGATCTGTGCACTAACTCAAATTGACCTTGTTGGCCTTCATTTATATTACATTGGAAAATATGTATCATTTCTTTATGAGAGAAGGAGCATCTATTTTGGAAGGACAATCATGGAGGAATTTTTTTTGAATAAGTGCTTAGAAGTTCCTAAATGACTTACTAAGGAAATTGTTGAGAAGTCTAAAGTAATCTATATTTGGAACAAAAGGGAGCAGTGTTGATGAACATCCTTCAGTAGAGTTTGAAAAAAAAAACTTCAGAAAAAAAACTAAATCTTTTAGTTGGCAATGCGCAACTTGGACGCAAAATAGCATCGTAAATTGAGACGTAAATTACAACTGATAAAACATGATATTTTTTACAGTTTGTTGGTAATGAGAGTGTCATTCACTATTGGCAGCATCCAAACATAAATACTGACAAACATCACTAGTATACAAATACCCCCAAAAGAAATTTCTAGTTAGCACCATACTTTCTAGTTAGATGTACAGATGACCAACATGAACTAGTTAGCTCAACAAGAAGAATCTCAAACAAGAAATCGGCATTCACATTTAAAGTTAATGGATGCAAATCTTCTGTGTGGTGCCACTTGCTTTCAGTTCTTAGTTAGGGTCTACTGCACCAACCAAGTCACAAACTGAAAAGCCATATGTTCCAAAATAATCCCCCCACCACACACAACAACAACAACAACACCACAATACAGAAAATACTGTTACAAATCTAAATAATCTACTACGGTATTCCTAGTTGTGGAGAAAACAAAGTCTTGTCCATAAGCAGAGAAAACGTTTTCCGATTACCGGTATCGAGATGAAGGGTGTATGTTCCAACCGGCATATCCCTGTCTAAGGAACGGACAACCTCATCCTCATCTTCAAGCCAAAAGGCCCGTCTTGTTCTTAGACCAAATGCCGATTTGATGGCTTCTTTAATTGCGTCTGCAGTACCATCAATGCCTATTCTTTTAGTGTAATCACCCCACTTGACTAAAATGACTCTCCCACCAAAAGTAACCTGATTATCTCCACCTGTATGAGGCACGTTTCCCGATTAATACAGAATATTAAAACAAGGAGCCACGAATTAATTAACATAAGAATTATAGAGTTTTAGTACCATCTGAAATTAATAACTTATAGCTTCATTAGTAAAAATAAAGTATATGGTGTATATTAGCCGTATGCGTAGAAACAAATTGAAACAATAACAGTTAGAAAGAAAAAAGTATCCAATAGCTCATCCATATTTCAGGAATGACAGATATGACTAAATAGTTAAATTCAGTGGTTTATGAAATATTTTGAAATAATATTTCTCAGCAGAACAGGAAGTTCATGCAATCAAAATAAATATTATCCAATGGAAGTTGAATCAAGTTCATAAGTACACAGTCAAGCAGCAATATTTCCAACCAGTCCAATTCCTCTGCCATAAATATCCAGATTATTATTATCACTTTTAGTGTGTTTGGATTTGGATTAGTACCATTGGTAGAGGTGTCTCTCCAGTTCCATGGATTTACACCATTGGTTGCAACTGCATCAGCTGTTAATGCAAGTGGATGACTATCAGGTTCTAGTCGATCTTCGACACTTAGCAATGATCTACCACTTGCTGTAAAACAGAAAAGAGCAAAAGAATCAGAGTAAAACTATATATGATGCACTGATATGCATGGTTCTGTCTTCATAACCACAGTTACATCAGAGTATCATTGATAACAGGAGTTGGATAAACAAAACACATGAATCTGATAATAAAAATGGTAAAAATGAAATTATACTTTATTGGTGTTACTGGTCAAACAACTAATTATAAGTGCTAGTAACAGGTGCCTTTTTCTCCTTGATTGTAACTTCATATGAGAAAGCGAGAATTTCAACAATTCCACAACAACATCGAGCAATTCAAATTAAATGTTAGGTTCATCCAAAATTTTGAGAACAATAAATCATACGCCATCAGAAAAATTAATGAGCTAGGACTGAAAGCTCTTCTATGACACTAAGAAAAATGGCATCACTAAAAACTCACTGTTTTGGAGCACTTTTTTGGATGGTCAACCATAAAAAGGGAAAATGACTAGTCCGCAAATGACTTTGCATCAAATTTACTATGTCAAAACAACTTAGCCAAGCAAGTAAACGACTATGGCATATCTGAAATTATTGCATGTGGACATTTTGGTACCTTCAACAGGGCCGAACGGAATGCTAGCATCTTCAAAACCTAGACAAGGGTCATAATATTAGTCAATGAGAAAACAACCGAATTAAACAAGCAGAACTGTAGAAGGCAAGTATAAGCATGAAGACTGAAAATATTGCTTATGTTTAATTTTCATTTTTCCACCCTAACTTCAATACTGTTTATTTTACATCCCTCAATTGTGAAAATCATGCCCGCACACTTTACAATGATCTCTGCTTTAAGTAGAATCAATCTAAACCATTCATCTTTTCTAATACAATGGATCATATCAATTTATACTACCACCTCAACTACTGATATAACTCATAAATCAATTGTTGAGATCATTTCTACTGGTGGTGATAATACTGGTACAACCGGTAGAGTCATGGAGGGGCTATTTAGGTTTACTACGATGCGGATATAGTTTTATAGTGACAATTTATTTATCCCCTCAACGCGAATTACTAGCTAATAAGCTGTCAGAAGTACACAGCATAGCATAATTACTTTCTGCGTAGTTCATTGGCTGACTAGTGACTAGTGACATACATTAGTATAACTGTTAGTCCAGTTTAGAGTCTTATTCTAGACTTTTTCTACTGTTCTGCTTCAGTTCAAGCATGTTGGGGTTTGTCCAACAACTCTTCTATTTTTCTGGTTTTTGGCTGGATGCACTACGAATACAGGCTGGAGATTTATTATTCATATTACCTGAAAAAATTATTACAGCTGTTAGTTCATCTGTTCAAGCTTACTGAGCTACATGGTGTAAAGAAAACTCAATTCTGATTGCTAAGTGCCTAAGTTTAGGGTTCTATTTGCAGTTAGTCTGTGGCTCTGTGCTGAGTTATGAGTTGTGCATCAAGAGATTGAACAAATACCAAAGTTGTAAGCTGTCCCATGCTCTTCAGACAATGCAAGTAGTTCGAAGTGCCTCTCTTCGATCCATCAATGCAAGGCATGCTCATTTTAATCAGAAGACTGTAAACTCTGGAAGAGGTATACCCTTGTCGAACTGCAGGTAGGAGTCGATCTTGGAGGTGACCGTGGGGCTCTTGACGGCGCCACTCCCCACGGCGGCGCCGCCACCGCCCGTCGGCTTCCCGCGGCGCTTGAGCAGGTCGTCGATCTCCTTGTAGCACGCCATCTTGGCGGGGCAATTCCCGCCGCCGGTGCCCGCACCGCCGCCGCCCACGCCACCACCGCCCCCGCCCCGCGCGTGGCTGCGCGCCTTCTTGAACTCCTTGAGGAGGTTCCTCCACTTGTCGGTGCACATGGTCGGGGAGCGGTCGAACCCTTGCTCCCGCATCCTGGCCGAGATGGCCTCCCAGAGGTGCTTGTTGGACTTGGAGGTGTTGAAGTGGGAGTCCATCTCCCGGCGCAGCGCGATGAGGCAGAGGGTCTCGTCCTGGACCCACGTCTCCGCGCGCTTCTTGGGGCCGCCGCCGCCGCCCGACGCCGCCGCGCGGGAGGAGGAGTCGTGGCCGCCGTCCTCGCCGCTGCTCTCCGGGAGGAGCAGCGGCGGGGTGGGCTGCTGCGGCGACGGCCCGGAGAGGAGCATGGCCGCGGCGGGCGGGGCGGGGCTCGGGGAGTGGCACCGTGCGCGAAGGGGAAGCCGGCGATGGGGGAGGTGACCGGAGCGGTGGTGGCAGCAGTGGGGGAGCGGAGACGGGGAGAACCGGGGGGACTCGGGGAAGATGCGGTGGACGTTCGGCCCGGCCCGGCCCGAGTTCCCGGCCATGGCCTGCATGGACTAGTGGGTCAGGCCCATCAAAATGTACAAGCTTTAACTTCACTAATGGCCCATAGGCATGAGGGGATTCCTAGTCTTTTGAAGCTGCGAATGACTGCCAGCCTCATCTTTTCGCTTATACTTATATTTATCAGTTAAAATTTGAACTTTTAACTTTAAATTTGGAGTTAATTTTAGAGTTTCTTAATTAAAGTTTATTTTTCAGCCTTTGCTTTTAGATTGCTAAGAACACGTATATAAAAATTTTACTCATAAATTATTTTTCGTTTGCAAACATGTCGTTTCGCTTGTTCCTCCGATAAGCCAAACGATGGGGGTTTGCGTGTCGGATATTTGGAGGTACACTTCATCAATGGAAAAAAGAAGAAGAGAATGGTTCCAGTTTAACTCTTCGGGTTTGTTTGGTTCAGTGCCATACCAAAACATCCGTAGTGCCAAAATCCAGACATGTTTTGTTGTTTTGGCACTACTAAATATTTTAGTGTTCCCTTTTCCAACAGCGTGCTGATTCATCTTGTCAATCATTATCGCAATCAGCTTACTCATCAGTATACAAAACATAGCTTGTGAGTAGCAGAAGATCTGGCATGTAAAGTATCTATAACCGCAAGATCCAAAAAAGATTATCAGCAAAATTCTAGCTCAAGACCGGTGCATCACGTATTGGTACAGAAAACAAGGGAGGAAGGACTAGCCTCATTATTGAACTAGTCTTCAATCTTGCACTAACCACTCTGGTGCATCCTTTCTGCATATTAGTCCTCTGCTCCTACAAGTACATAATGCAAATATTAATAGCTAGCCCAGGACAAAAACAATCGACAGTAGGGAGAAATAAAGCAGTAAGAAAATAAAGTCAATACCACCGATTACGAATGCAGCAGCTGTAGATATAGTGGACGAGGCTACTAGGTCCCGGTGCACGGCCATACAGGCTGCAATTATCAATTGCCAGTGACAAGCTGCCACTACTGAGGTGGTATTTCACAAGTCCTGAATTAAGGTAGACAAGATTGTCACCCTTGACTGTAGGCAGTATCTTAGAAGAGACACTTATGTTCCTTTCTCCAATGAACAGGGTATGGCCCCCGATGCTTTTTATTGGCATAAACCTTTGCAGCACAAGGTCCGCAAGTTTGAAAACTGAAATCCGCGACGTAGACCAGTTCTTGTAACCAAGCACCAGGATCTCTGAACCACATTCTACCAGACCTTGAAAATGGTCGAGCTTGCGTGCAGGGATTGTGGCAACCAGCTTTGGCTCTTGTAGAGCACGACCTGCGCCCGAGCCCGACCCATCCTGCGCTGCTGCAGGTGGGTGATCAATCCGGAGAATCTGGTGCATCTTCTCGCCACATGATCTGTCTGTGTGCATCAGGTATATCTTGCCATGGGATGCGATCGGTGAAGAGAGTATCACGCATTCGTAGGTCGACAGGCTCCATTGCCGGTCCAGGGAAGTAGCGAAGGCTACACGAGACACCACGGAGAGTGCAAGCAAGACGGTGATGGCTCCAGCTCCAGCTCCAGTGGCGCTGCAGGAGACAGAAGCGCAGACGACCCTCGCGAGGCTCCTGATCCTGTACGGCGCGGGGCAATCCAGCAGCCGTGAGCCGAGATGCGGGAGGACCGTCCCGAGCGGCGGGAGCTCGGCGGTGTCGCCGGTGAAAGGGTGGAGGAGGCGAACGGCGCCCTCCTGGTTCGGGTCGGGGTCCAGCAGCAGCAGGAGGAGGCCGTCGACGGAGTCGATGGCGACGTAGCCATCGCGGAGGAGCGGGATCCGGGCGCGGACCAGGGTCCCCGTGTCGAGGTTGAGGAATCGGGCGTACCCACGCAGGCTCGGGTGGCCCGGGTAGAGGCCGTGGCCCTCCGGGAGCATCATCCAGCGGCGCGGGTGGAAGCGCCGGTCGGCGACGCCGCGGCCGCGCGGGGAGGCGGTGCCCGACCGCCAGCTGGTGCAGACGGCTCGGAAGCGGACGTAGTCCAGCAGGTCGCCGCCGGCAAGCAAGCGCGACGCCACCAGGTCCACCAGATCTTCGGGCAGCGACGCCCAGCGAGGCACAGGGCCCGAGGCGCGTCGGCAGCGCTTCCTGTCCCCCGGCGCCCGAGGTGACGACGACGACGACGACATCTCGAGTGATCAAAAGCCCTCGCTTGCCAATCTGATCCACCAAGACGAACAACACGAGATTGGAATCGATTCACGCGGCTTGAATTCCCCGAACCAGATCATGCCGTCGGCCGTCGGTGGAGGCAGGCCGACCGGCCCGCGGTGGCAAGGAGGGACTGTTAGAACTATTGTTAGTTAGAGGTAAGAGTCAAATGCAAATATAGAGATAAGATATATCCTAGAGATAGAATCCTAGAGATAAATCTACTCTTACTTATATTGTACTCCAAGTCTCTATCCCCTATGTACTACTATATATACCCCATGAGAGAGTCGATGTAATAGATGAGAAAACAACAAAATACAACAAATTGGATTTTTTCCACATGGTATCAGAGCCTTAGAGACCAACGTCGTTCGATCCCCACGTCGCCCTGGGGAGATGAGATCAATCCTATAATCTCCCTGGGGCGCCGCATCTATTAGCCTCCACAAATAATCCATAGATCAGATTTCACTGATATTAGCATTAGATCAATTTATATTAGCCATAGCCAAATAAAGCCCGATGATCACCACCTCCGTCCATAGGAGCAACGTCGGCGTCTTCACATCAACAACGCACACGCGTCGCTATGGGGAGATGAGATCAATCCTATAATCTCCCTGCGTCCCCTTCTGTGTCGTCCCTTGACTCTCCTCTATTGGGACGACAATGGTGATTCGTATTCAAAATTTAGAAACCTTACTGTCCTTACCGTACCGACCAACGACGCAGCGACGGAAACGGGCAAACGACGGGTCGTGGATTCGTCTTGCGGAATCGCGGTGCCCAGGCGCGCGGGTGCCGGTCGACGTTGAATGGGGCGGCAGGCGCGCCGCTGCGGGGCCTTGCGGCGCTCCGTGCAAGCGTCGGGGACCTCGGGGTTCGGGATGGGTGGCGAGTGAGTGGGGAGTGGGGGACGCTCGGCTGGGGAGGTTTTTCCCTGTATGCCATTAAAAAAGATGGTGTCTGCCTCTGTGCCACTAAAAAGTTCGAGCCTCCCTCTCTGCCATCGTCGAATTTTATCGTGCCCTCCACACCATTCCGTCCATTTTTGATGGTAACGGTGGGTAACGGTATAGCCAAATGACTTAGTTGCCCTTTGATGAAATTTGTTTCCTTCTGTGCCATTCAGAGGGCAGCCATTCGGGGGCGCGGCCGGTGCAGCGGCGGCGCGGCCGGCGACTGTTAAATATGTGATCCGAATTTCGGGCCCACAATATATTCGGATTAATTATCTAATAGGACTCTACTTTATAGGATTAGTTTCCTATTAGTGCTCCTAGATTTCTGCTATATATATATCCCTTGTAAGCCGCACGGGGAGGGTGCGACAGCCCAATGTATCCCCTGCGTTTGTATCCAATTTCTCTATAGTGATCATTGCCGGTCGGCGCCCATGGTTTTTTCCCGCAAGGATTTTCGACGTAAAATTCGTGTCTTCGTTGTGCATCTATTTTCATAACAAGTGGTATCAAAGCATTGGAGATCGATCTACTAATCACACAGCCACCGGTGTGATTTTTCGGATCGGAGTATATATCGATCTGATTGACCTCGTCATCGACGCCGCCGGGGAAGGAGCAGCAGCGCACGTCGCGAAGAATCGGCCGCAACAGCAACGCGTCGTCATCGTCGCAGAAATCAATTCGGTGAGATTGAATCACCGGTGAAGCAAACCCGAAGCGGTGTCGACCAGATCGATTTAAGCAAGTGCTCCAACACATCGATCTGAATCACGTCCATCAAGCAACGCAGGAGAAAATCAGAAGCAACAGCAGGGTTGAAGCCATTGATCTATTCCGCACGCATCCCGAGGAAGGAGAAAAGTCCAAGCCTTCAGTAGCCTTCTCGGTTCTGTTCATGTGAATTAAATTTCACGTTGGAATTATTACGTGCACACGCCCTTCGCACCAGGGATTTAAGCCTTGCATTGTTTTGGTTCTGTTCAGGGGAACACAAATTCACGTTCCAAATTGCTACATTCACAAGCCAGTCTACCAGGAGGTTCTGCACGGAGATCAACTTCGTTTTATGCACCCAGAGTGTTTCGCGTTTCTGTTAGGGTTTGACAAATTGTACCAGCAGATTCAGGATTTTATTCCCAAGGCGAGTTAGAAGTTTGATCTACGACTTCTGGATTGAGATACAATCTCGTTATGGCAAGTGAAGATGCAAGTTGGCGCATGTTTTAAGGAGGATAAGTCATGCACCTGAGATTAAAAAAAAAAGTACATTCAAGTCGTCGAGAGGTAGCCTCGCTCCTGTCTAGATCACAAGGTGATCAAATTGTCCGGCGAATTTTGCTACCATTGTACCCAACATACCAGGAGGTTATCAGGGGATCTAAGTACTTCGTTTTTGTGCACAAGAATTTTTCGCATTTCTGTTTGGATTCTAGAAATTAATGCCAGCAGATTCAGGATTTATTCCCATGGCGAGTTTGAAGTTTGTGCATCAGTTTCGCATCTCTGCTGGGTTCCACAATGTCATACCAACAGATTCAGGATTTGTTCCCAATGGCGAGTTTGAAGTGTAGTCTACCTCTTCTGGATTAAGGGTGTTATGAATTATAGTTGACGGAGCGTGGGGGCTCCTCACCGGGAGACCGCGCAGGCCCCCCTTTGCCGGTTCGGCCGGGGGCCCTGGGTGAGATTCTAAGCTCCTAGTCTGTGTGTGGAAGGTTCGCGAGAATGGAAACACACAAGACACGGGCGATGTATACAGGTTCGGGCCGCTGAGAAGCGTAATACCCTACTCCTGTGTTTTTGTGGATCTATGTATGAAGAAGCTACAAAAGAGCTGGAGAACCAGAGAGCTCTTACTCTCTCCCTCTCTGATCCTTCTGGATCCGAAAATCAATCCCCTTCTAAGTGGGCAAGGTCCTCCTTTTATACCTCAAGGGGATACCACATGCACCATCTCTCTCTTTTTGTGGGGACTTATCCTATCTTTTTATAAACAGACGGAGACTTGTATGGTTGCCGTCCGAATGACCTTCTGATGGGACGGCCCATACCTACCTCCACTTCCGCCGGAAGCAGGCGCGACGTGGGAACATGGCTGTCTGCTGACGACATGACCAGTGTCAGACCGGTCACAAATCGGTCATTCTTGTCCACCACGTGTCAGTTTATCAATCTGCATGTTCGCCCCTCTTCATACAATGTCTTGTTTGTAATGGTTAGGATGAAGCCTGGTATATATCTGACCGGGACCAACGTGCCATCTCCAGGAGCTAACACGTCGGCTCCGGCTAGGGACGAGTGCTTGGAGGCTCTCATCCTGGCGGGATGGGGCGAGGCGTGCGTCAGACCGCCTGTCGCCACCTAACCCACGATCTGATCGGTCTGTGACTGGTCACTGACCGGATAAACGAGCGCGCTGCACTGCGTTACATGCGGCGTGACGCGCTCGTCCAAACCGCAATAAATGTGGTTAGGTGAGCCCCGCTATGCTCACCTACCCCATATACGCGGCGCAAAACCCACAAGGGGTCGGGGCGCCTCGGCCCTCGGGGCCGAGACGGGAGCGGTCCGACCCCTCGGGGAGACAGAGAAGGGCGGCCGTATCACCCTCGGGCCCGACCCCCCCCCCCCCCGAGGGGGTTAGGCCACGTGGGTGATCGTGTCTGCCTCAAGTCTCTAAGGGCATCCTCAATGTATGTTGCAAAAGTAGGTAGTAAGGTGGGCCCATGTAAGATGGTAATAGTAGATTGAAGATGCACCACAATGTATATATGTGTAGAGTGGGTAATAAGGTGGGACCTATCTGAAAAAGAACCCCAAACATGAGCCATGTCACAATTAAAAATTAGATAGGACCCACCACAAAGTGCTATAACCTGTAGCAAGCTTATGGCTTGGTAGTAGTTATTTACTACTTCCACGATGTATCTTACCTAGTAGTAAGAATATTTTAATTCCTAATACCCACTTCTCCCCTACATTGTGGATGCCCTAAGTCATGATACTCCCGGTCCCATGTCACCGACAATAGTCCAAGTGACTATTTGGCGCACATTGATTTTATTATCACGAGGTTCTTTGGAGATTGAAGATTTTTATGCTACAAGGGAAATTCGTCTCAAGGTGAAGATTGTTAAATATGTGATCCGAATTTCGGGCCCATAATATATTCGGATTAGTTATCTAATATGACTCTACTTTATATGATTAGTTTCCTATTAGGGCTCCTAGATTTCTGCTATATATATCCCTTGTAAGCCGCATGGGGAGGGTGCGACAGCCCAATGTATTCCATGCGTTTGTATCAAAATTTCTCTATAGTGATCATTGCCGGTCGGTGCCCATGGTTTTTCCCGCAAGGATTTTCCACGTAAAATTCGTGTCTCCGTTGTGCATCTATTTTCGTAACAGCGACCGGGCCGAGGCGACAGCGGCGTGAGCCGTGGCGAGGGCGGCGCGGTGCCCCGGCTGGGCGGCGGCCGGGCGCCGGTCGGCCCACGCGTCGAGCAGGTCGAGCGACCACTGCCGGTGTTGACGCCGATCCAGCTCTTCTCGTCGAACACCTTGGCCTCCCAGCCATGGAGAACGAGGTTGTGCGCCGCGTACCGCAATTAGTTACATAAACTACAAAAAATTACAAAACCAAACAACAAAACATTAATGCCGTTTTGGCATCTGAAGGATACACAAGCATAATACCCCAATATCCAAGTATGCATCCCGAATTACATACTCCTAAAATATCATCAAATTTTACACGAAATGCAGAGGAGAACTCGGGGTCATCAATAGATGTAACTTTGCAGTTTAATTAGTTGTTCTAATCTAAGTATGCGATTCGATTACCAGCAGGCAACAGAACCATGACTCCGTGAGTGTGTGCGTTGTGCAAATGGGCAAACGCATCAGAGAGCACCTAAGTCCGCCAAGGACTCTCAATCATCTCCCCTCTAATAAAGCGAATCAAATGCCCTGGAACCATCAAGCTTGCTCACCGAACATCGGAGCGCGGCGCGCGGGCGCGCCCGGGGCAGCGCCGCACCCACGCGGGACAGCGAGCTCGCCATCGGTCGGGTCGAATCGGTCGATCGATCTCTCGCGCCGTCTCCACGCGGCGGGCGTGCGGCGAGCGAGGTGGGTTCGGGGCGCCACGTGCGCCGGGAACTCCGGGTGCGC